ATGAAAGTATAATTCTTTCAATCTCCCAGTAACAAGATGCCTGATACTTCAACAGTACGTTAATCTTGATATTATAGAACAAAAATTACAGAAATAAGGAAAAAAGCCAAAATTATAACTAACCATTCTATCATTTGATAAGCTTGTTTAATTAATTGTAAAAATTTTCTATCTATAATCATAGACATCAAATAAGAAAAAATACACTTTCAGCTTCTCGGTGTCAGAAATAGTTTATTTGGCAGGAGTGGCTCTTAATTTTTTTGTATCCATTAAAATACAATTTGTAAATACAATTTGTCTCCATTAAAATACAATTTCTAAATTTTCAGAGCATTTAAGTTACAGCAGCAAAACATTAATATATGTGTACTTGAACTTTTAAAACATTAAGTCATCAGAGTCTTAAAATGTGCACACCTTTATTTTCAAATATTACATGGTCCGGTGCAATAAGTTAATGTTTGAGTAACTTCACAAAATTATTTACAGTTGGACTAATGTCCTCATCTTTGTTGTTATTATCACAACATTTCAGCTGTTGATCCCTTCAGCTTCTTCAGGTCTCTGTCAATTTGGGTAACCTTCAAGGAATTTCAAATTGAACCCTTTATTTAATCTATAGAGGTAGATTGTTCTTTCCTAAGGGGCTTATAGCCATATCACATTAAACACTGGTTCTTGTAGAATCATCAAAGTCAAGCCACATTGAGCCTGGTCAGTATCTAGATGGGTGACTACTTGAGAATACCAGGTGCTGTAAACTTGGTTGTGAGGGTAGTGCAAGGCATAATGGTTCAGAATTGGAAATTAGAGAGCAGAGTTCCAATTTTGGTTGTGTTCTAATATTCATTTACATGCAAATACCCTTGGGAAAGAATATGAATCCATCTCTTCTACCCCCAGCCATGGGTTAATTAGTAGGATGTGTATCTGTAAATCATTGTTATCTCTAAAATATTTTCACAATCTAAAAATATTTTCTGGCTTTAAATAACCTGCAAAAGATTGATAAGCCATAAAAAACAATCAATCTTGTCTATTGTGCTTTATTTTAGAACTGATCAGTTATTGCTTGTTCTGTTTCCATCAAGTCTGAGACAGTACTACTCAGGCTGGAAATTGAATTCACAAACCAATGGTTTAATTATCTAGGCTAAGGTCTCATTGGAATAAGACGAGATGGACAGCAGAACAAGAATAATCTACACTCACGGATTAAATAAAGAATTCAGTTTGAAATTCCCTGAAGATTAACTGGATTGACAAAAGACGGTCAGAAGGCACAATGGTTGAAACATGATAATAACAACAAAGATGAAGACATTAGTTCAACTATAAATAACTCCACATCCCACATGTACAGAGTCAGAATTTAATTTCTTTTTGAAAATTCATCTTTTACCATTATAGTATTTTGTAAGGTTAATCTATATTCTTTTACAATTTTCTTAGTGTAGATTGAAAAGATAAATAAATAAATGGCAGAACTGCACAAGAAACAGATTTGACAAAGTTTGCAATAAACAATTACAATAAAAAGAAAAGTACAGGTGAAAAAATAATATAAAGAAAGTAAACAATATATGCAAGGCAAAGCAACAGTAATATGGCAAAAAGTTCAAAAACTAAGAAATGGGGTTGACACACAAGAGCGAATTCAGACAAACAAATGTAGCATTCTGACTTCAAGGCTAGACAGACTGGGACTGGGTCAGATGAAACCAAGAACCGGTCTATTTTATTGGCTAGGAAGAAATCCCAGCATGCATTTGTGTGCGTCTGCCTATAAATTAAGGAGGGAAAGTGTTTTGTAGTCATTCTAGTAGGAATTAAAACCAACACTTAGGAGTAACTAATAAACTACACCTAAGGATTAAGAAACTTAAGAAAAGATTACAATAGTTTAAAAGTTATTCTTTTTTTTTGCTTAGAATTAATAAATTTGGGAGAAAAGAAAAAAAAAATCAAATCAAATATGATTTCAAAATGAATTCATCCTATAGATTTTCTATTTGTTGTTCACCTCTTACTGCAACTTTGAGTCATAAGCATTTTTCAAAGTTTGCTCTGTCAATGTTAAAATTTATTCTATCAAGACACAATCACACACAAGAAATTAATTTCATATAACACTAACAGCTATTATTTTCTACCCAGATATGCAACATTTTAAGTCAAATCTAGTATTTCTTCCCTCAGTGATATAATTCTTTGCAATTTTATATTTTGATTGAAGTACAGTGGAATAATGGATAGCAGCTCAGATTGAGGAACCAGAGAGCCAAGTTCTAATTCCAGTCAAGATCATTACATTCACTTACATGCTAATGCCCTTGGAAAAGGCATGAATCCATCTCTTCTCCTTCCAGCTATGAGTAAAATAGAAAGACTGAGTCCTATCAACTTGGGTGGCAATTAGTCTAAAAGGAAAGACTCCAAATTCAAAAACAGCCTCCCTGAGGCTATCTTGCCCAGGAAACACTGCTGCTACAGCACATGTGGTGCTCCTACAACCCCAATAGGTTACAGGGTCTTGTGAGCATGATTTAATGCTGAAACAACTGGAGGTATTCAAATTGATTCTTTCCAATGTTTTTAGTATCAAAATATCTACAAATTAGGATATAATTAACATTAAATAGTCAAAGATGAAATCAATGCATTCATATTTACTCCCAGAATAATGCTTCCACATCAAAGGCAGGCAGATGGTGGTGGTATGGAAGAGGAGGTTGAGCCTTCCTGCCAATAATCCATAATTTGTTTTGCTTTGATACAAAACAAATAAATATTTGAATATATTCCTATATATTCAAAAATATCTCACCTTAAAAAAAATATCACATTTGAACTAAAGTAAAAAAATTTATTATTAATTAAGCAAATGCAGTCATTCATGCCAGTGTATAAATAAAATAGAAATTTCAATGTATAAATTAGCAAATATAATTTATGCATCTTATTAACAGCACATAGAAGAATATTAGCAATAAATGAATGTAATATTATAATGATTCTGTATATTAATAATATTTCAATGTCCCCATATTTATATATTATCATCATAAGCATAAAACTAATTAGTGATTTATAAGTTTAAAAAATAAGCAGTCATAAAAAAACATAGAAAATAGGTGAAAAACAGATATTAGAATTAGGAATGCCTCTCCTTCAAAAGTAAAAAATTACATCTTCTTTTTCCTTTATCATATATAAAATAAGATTTTACAAAACTTAAATTATGAGTAAATAAAGATCATTCACTTGTGTTAAATATGAAAACAAATAAGCAGATATAAAATTCTTAAATTTCATCATAAAAATATTTCAATTACATTAAATATATGCAATTCATGCCAATTAATGATAAACAAATGATGAGAATAATATATAAAAATATATAACAATAAAATATACAGCTATATTATCTAGATAAATAAATAATCAATAAATAACATAATATAAACAATAACTGAATAAATAATAATAATAATAATCATTTATTTTCTGTAAATTTCTTTGTTTTCAAGGAGGGAGAAAAAAAAATCACTTAAATTTGACAGCAGTGTTTTGAATTATGACATTCTATTCATAACCACATCTCTATTGTGTGACATGTACATAAGTCCATCCATGGATTCTGCTATTATCTCTAAAATGGTTCCTCACAAAGCATGCAGATTTGATGATATCCCTACAATAGTCCTAAAGAAATGTGCCCTTGTTCTCTTTAAACTCTACAATAAATGCTTCACAGCTTCTTGTAGTTCTTATCTTTAAACTCAGGTGAACCGTCTGATCATTTTTACTATTGGCCTTCTACCATTTTTTGGCAAAGTACTGAAAGTGTTGAACCATTCTCATACTGTAACTTTCTTCCTTCCTATCTGAGAACTTATAATGCAGCATTGTAATATATATATATTTTTTTTTTTTAAGCGTTTCACCCCAAGCAAGGCAGGAAGCCACTAGGACGCAAGGGGTTACAGAAAACTTGGAGCAAGATCAGATAGGAGTGATAGAAGAAAGGATGAGAAGAAGGGTAGTGGATAGATCAAGGCAACTGGAGATGTCGATTGACATTACATTTGAATAGCTCGAGATTATAGCTCTCAGGGAAACTGGAATAGGGGAGTTCCACAGGTGAGAAGTGCGAGACATGAAGCTATTGGAGTAGAAGAGACAGCTACATTTAGGAGTTTCGACAGTGAAGGGGTGAGAGTGGGATGCCAGCCTCGTAGGGCGCTTGAACTCATGAAGTCTGGGAACCAGCGAATGCAGCTCCTCGGAGCAATTGCCATGAAAGTATTTGTAAAAGAGACAGAGAGAGGCGACGGCGTGTCTGTGAGAAAGTGACTGTAGACGAGATGCCAGAGTAGGGCCAATTATATTGCATATCCGCCTCTGGAGCCTATCAAGAACCCCGAGGCAAAGAGAAGGGGCTCCAGACCATATATGGCACCAATATTCCTGTAGCAAACTATTTGCTACATTCTGTACACCCCCCCCTTAAGACCCTCGGGTTTCACCGATGTTCGGTTTTCTCCCACTTTCTTACATTTCTTCTTCCCCTGCCTATTTGTATTTATTTATTTTTCTAGTTTTACTCTTTTGGCTTTCAATAACACCCTGCTGATGAATAGGACTGCATCTTCAGTCTTAATTGGCATAAGGTGTTTATTTGGCTGTCTTAACGTATGTACTCGTACACAGGAGGCAGAACATATTACTAAATGTTACAGTGTAAAATATTATATGATTTATTTATCTTATAAACTGAACAAGTCTAAAAAACAAAAAATGACAAATGCAATTCATTTATCCATCAGAATGTAAAAAGTGGACAAAAAAAATTTTTTTTTGTCTTCATAAGAGTAAACTGAAAAGTGTCATTTGAATTTAATCAATAAAAACAATCATGTTCATTTCAAATGAAATAGGTCCCCCACCAAAAAAGGTCTGAAATAAAAAGAATGCATATCAAGTAAAGTACTTACCATGTCAGTATCTGGATTAAAATTGGCCACTTTCTCTTTTGTGTAGAGATCAATATTTCCTAAAGCAATGTTTAATGCTTTGGAATTTGGTAAGTAGCTAAAAGCAGTCAAGGAAAAAAATTGACCAATGATATTAACTAGAAAAATCAGTTAAAATTGAGAATATGTTCCATCTTCCATCCATCACATGTAATTTACAAGATATATAACAAAAAAATCTAAATTATTTACATTGGCACTAATGTCTACATTATGTTGTTGTTATCAGTCTTTCGGTCATGGTGCTCTCTGGCCTTTTTCAGGCGTCTGTCAATCCAAGTCCCTTTATTTAATCTACAGAGGGTAGCTTGTTCTCGTTCACTATGTCTAGTTCTTTTTAGCATTGCTCCCTCTGTTTTCACCAAATCTAAGTCTTTACTACAAAGCATAGGGAATTAAATCACAAAATAAATGAACCAAACAGTTTAAGCCACTTGGCTATTGTATAAATATGTAATTAATAACTCCACATGCCAGAAATTCAAATAGAAACTAAATTCATAATATCCAAAATATATAATCAGGTAAATTTTGGCTACTTAACCTTAAATCCATAAAATATATGATAAAATGTTGCAAAATACATTTTTTAATCATTTCATCCTAACCAATGCAATAAAGCAACTAAAGTGCAAGGGTTACTGAGTGTGAGAGAATATGAAAAAAGCAAAAAAAACATTAAGGAGAACGAGCAATAAAAGAAAAGGAATTAAGACAGAGAATAATGAATTTAAATTAAACATCAATAACTATTTAAAGAAAATTGTTTAAATATTATCTATTTATGCCTGAATTTCTGGAATAAAAAGTTATCATTATTTACATGCTGACTCTTTTCTTCATCTTTATTATCAAAATGTTTTGACCATTATGCTCTCCAGCCTTCACAATGTGCTTGTCCCACAGAACAATAACCAAAGTGGATTAAAGCATTGGTTAACGAATTTGGTGATATAGTAATTGGGGTTCAATCCCTGGGCCAAGTAGTGTGTACTTGGACTCGGTGGAAATTGGGTGAGCAATAACTGACTAGTACTAAATAAGAACTAAATGCAACACATGGGCAGTGGAACAAGAACAATCTACCCCCATAGATTAAATAAAAAATTCAATTAAAATTGCCTGTATTTTAACTGGTTTGACAAGCACATCTGATGAAAACCAAAGGGTACAACTGAAACATTGTTATAACAAGGAGAATAGGAGAATTGTCTATAATTGGTGAAAATGATAAAATCATAAAATGCTCTTTGTCTAAATAAATTTTAAATGAATTCCATATATCTTTAACTTTTGTTTCTGCTGTGACAAAATTATTTTAGAAGAAAAGAGAAAACCTTTTTTTTTTATTATTTAAACTATTGATGTACTTGTTGATATCAATGTAATTTCCTAAGACAAATACACATGCAAGAAAGAAAGGATACGGCCCAGCATATTCAAAGTCCGCAGCTGAAACATTCTCAGGATAAGGATTCAATGGAGCAAGTCTTCTATTCAAAGGATCAAAGACCAATTGATAAAGGAATGTATTTTCAGCACATATAAATGCATCAATGTAGTCATCTGGCACAGCAAAACTTTTTTTAAGGTAAATTGGAAGTTTCCGGAGAAACTAAAATAGAAAAATTAGAACAAAATTTTCAGGATTAATGTGCCTCTCTTATTAGACAGTATCCATTTTGGAAAAAAAATAATTACCATACAAGTATAGTGTGCGAGTTTTTATGATCAGATTTTTACACAAAAAAATAGGGGGGGGGCACTATACACAGGTAAATTTTTTATGGAGGGCTTAAAATTTGTGCAAAAATTTCAGAGTTCTCACTATACATGAAGTTAGCTTATACACGAGTAGTAGTTTACAATCTATGATTACAATTTGTTTACACAATTCATATTCTGAAAGCAAAATATTTTATCAATTACAAATATTAAAACTAAGATGATAAACATTATTCAATATTATTGTGTGTGTGTGTGTATATATATATATATATATATATACACACACACTAGCTAAAAAGCTGTCCTATGACACAGTGACATTTGCATTAATTATATATATATATATATATATATATATATATATATATATATATATATATATATATATATATTTGAATTTATTATTTTGGGATTGTTTGGTTAACTGGATGAATTTATTTATTAAAATGTATTGGCCTGAAGAGGCAGATAAAAAATATCTGTCAAAATAAGTTTATTACCATCTTTAATGTGATTTTAAGTGTTTAATGGAAAGAATATAGAGACCAAAATCAGCTTTCAAACAAAGTACAGACTGTTCAAATCGCTGGTAGTCTCCATTTTCCTATAGGGATGTGAAACATGGACACTGTTGGCAGAAAGAGAGAGAAGAATCCAAGCATTTGAGAACAAATGCATGAGAAAATTCCTTGAGATCTTTTATTGGTATTCTCACCACTGTCAAACAGAGAAAAATAGCATGGTTTGGACACATTACAAGACAGGATAGCCTGTGCAAGACCATCATGCAAGGTGGACACAGGAGAGAATGCTAACGTAACAACTGGTTAGACAATGTTAAATAATGGACAGGTATAACTATACCAGAATTACTGATGGCTGCCATTGACAGACCGTTGTGGAGGAGATTTAGTGTAGCTTCTGCATTCAGATCCCCACCCCCATGATTACAAAAGTCAAGGAGATGATGATGATGACAAATATCTATATCATACAACTCAGTGGATGATGATTTCTTTTCCAAGGAACATGTTTGAGCATATTTTAGGCAAACAAGGGGCTGCACAGACCCAGCTTGACTTCCTCTCCAGAATAAAGTGGGCAAGGCGTGGTCCAGAATGGCTGGTAGAGGTTCAGTTGTAGTAAATGGCCACATCAAACATTGATACAAGAAATGCCCCTCACAGTTCACTATGTCATGTACACCCAACTGCTTTGAATTCAGTTTGCCTTCTCCTAGACTAGGATTTGTTGGGTGTACACATCATGGAACCCTGCCTACTCTATTATTTAAGCCATAACTGGATTCATGCCTTTCCCAAGAACATTAGTGCAAAAGTGAACCTAACATACTCAGACAGAATTTGAACCCCACTTGCCAATTCCACTTTCTGTGAAAATCACCACTGCTCCACAATGCAGACATTTTCTGGTTGCCTGATGGTTACAGTAGCATGAAACTTGATTGGTTTCGTTTGTTTTACGGCATATCAACATCAATGGGTTATTTAATACCAACAAGATTTTTATTGCTGTTAATATTTTTCTTTTTAAAAAATGTACTGCTGGTAATAATGTATTGCAGGGAATAATTTTTTCCTCAAAAAAATGTATTGCTGGTAATAAAACCTATTTTTACACTTTCATAGTGTTTTGACTCCAGTTTGGGGGCGGTTAACTATTTGCCCATATCTGGGACCCGGACATGTGCTACCACCCCGGGTCAGGGTGGACCTGGGAACACCAGCAATTAAGAGGTTCCACACTCATCAAAACCTCCTGATCAGAGGCCTTGCTGTTGGACGTAGTTTATTGTCTTACCCAGGACACAGATTTAGTTTATTGTCATACCCAAGGTCAAACCATGAAACAGTAGCAGTCTTTATTTCTTTCAGAGTCATGACACTGGGGAGAGTATTTTCCTTCTCTTGGTAATTTAGAAATAGAGCATTGTATATTACTGTTTAGGTAGATGTCTGCTTCATGGTCTTTACTTCTTAGCCTATTTTTCCTTTTCTCCTCTAAGTTTTTGTTTTATTGGTTGTTGGTTTTTCTTTTTATTAGTTTTTTTTTTCTTTGGTCACCTAGAAGGCTTCATGTTGGTTTTACTAATACTCTAGGGTTTTAATCAATAATATTTTCATCTTATGTTTTACAAAAATTTAAAGAGTAAATTATAGACATGGAGATTAAGAGAAAACACATTTAAACATTGTAATGGTATCTACAAAGAAAGATGAACTTGTTAATGAAAGTGTTAACTCACCTGCCTGAGATCAGCTTGGCGTGCTATCTTAAAAGCTTTACAAGCAGTTGCCAGTCCAATACCCGGCAAAGAAGGAAGATAATCACAACCGGACAGGATACACATTTGTCGAAATTTATCAAATGTATAACGGCCATCTTGGAATGCTAGGACTTCATTCAATCGATCTGACTCTATCAAAACACCATTACCAAAAAAGTCCATCTTGAAGATAATCTACAAAATAACAATTTTACAAGATTTTATTTTGATAAAATCTTTTTAGAATAAGTTAACAAAACAAAACAATAAATAGAGTCACATTAAATTCATAAAAAACTTTTCTAACAAAAATGAAAATAGTAAACAATAATTTAACATTTTTGTAGAGAAAAACAAATACACTTGTTAATACTTTCATTTCAAAAGACACTCAATTCAAATTTGTCTATAATATACTTGGTCAGAACAAAAACTAATAGTGTTTTTTAAGTAAATTTCAAAGACGATATCTAGATATTTGTATATAGATTTATTCAATGGTCCACTGTTAACCACTCCAAAAGCCAGTCTGCATCCAAAGGCGATGCTGTGTATCTGGTGGAATTGGATGAGCATAGTGTATTATGAGCACCTTCCAGAAAATCAAATGTTGAATTCAGACAAATGCTATTCCTAATTGGATCAACTGAAAGCAACAATCTATGAAGTGTCTGGAATTGGCCAAGCAGAAAAGTACCAAGAAGAGTTCCGTCAGACTTCACATCTCTTTGCAGACCCAGCAGAAATTTGTACAGCTTGGTTGGGATATTCTGCTACTGCCACTTTACTCACCTGACCTTGCACATTCAGATTACAACTCATTTCAGTCCCAACAAAATTCTCTTAAAAGAAGAGAACTTCAATTATCTGGAAAAACCATCTAGATCAGTTCATCCCTCAGAGAGAAGCCTAATTTTAGGAAGATGGAATCATCAAGGCGCATCAATGATGCTTAAAGGTTGTGGAACATGATGACATATATGGTGTTGAATAAATCTATAAATGATTAAATATTGTCTTGGAAAGTCACTTAAAAATGCTACAAAGTTTTGTTCCAACCCAATATATATCTCTCATATATATATATATATATATATATATATATATATATATATATATATATACACACACACACACACACACACACACACACACACACACACACAAGGGTTCACACTGAATTATTAATTTCAATATAAATAATTATAATTACATATCATATATACTAGAGTATAGTGTGAGTTTTTATAATCAGTTTTTTTATGTAAAAAAATAGGGGTGTCACACTATACACAGGTAGTTTTTTAGGGGAAGAGATTAAAATACATTCATTTTAAGTGACCAGTTGCGCTATACACAGGTTAATGTTTTCTGGAGGGACTAAAATCTATGCATTTTTGGTAACTTTAACCTAACTGGTAGGTTTACATTCTCACGGTACTTTTTTCTCACCTTAACAGTACATTAAGCTCCTTTAACCTAGATTCTTTCTTTCTATTGCTACATAAACAGCAGAACATCATTCACTATGTGTACGACTTAAAATCTACAAATATCTTTTTATAAATGAAGAATGATCCTCATTCTTTCTTCCTCTATTTATATTTATTTTTATTTATTATATTCCTTACATTTACTGGTATTGTTTTATCTTATAATTCTCTGTTACATAATCTTAAAATATTTTGATAAGATGCACCACAATATATGGTAAATGATGATTTCACAGAGTGAAATATCAAATGAATTTTAATTCTAGTAGCTTTTTTACGGCATACACTAATATTATCAATAGAAATCAACAAAATTGAGGAGCATTATAAAAGCTTATCCCACTATTCATATATAAATTATACACATTACGGTACATGCTCAGAAGCTGGGGTCGTATTATATACGCGCTATATGAAAAAAATCAGGTTTTTCACAAAAATATTCAGGTGTCGCACTATAGATGAAGCCGACTTATACATGAGTATATACGGTACTCATCCAAAAGGGACATAATTCTATTTTTTAATTTTCAATTACCTCCCTTGTCCAAGTATATTGTACTACATTGTATAATTAGAATTTTAGCAGCATATTGATTACACAAAATAAATAAAAAGTGACATGAACCAGATGTTACTCTTCCACCGTTTTAAAAGAAAAAAAATTAAATTGACACTTGGATGTTCGGTTAGTGTCCAAATTTGTTATGTTCACTTTCATACAAATATGCTTGGGAAAAGGGAAGAATACATCTTCTCTAAACACCTCTTCATTCGCTAGAAGGTCAAGGACTGACAGGCTCTCTTGCTTTGAAAGGAAAACAAGTCTAGGAAAAGGAAAACAAGTCTAGGAAAAGGAAAACCGAATTCAAAACCAACCTGAAGAGAAATGGCCTCTGCTAGGCTATCTTGCCCTAGACACACTCACTACAGCTATAGCTGCAGTACATGTAATGTCCCTATGATACTAATGGTTTAGGGGACTTGTGACATAACATGAAAATAAACATAATTTTCATTTTTTGCAATCAATCATTTATCACTTTGCTGATTCATTGTTAAAAGGTGTCTTTTTACCTCAGAACATGGACAAATAAACAAAAGCAAATCTAGCCTCGGGATTAAATAAATAGCAGAGTTTGAAATACCTGAAGACTATCTACCCACATTGACTGACACCTAGCACAATGGCTGAAAAAGTATGATAATGACAACAAAGATGATTGAGTGATTTGTTTTTTTATGGCTTATCAACCTTTTGCAGGTTATTTAAAGCCAGATAATATTTTTAGATTGTAAGAACTTTTTGGAGATAATAATTATTTACTGATACAAGTTCTACTATTTAACCCATAGCTAGGGGAGAAGAGGTGAATTAATACCTTTCCCAAGGATATCTGCATGCAAGTAATTATTATGAAGATGACTGGAACTTGAACTCATCTTTCCAATTTCTAATTCTGAGTTGTTATCCATTACACCACCTTCACATTCAAGCTTACAGTACTTGGTATTCCAAGTGGCCACCAATGTAGGTACTGACCATACTAAACGTTGCTTAACTTTGGTGATCATATTGGAACTGGTGTTTCAATATGATAAGGCCATAAGCCCAAGGACAAGGACATCAGTTCAAATAGAAATGTTGTAAATAGCTAATTAAAAACCAATATTTAGATATTTTATTTCCAAATAAATTTTAGTCAAGTCCTGTTTAATTAATGCTTTAGGAATATTTGAGCCATTTCTTATTTCAATAAATTGTGAATAAAATTAAAAAATATGCAATTTCTTTATATATTATATTGAAAGGAATAAAAGTTGTTACAAACATTGCTCTGTGCACTAAATAACAAAGTCAAAGATAACAGAAGTTTAAGACCTTTGCATGTAATAAATTAAGTACCATATACACTCACAGATAGGTTGCACTTTTTTTACCAAAAATTTTCAGAAAATATTAGAGGTGTGATCTGTCCACTCAACATAAATGTAAAACAACACTACCTTCTCATCATGATTGCTGAGAAATTGGAAATGATAGCTATAAACACTAAAGATGTGATTTTTCTCCATATAGAAACAATTTATCATATATACTGACTCACTGCTTTAAACTTACCTCATGCTGCTAGATTCACATACCCATCACAATAAATAAAATTATAAAATATTCATTGATCCATCAGTCACTGTTCAGTCAAGACCCTCACACTAGACGGATGTAGAAACCCTGAACATGCATACATAAGTTAAGGAATCACATGTAGATGTTTATTGACAAAGAAAAAATAGTCCAATTTATTCTGCAATTTCGTCAAAAATACATTGGAAAATATGACTTGAAGAAATTAAATATATTCTTTGAGATAATTTTCTTTAATGGTTCTGTAGTTATTTCTCTTTTTTTGTCAAGTTGACTTGATATAAAAATCATATGCAGTAAATATAAAAATACCAGTACAACAGTTACTTCCTTTTGTTTACATGATGACTGACAAAATGTATTTTAACTGCAAAAGTCTATTAATAATTGTAAGTTTTGAAATAAAGGTAGATATCTGATAATTCTTATGTTTAAAAAGGGCTGTGTAACTCCCCAGATTATAGTGTGACCTATCTACAAGTCAACAGTAAATCATCAATTATTAAGCCATAAAGTAGAGGTGCAACCAATCTAGTAGGCTGACCTATCTGCAAGTATATATAGTAATATTTTGCCAAAGTAATCATTTTTGATTTCAAATTTAAGATCATATATGAATACTCACCTTATCACAGCCAAAGAGTAATAAATCAGAGTCCTCAGTCACAATCAACTGTGCAATTCCAGATTTACTTAAGTAAGCAAGTTGTGCATCAGCTTCATAAGGGGCAACAATGCAGTCAACACCTTTCTTTCTGCAGGCCTAGACAAGAAATTTTTTTTTAATTTCATTAAGATAAATTCACAGATTTAGAGTAAAATATAGGTGAATGGTGCTGAAAGGTTCTCAACACAACTTGTCAAAATTTAACCAAATTATCAGATATTTTGGTTAGGCTGATAACTTTTCAGCACCCCTCGTAGGAATGGTTTCCCTATATATTGGAAATAAATGTTAAAAGCAAAATGTGAACAAAATAATTTGAATATTAGTTCAAACAACATTGACAAAAATAACGTGTTTATCAGGTCAAAATGTATCAATTTGAAGTCTAATAATTTATTCAAATAAAGCACTGATACAAACACATTCTTTATATATTTATCTAAACACAAACCTCTATGAGTTTCCTCGCCATTTCTGAAGTGACATCTATGCATCTCTGAAGACATTCCCTAGCTTCAGCTCGCTGACCTTCACGAAGAAACTGCGCTGCTTTCTTACGATAAACCTCTCTTCGTCTGAAAATTCAAAGTAGAATTAACAGCCTGACAAATTTACAATTTCAGGAGACAATACAAACAAATATCAGATTTTAATTCTGAAAGCCTACTTTAAAAAACCTTTCTATGTTTTTCTGCCAAAAACAATACAAAATTTAAATTTTCTGGCAGGATTTACTCTTATCATTCTCCAAACTTAATAAAAACAAAGTTTTATTGAAAACATCTTTTATTATTAAGAGGAAAGACCAAAGGATTTTTTTTATGTTAAATTTTTTTTTTTTAAATCCTTTTTAGAACCTTTGAAATTTTGTTTTAAATTTTTTTTCTGGTGTCACCGTGAAACCATAAACTTGTATGCAAAATTTTTGCATCTTTTTGCAGTGAAAAATACATTGATTTGAAATTTTTACAAAAATCAGATAATTGTAGGATTTTAATGAAACTTTTATGACGTCGTCACAAATGAATGAAATTATTTTTTAAAATATTTCTTTAGAAATTCCTGATAAAAATATTATTTTTATTACATTTGTTACACCCCACTTATTTAATTTTATGAAATTTTGAGAAGTTCTTCTTTGTAGCACATATATTTATATTAATTATAAGGACAAGTCTTGAGGAGAATTTAAATCCTCAAATTTATTTTTTTTCAAACAGGACCCTCAGTTACAGAAAATCTGCTCTGAATTGTAAAATAAAAAAAGGAATATAAAAGTAAGACATTATTTTTATTAGAAAGTTTTATTAATAGAATATATTATAAACACTATCGTCTTGAGAAAAAACTTTTTTTTTGATGAATAATAAATTTTTACAAAAATTGTTTTTATTTTTTTTTATAATTTAATTAGAATAATTTATAAACTTTCAAATCTTTTAAAATTCTGTATTAATTTGTAGCAGTTAAGTGATTTTGTTATTTAATAAAAAAAAAAAAAACTATATTTAATAAGCATAATTGGAAAAACTTACAATTCAGCAACATCAGTATTTTAAAAAGAATTTTGAATTTTTTTGTGTGTGGATAAATGTGCCAATTTTTGTAAATAAAGACTTCTTTATTACAAATAATAAGGCGGTAACTATAGTAAATTGTTATTTCTTATCTTATATACTTGTTTTTATTTTAATCAGTGTTTTATTAACGTAGTAAAATTTGTTTGTATTGCTTATTTATTAGTTTTGTTTTGGTTTGGGAAGATAAAGCTATTTATTCAATTTTGGGGTTGATTGCTGTAGTTTATTCTAACTACTATTTTGGCGGGAACAGTTTTTAATTTGTTTATTACTTCATTTATTTATTTAGATTGATTATCTTTACTTGTTTTTTCTAACGATTAATTTATCGGGATCAGTTTGTTGGTTTATTTATTTGCATTAATTTAGATTAATTTATTTTACTTGTATTTTATTATTTATTTATTATACTGTATATTTTTATTTACTCTTTTCGGTTTTTAAGTAATGTAGTACTTTTTTTATCATTATATAACAGTTATAGCTAAGTTTTTCATTCAATTTTTGGTTTGATTTTTATAGTCTAATATTTTGGTCATAATGGTTTGTTAATTTGTTTATTATTTACTTTATTTATTTGGGTTCATTGATTTTGTTTTTTATTTATTTATTCTATTTCGTCTATTCTAAAAGGTGTGATTTGGTAATTTGTTTGGGTTAATTTATTTTTTGTTTATTTATTTTCTTTTTTTTTCAGTTTTTGATTTTTAAATAATGTAGTAAAATTTTGTTTTCATGTCTGCATTTTGAGATAAGCTCAGATCATTTATTTAATAATTTATTTTGGTCTGGGAAGATAATGATAGCTATTTTTTCCTCCAAGCAAAGTTTGCAAGTTTTGGATTGGTTGTTGTAGGCTGATCTTTTCTTTATTTTCCAAGATATTTTTGATGTGATGTGCATTTTGTTTTTAATTTCCCAGATATATTTAGAAAGCATTTTGCTGTTCACATATTTACTATTTGTGAAAGATGTTTTATGTTGTAATTTTCAGGGTCCTTCAGTTACTCCTGTGTATACCTTTTCTTCATTATCTGGTGATTTTATCATGGCTTGGTATATTACGTTGTTTTGTATACAAATTCCATTTAAGAGACATTCGTTCTTTATTCTGCAGTTACACGTGGGTTTAATTTGTTCGTGTGGTTTGTTGATAGTTTTCCTGTTGTGCTTTTTTATTTGTGCCATGTTCTCAGTGCAACTGTAGATGATTTTTACTGTGTTTTTGTTGAATATTTTGTGTAGGGGGCTTGATTCCAGGAAGTGTTTGTGTAAGAGTTTGAAGAATATTTTTCCTACATTTGTTTTTGTGTTTTTGCTGTACGATGGGTTGAACCATATGCTATTTCTTTACCTGTTGGCCTTTTTTGTGTTCTGTGGTGGGTATGTGAATGTTGCTGGGAAAAACCACCATCTTTTAGAGCTGTTTCGTAGCTTTGTTAAATATGGATTCATTGGAGGAATTGCCAGAAAGTCTGTGGTTAATCGATTTTGGTAACTGTTTGATTACAGAAGGCGGATGATTGGAAGATGTGTGTATATAGAGTGATTTATCATTGGATTTTCTGTATGGTTTATATGTGCCTTTTCTTAGGTTGAAGGTAACATCTAGAAAATCTACTTCATTTAGGTTAGTTTTTATATCTATTATATATGTCGAATCCATTATTTTTGAAGATCTTTATTATTGCTTTACTAGTTTTGTCTGTTTTGTTTGTTAGTTTCTTAAGATTATGAGACCGTCATCCCTGTAGAGTCCTGTGTCATTTCTTTCTATTATTTTGCTTAGTTCATGTAGTAAGTATATACCTATGATTTCACCATCAAAGCTTCCCATTGTAGTGTCAAAGACCCCATCTTTCTTTATCCATGCTTCTTCATTGTGAAATAGTAATGATTTACGGAAGTGTTTAATGATGTCGATTTCGTTTGGTTTTATTATTATTTGTTCTTGAGTTGATGACCTTATCTAGCATGGGTTCTGTTATGGATGGGTAAAATTCTTTTATGTCTAATTGTAGGAATTGGCAATTTTGTTTGTTGTTTATGCTGTGGAACCAGTCAATAGTTGATTTTGTGTTTTTCCATTGGTTTACTCCTAACTTCTTCCTAAGTTCAGAATTAATTCTTTCTAGTATCGTTTTACTTATTTTACCTAGTTCGCTTTTGGCTGGTTTTATGAGTCTGCATGCAGCGTTGGTTTTGAAATTTTCTTTGCAGCCTTTTAGTGTGATAAAGGCTTGCACCTTGCTGATGCAACTTATTCAGTCATCTAGGTCTAATTTTTAGGCGATTGCTTTAGCTTCCTTATTGATATCATGTTCTATTGTTTTTGGTGCCTTTTTGTATGTTTTGGTTATGTTGTTCTTGAGTAATTTATTATGTGTAGGAGGGCTTAGTTTGTATAAATTTCTTGTTTTGTCAGCTGTGATAAATACATTTGCTTAATTGTTTATTTTAGTTATATCTTCTTTTAGTTTTTTTTTTTTAAATGCATCTTGTTTTTTATGGAATTTTATGTTTCTAACTTTCTTCTACTTTCTTGAAGTCATCTAATTCTTTTCATTGAAGGGGGCATTTTTTGGTTTTGAAGCCATATTTTTCTTTGAGCGTATTCTATTTGTGAAGGTCCTGGTTTAAAGAGAAGTGGGCTTTCCATCTCATTCTTTTTATGAAACTTTCTGATTTTCAATTATAAATTTTTCTATACTGTGTTATAAATGTAGCAAAAGAAGTGCTCTACTGTTTATCAGGAGCTGAATATGAAGAAATATACTCTTAAGATTTGCTATATTTATGGGATAAAGTGCTCAATATCAGAGATAGAGCGTGTGTAAATATAAAAGTGAACATTGAAGTCAAAACTAAGAGGCAACAGGCTGTTTCATGCTAGACGCAATCGTCAGGCCACAAGTGTTGTTTTTTTTTCTCGGCTATTTATATATATGAGTCAGTCTATTTTGGTGGTTATGTTGCTGGAAGTCGTTTATTTGTTTATTTATTTATTTGGGCTAGATTATTTTGTTTGTTTTTATTTATTTTTCATTTATGTTTTTTATTTCTTATCTTATATATTTATTTATTTATTTATTTATTTTAATCGGTGTTTTATTAACGTAGTAAAAATTTGTTTGTATCACTTATTTAATAGTTTTGTTTTGGCTTGGGAAGATAATTAAAGCTACTTATTCAATTTTGGGGTTGACTGCTGTAGGAGCAGTTTTTAATTTGTTTATTACTTCATTTATTTATTTGGATTGATTATCTTTACTTGTTTTTTCTAACGATTAATTTATCGGGATCAGTTTATTTATTTATTTATTTATTTATATATATATCGGTTTGTTAGTTTGTTTATCAATTTATTTTATATATATATATATATATATATATATATATATTTTATTTATTTGTATTTCTGAGATGAGTATTCAAATATGACTAATTTACGTCTTCACTCTTTTTTTATCCATTACGCATTCCACACGACCAAGCTTACAGCACCTGGTATTCCCAAATAGTCACCCATCTAGGTACTGATCAAACTTGACATTACTTAACTTCAGTGATTGTATAAGAACCAGTGTTCAATGGGATAGAGCTGTAAGCCTGGTTAATTCTCGAGTTATCTTCAAGTAACATAAAAACATACAAAAAATGACTTACTCTCTTCTGGATGTTTCAACATCTTTCTTCGAGGGAAGATGACAACCATCAAACACTAGAATGGGTTTTAACCCCTTCTCAAGTAGATAATTAACATATTTTAGACAATAGTATATGTACCTGTAAGTATAAAGAAATTTGAAACATTAAACATTAAGCAAACAAATTTACTTACACTAATTGTGTGTTAACAAATGTCCAAAAAATTAAGGGAAGTGAAAAAGTGCATATAGTAAATCCAAAAGCCATGAAATAGTAGTGTCCAAGAGGCCAAAAAAAAGGAGGTGGGGGTCAAAAATTGAGTAAACTGTTCCAGTGATTCCATAGCTGGAGAGTTTATGTTCAACAACCTTCTTGTTTCATGTCATTTGTCAAAGATGTTGCATTTAACCCTGATGAAAAAAACAAAATATCTCGCAATGAAATGGGTCACATTATGTTCTTGTAAATTTTATGATTAATTGATGAATTAAAAGCAACAGCATGAGTGCTAACATGTGAAGTTTTTTTAGACAGCACATGCTGATGCATTGAATGGCAATGTTCACCCCCTCTTTTGAGAGTGCTTACCATCCTTGTCAGTCACCAAAAGTCCCTTCTTTGCATCACCATTGGGCAAACAGATTTTACCTGTGCAGCAGACATCTGTCCAGAAAATATATGGGTGATGGCAAACTACTGACAAATGAACAATTAATTTAATTTCTCATTTTACCTGGTTTATATATATATATATATTACAAGTTGTATACTCTTGCAAATGGTTTGAGAAAAGCTTGATCAACTGTCATCTAAGAGATAGAATAACCTACCTTTCTGTGTATCCAAAAACAAGGTTGGTGAAGTCTGTATTGCAAATCCAGTCTCAGAAATTCAAGAGACAAGAAATAGTATAGTCAAGAATCAAAATCACAAGTCGAACGTTAAAAGACCAAGAGTAAAAAAAAAAAAAATCTAACTTACAGATCCTAATATACCAAACTCACTCTCATTCACAAATGCACAAAAAATATGCTGTCTTCATCAAGAAAAGCCACAGCTTTCATTGAGGAGGTAAATTTAGTGATTTCTAATAATAATCAAAGAGAATAAAAACAATTACAATATGTGAGGTATACTTAAGGCAGTAATTATCTGAGACATTTATTTTTCTTTTCCTTTTCTTCAGCAAACTACACACAGGACACAAATTCTTTTTTGAGGAAGGTGATTTTCCCATCGGCCACACTAATTCATATAGAAATGATACAATTTGGTAGATAATAAAGAAAAAGATATATGTCCTAAACCAATTCTGTTTTAGTCAATTTGACTTTTCCTAATGCATTTTACATGATGATGGAAAACTAAAATGATGATATAACCATAAAAGAAAAAAATGGACAATGAAATAAAGATGAGGATATTCAAATGATTAAATGGAATAATATTAATTTCCAAAATTACATAATAAATGGCAACAAAAAAAACAATCAGTCTTACAATATAAACAGAAGCGACAAAAAAACTTTAATAAATATACATATATATCTTTTTAATCATTTCTCCCCAAGCAAGGCAACAAAGCTACTAGGATGCAAAGGGTTACTGAGTGTTAAAGAATGAGAAAAACTACTCTTAAGGAAAGAAAACAATAAAAGTGCAAGAATTAAACAGATAGAAGATAACAATTGACATTGTATTTAAATTTTTGAAGATCAAAGTTATAGCTGAGTTATAATTCTTTTCCTTCGCTCCTGCTGCACCGATAGCGTCCCTTCAAGCAACTGATCGGTGTTAACAAATTTATGGTGTCTAGCAAGGTCACTACATAAATTTTCAGTCACTCATGACATCACCCAGCCTGTGCAGATTGAATCTCCTGTGCACAGCACAGGCCATCTTATGTTGCTTATGTTGGGGGAACAGGCTGTGTCCACTACACCCACCACTAATCTCACTATCACACAGGTAGCGGCTGGGGGGGGGGGCTTGCTTTTACATCTGCTGCTTCTCTGAAGTGGTTTGACACACTCACTGGCTTCTTGACGCGGCCATGTCATGATCTACCGACTTTCATTGTCGCCATCATCGCTTGATTAGTCAACATTAGTTGAATGGTCATCTTCATCCTTTGTTACAGGTATGTACATCTCATAGTCACTCGACGCGGTGGTTTCATCTTTCACAAAATTGCTTACCATATGAGAAAAGAGATGGAGGTTTCTCACATGGTGCGGCATTCCATGCACATAAACCGCTTGAGGACTCACAAATCCAGTCACTGTTCCTGTTCTCCATCAACTTGTACACATGTTTGTCAGAGTCCTTATTAGTACAACGTCCCCTTTCTTGTATATAAACTGCTCAGACTGACTCAGGCTCCAGTGGAGGGATCCTGTCAACATTTTTCACTCAGACTTCATAATTGTACAAAGCATTAGCCAGAACAGTCACACTGTGGACGCCATCCTTTGACATAACGTTGTACGAGTATTCAAGAACTTCTTTTTAAACTGGTGAATGAAACCAAAACGAAAAATCAAAGTTGAAGGACTTAAATTTAGATAGTCGTTTTATTTTTTTTTAATCATTTCACCCCAAGCAAGTCAATAATGGCACTAAGATGCAAGGGGTTACTGAGTGTGAGAGAATATGAGAAAAATTACTATTAAAGAGAGACAACAATAAGAAAACAAGAATTAAGAAGACAGAAGATAATGATTAATATTGCATTTAAATTTTTGAAGATCAAAGTTGACTGGAAAGCAAGAAGTCAGAAGAAAGTTCCACAAGCGAAAAGTGCAATAGAACTGTCAGCATAGAATTTATGCTTACATCTAGCCATTTCAATTGTAAAATGATGAGACCTAGTCACAAATCTAGCATTGTGCTTAATTTCATAAAATATAGATAACAAAGAGGAAAGCTCATCAGAACAATTTCCATGATAATATTTATAAAAAAAAAAAAAAAAACTAGAGGGATGCTACTTTACAATGGTGGGAAAGTGAGTGAAGCGGAGACACCAGGTCAGGATTAATAACATTGCAGATTCTTCTTTGAATTTTATCAAAAATCTCTAAATATATAGCAGGAGCACCAGACCAGATGTGGCTGCAATATTCAAAGAAAGGATGAATGGTAGACTTATAAATATGTAAAATAGATTCTAGCAAGAAAAATTGTCTAGTGAACCAAATTTCATAGCTGTAGACCTAGCAATTGATTAAATATAATCTTTCCATTTCATGTCAACAGAAAACATTAGTCTGAAAAGACCAAGGAGTCATTCTTCTAGAGGTTAGCATTAGGAAAGTAAAAATGGTTCTCTCAGATGATTAAAAATGAGCAATTTTTTTTTTTATTTATCTCTAAATATGAAAAACATTTAAATCTGATTACAAGAACTAATTTTGTTTTAATAAACAAAGCAAGAAAATTATATTTCCTCTGTCAATTTTTTGTTCCAAAGCTTGAATTGACCATTAAAAAATAACAGTTTCTGATTATCATCAATTGAAATGCTCAAATGCCTCCTGCAAATCCCCGTTCATGGCCCTCCTGTCCAGCAATATGACCCAGGGAAAGCATTATCCATGTGGCTGAAGGGCACAATGACCAGACCACATTTTAAACATTAGTGGGATCAAAATAAATATTTATTTACTAAACAGTTTAATGATGTTAATATTATTGTGCTAAATGATATTTATAAATGACAATTTTTTTTTTAGTTTTGTAATGGTGTAAAATTTTTTTGGTGGGTGGGAATGATAAAATCTTATTTTTTTTTTTTTTTTTTTTTAGGACATTAGTGAAAAAAAAAAATACTCTGGAGCTGTCCTTAACCCCCACATTGTCTCCTTCATACACAAGTTCTGGGTATGGCAATAAACTACATCTGACAGCAAGGCCTCTCATCAGGAAAGCTCATCAGAACAATTACCATTAAAATATTTGTTGAAAAGACAGAGGGAAGTCACATCACATTGGTGAGAAAGTAACTGAAGTCAAGATGCCAAGTCAGAATGGCATTACAATACCTTTACAGTTATTTAATGCTATTTGTTTAATAGTGGATATTTTAGTTTTAGTTTGAAGGTTGAGTTAATTTGAAATTTTTGTATTGATAGGTCTAGTTTACACAACGATCAAAACTTTACATAAGTCTCCTTTTTCACAATTACATCTTCTTCAACATTCCAAGGAACTATGATGATCATCATCATCCTTCGACAATCCATTTCCACACTGTTCGGTCCTGCATTGCTGTCCCCAGATCCCCTATGTCCAACCCTGAGTCGTGAACTATGGTGTCTGGGAAACTCAATTTTCGTAAGAAGACACTTCCAGAAGGATGCCATAAGAGTAAGGATGAGACGATTTCCCTGTCCACTCAGTAGTGGCCAGCCAACTTCTATGGTCAAATGGCATTAAATCCTATCCACATCTATATCTTTACCTATATTATCACACATAAGTCATCCAACTAAATCCATTTCTACTAGTGGACAAGGATAAAAACACTTTTTTGGCACTTCAGTTAGTAGACTGTAAAGTTACTTACTGATCTGTAGGTTCTCCAAGGGCTAATTTTTCCGCACAAGAGAAGGCTCCCTTGTGAAGCCAACAGTAAGCATCAATGGCTACTGTACAACCTGCAAACTGAGAAATATTCACTGGAGAATGTATTTTCTTTAGGAATGGAAGTAAACCATTAATACCCATGTTGACTTTTACTGACCTAAAAAAAAAAAAAAAAAATAAAAGTATTACAATCATAAGAACACAGAATTACTTGCAGTAAAATAGAAAATAAAAAAGGATATTTTTCTCATGATCCATAAAAAAACGTTTGATAATAATTTTAGTCTTTTCAATGATGATGAATGTAAAAAAAAAAATACATTTTTCTTTTGATAAGTGAGGAAAATAACTGACAAAAAATGTGTAGAAACATTAATAATGGGAATAGAAAATGCGTTTTAGTCATTATCCTTTTTATTTTCTGCTTCACTGACGAAAATAAAAACGTGGTTTTCTACTCAGTTCACTTTTATTTTTTCATCTTTTAGAGTTTAAAACATTTTACATGAAATTCATAAAGTCCTTTTAGTTTTCTTGTACATATAATTTTTTACTTTTTTTTTTTAAATGATACATAATTTATAAGAAATTTTAAAATAACGATTTTTAACAATTTATAACAAAAAAAATCACATACTTCAAAAACTAGTTAAAAAATAACAAACGCCCAGCTAAATATTTTTTTATAATCAATAAATTATTCAAGAGAGAAAAATAAGGAAAACAAACTTAAATTAAAACACTGTTTCCATTGCTGTCAAGGTCTGGGTGCTTTTCAAGGTAATTAAATTTTAAAAGCAAACAATTGTATTGATGAATATTGAATGGTACAAAAATGAAAATGTCATCTACATGACAAAAGTAAACTTTTATCAAATGTCAACTAGTGTTTTGTTGATAAAATGATGAAATGTTTTGTCAAAATAAAGAAAAAACAACAATATTTAGGTACGAATTTATACACAACCACAATCTAAGTAAAAATAAAAAATGAATAGTCATTTTATTTGTGTAGTGATGACACTTTTTCATGTTGCAAACTTATTTTCAATCTTTAAGTTTGCTTTTAAATTTAATTTGGGAAAAATAAATTTTAGTTTGTTTTTGCCTTCTCTTCTCTTAGACTACATTGTATGTATATTCGAAAATATTGTAGTCACTACAATATTTTCGAATATACATATTTTTCATTTGAACAATATATGAAAAAAAAGACTTTACCAAGAAAAAGTGTAGACTAATTTTTTTTTTTTTTTAATAAAAACTTGGAAAATTTTCAAGCATTTCTTTTGCTTTTTTTAAAAAAATCATTTCACTCAGTCAGATACACAAAGTAAATTAAAATATTTTTGAAAAATAGCATAAATTTCAGAATACTATGAAATCAATATTAAAGTCAAATTATTTTAAAGGTGTTTTAAATAAAAAATGATTTTATTCGTGGGTTGATTGTATTTGCTTCATACCAAAGAAGAAAACAAAAAGGATCATTTTAAAAATGTACTTAAAAACACACGCATTGTCTTTTTTGCGTAGAAATACAATATATTCATTTGTTTTGTTACAAAACTTATGTACTTACACTTGACTTAGTGACGACTACTACACTACACTAATCTTCAAAAACTATAAAAAACATTCAACAGCATGAAGAGAAGAAATTTCTTAATGCGATATTTTTTAGGGAGAACGATAAAAATTAATGCACCTAACTCGATAAAATGCTGGTATATTTGGGATGAAAAAAAAGAAGCTTTTTTATGACAATAATAAAAATAAAATTATCTATGACCAAATATTTCTAAATTTTTTAAAACATGCTCAGACGTAACTGCAATAAAAAATAGAAATTACATTACTTTTTTTCGTCTTTAATGAAAAAGACTTGGGTTTGAAAAGGTCGTTATTCCTCAACACTTATTTTCTAATGCTACATTGTTTAGGTTAAATAATTAATCACTGTGATTTCATTCAAATACATATTACGAGCAAAATGAAAACTGAAAAAACAAACTTACCGCAATTTTCTACGTTCCCGCGTTTGTTGATATAAATGTCTACAAATAGTTTCGTATTAAAAAGAAATGTTTACTTTCTTAAAGTAAATAAAATGGTTTAATTTAATTATTAAGTTATTTTAAATCAATAAATATAAATAAGTTAAAATTGTCAATAAGAATTTAAGATTCGAAAATACCACATAACACATCATCAAAAAAAGATGGCCGAGCTACCTATACAACAATCCACATCATCAGGGAGTTTTACCTTGGATTTAAGCAAATTTGAAGAAAATGAGAAATACACCCCCGAAACTCGGAAGTCTCCAGGAAGAGACCTTACATTGGAAAGTCCAAGTAAATTCATGCCGTCACATGATGAATTTCATTTCGTTCATTCCTCAGGTAATGAAGAAAGAAGATTTTTCTAATTGTTTGGATTTTGTTTCCGTTTTTTAAAATATTTCTTTATTGTCATTCACGTGAAAAACTCTTTTGAATGTCTAATTAACTGATGTTTATTTATTTTGTTGTTAGTTTGCTGTAAAATATTCTTTCTTTTATAATTTGTAATAAAAAAAAATTAATCTAGTTTCAATTTCTGATTACATTTGTTTCTTTGACAATAATAATAGATGTCAAAAATCACTTCAAACCTAATCTTAACCTTTTCAATTTCTAATAGTTTCATTGCATAAGAAGTTCATTATATCGTAACATTTTGGTTTATTCTATGCAACAAAAAAAAAGAAAGACGAATGGGATATCCCAAAGTTACCAACCCTGATTCTTGTTGATGCTTTTTTAGTCAAATGACTGATTTTTTTTTCACTTGTTTACTTTTAAACTAAACATGAACCTAAGCCTTTTTTTTATCAAATATCGTTTAAGACAAGATGCTGTAGTCTATGTATTTATTGTGGGTCCGAGATCTACTTGTCTAATCTTGTAAACAAACTTTTTGTTTTTATTTTAAATTCGCTTTTTTGCTTACACTTTAAAAAAAAAAGCGTACTCCCCCCCCCACACCTTTCCTTTTTTTAATTCCTGTTGGGTTCTTTTCTTCACGTTACACACAAATAAGAAAAGGTATGAATCCAACCCTTCTCCCCATCTATGGGTTAATTAGTAAGACTTGTATCGTTAAACTATTACCACCACCCCACCTCCCGAAAATTTTTACCATCTAAATAATATTTTCTTACTTTAAATAACTGCAAAGGGTTGACAAGTCGTAGGAAACTAATCAATGTTCTTAAATTTAACAATCCCAAATGAGGCTACTTTGATTTGATTTTTCCCAAATGACTAAATTCAGGTTATTTCCGCCTCTAGTCAAGTTTGAATGTAGTTTATTATTTTTAAACTGTCTTTAGCCAAGAAATTTCTAAAATTGCTAATTAACCAAATTATTTTAAATTTCATTTGTAATTTTGGACGTGCAGGTGGTGTAATGAATAGGAGCTCGGAATGAGAAATGGCAGAGCCAAGTTTGAATTTCAGTCAAGTTTGTTACATTCACTTCCACACAAGTACTCTTGGAGGAAAAATATGAATTCATGTCTTCTCCTCCTAGCTATGGGTTAAATAGTAATATACAGACAAGGTTCTTTAACCTTGGTTGGCAACCATCCAAAAGTTATATAAATGCCAAACCTACGAGGAAGAAAGCAGGATCCCTCGCAAAAAGATTGACTGAAGAATGATCTGAAACTACATATCACTTTATTCAACTGACATTAATTTCAGCTCAGAAGTGAATAAATGATTACTTTCTGAAAAATTTATTTTTAGCAGATGTTATGAAAATAACATTACATCTTTTTTTTTTTTTTTTTTAAGCATATTCAGAAACATTTTGTTTTAATCCTTTCCTTTCAGAACAATCAACTTTGGAAGGTGCTATTGAAGGGGGACAAAAAGATACACATACATTGAGTCCAGGTTATGGAGTCCGTCATCGAGGTTTTGCTGGAAACTTTCTGGAATCTAAAGGCTTTGGCTGGCTCATGGAAGAAGATGACACTGAAAATCAGCAACAGAAACCATTACTGTGAGTGAGCTTTTCACAAAAGTACTGTTCAATATATTGACATAGTATTTAAATTTTGTTTTTTCACTTCTATCTAAATAACATCAAAATGAATAAAATCATTAATCTTAGTATTGTAAAACCAGTTGCTTCTTCCTCTCCAAAATTCCAATATTTTCAAAGTGATTTTTTACTTCAATAATTATACCTGAATTCTCTTTGTTATAATATTCTTCCTGAAACTACTTGTAGAAAACTCTTACCATTTAAAATTCTTTAATTTAGCCGAAATTAGTTTAATGCTTTTTTTTTTCACTAATCATACATATATAATAAGGTTATTTTTGTTAAAAATATTCAGATTAAGTCTAATAACTCTGATTTTTTTTTTCTCACTCTTACTTCCAAGAACTTTCATATATTTCTTTTACTTGAATCTTCAGGGAAGAATTGGATATTGATCTAAAGGATATTTACTATAAACTGCGTTGTGTTCTCTTCCCCTTGCCTCAACTTGGCTTCAACAGGAAGATTGTTCGAGATAATCCAGATTTTTGGGGTCCACTTGTCGTCATTCTACTCTACTCTTTAGTTTCCCTCTATGGTCAGTTTACGGTAGGTATAACAGGCATAGATATTACACTGAGCTCAAACAAATTATTTATTTAGATTCTGAATTAAACTTTAAAAAAAAAGAAAAACATTCGCTGGCCTGTGAAAATACACACACGTGTGTGTGTGTATGCATGTGCATATACAGGGTTGTTCAGTTCTTTGAGGACATTTTCATGAATTTAGTAAAAGATGTATCAATCATGAAAGAAGAGCATTATTTGTGGAAGAAATTGGCACAAATAATCTTGAGACTCTTCTTGACACATCTACTTAATGATTCTACCATTAGCATCAATGACTGCTTCAATACAGGGTTCAAATCAGATGAGCTATCTTTATTTTGTTCATTGTGCTAGTTATGATGGGCTTCTGAGATTTTATAATGTCATGTAGGGAGACATTTAACTTCTCTCTCGAGTAAGCCCATACGTTGTGGATTCAGGTCTGGAGAGCTAGGAGGCCATATGTTTGGAGTGACATGATTAGGGCAATTGTAACTTATCTATGAGTCATCTTTGTCTTATGAGATAGCACAGAGTCTAATAGGTGTACAGTCTTCCTTTGTTTATGCTATCTATCCAAGCCCTCATAAACCTCTCCAACACCTCCTTATAGTCAGCAACATTGACCTTTACGACCTCAGGAAAAAGTGTGGAAGCATGATATCTCCTTCATTGTTCACAACTTCCAGAACCATCACAATTGCCTGAAATCTTGTGTGCATGACCATTGGAATGTCCTTAGGGTCTCTGCATAACCATTTGTCATTCATTCAGTTAACCTTTTGGTCCTGATCAATGCTTTCTCATCAGAGAAAAACCAAAACATTCCAGATTCTTGATACTTCAATTTGCTCAACAAGTGCTTTGCACAGATCAGGCAGTTATCTTTCGCCTTTGCACACATGAAATGACCACTTTTGAGCTCCTCAGTAATGGCTCTAATTGACTTTCTAGGGTTCTTAATGATAATTTTCTTCCCCGTTCATACAAATTTGGGTGTTCTGATGGTAGTAGGAGCCTTAACAAACATTTTATATTTGGTTACTGCTGTAGAATTCCTATCAGGGGCTTCAAAACCTTTGAAAAGTTTGACAACAACCAACCATGTAACCTACAGGAAGCAAGCAATCTCTAAATCACTATGCTTTGCATGCCTTTACATTTGCCAAGTTAACTTGGATGTTTGTTATCATTTATCTATAAAGAAACAATAATGGGAACAAGTTAGAAAAAATGCTATTAAAAGACATGTCCTCAAAGAACTAAGCCACCCTGTATATTATCTGAAATTTTGTTCTCTCTCTTTTTTTCCTTACAATAATATGCTTCAATGCCAGTATAGCGAGACATTCTTTATTTTTTCTTTTTCAATAAAAGGAAAATTAAGATTCACTCCTCTCATTTAACACTCAATAACTGAAACTCAATTTTACTATTTAAGGTCTTTTAATTTTATCAAATATATAATTATGGTAGTGAAAAGAACCAGAAGTTGTTGAGTCAGATGTTACTGCTTGATATCAAATTGCATAAGGGAAAAAAAATGATCTCAAACATTATTATGACTTTTAGGATCAGCACATGGTATAAGTGGCTATTGTTGATTGTAGACATCAGGAAATGCCCCCATCCCTACCTTTTTTTAGCACAACAAAAAATTGCATGCTGGATGATGGTTTCAAATATTATATTTTATATTTATATTCTCTAACTGTTTCAGTTGAAAGCATCAAAGATGAAGTTATTAGTCTGTATTAACCAACCTATTGAAACTTTACACAATTGTCTTCTGGATCTAGTTAGGTCTTCTATAGGGATTTTAGTATATTAGATTTAGAAGATAAAATTACATATAAATCAATTGGAATAATTTCAGATGATGTTGGCATCAATTTTATTTTAGGTGAACTTGTAATAAATGAATCAGGAATAAAAATTCTTGGCTTTTATTTCTCAGATATAACTACTGAGCAAGAACCACTTCTAAGTTATTGTCTTTAACGCCAAATACAGAATGTGATTTTTAAAAGAAAAATTTCTAAATGAAATTTAATGTCCAAGTAGTGTAAAACATACACAAACTCACTTAAATTTTAGGTTGCATCACTTAAAAAAAATAATATTGCACGTCTCTCAAGTTAATAGTTTTGCTTAAGGGTAAATGTACAAGAGCAATATGCATGTATAAACTTGGCAAAACTTTCTCAGAAAAATTTAGATGGTCTAATTTGGTGAATGCAGAATAGATGTGTTCAAGTGGTATAAATATTTTAAAGAAAGATAATTGCTTAGTTTGTCCATCCACTTGAATTTTCCCTAAAAATGCTGCTTAAAAAGTCCTTCAAAATCTTTCTCTTAACAGCTAAAATTGTCTTCAATTTTATACAGTTATTGTCAGACAAATATGACCGAAAATTAGCAAATATTTGATGACATAGAAAAATTTACTGTTAGTATCGTGGCATGACTTCAAAAGGAACTCACTTCACAGGGATAATTTAAACTTACCAAGGTAGAAACTTTCTATTCTAAATTTTATATATATACATATACATATATATATATTGCTGATGATTAAATGAAGTTTTACAAATTATATTCCCTTGGTTTTTAAAAAAATAAATAAATAAAAGAATAAGCTCTGGAGTGCTGCATTTTTCCCTCAACAAATCTTAGAAGATGGCAAACATCATTCAGACATTCAAATCTTTTCTTTTTATACTTACTGTTAACATAATGTTTTGGTTCTGGTTAGTTATATCTATCTTTTCTGAGATAAACCCTAGGTAATTGAGAGAGAGAGCCTCATTAGGGAATAAGAAGGCTGGGGCTTGTGGCTTGTCAAGCTAACACAAATTTCCACCCCATTTGGTTTTCTTTTTTAGCAAAATTGATGTTAGGTTTTTCTCCCCCTCCCCTTTCGGTACTTTGTGTAATTTGTAATTACCTGAATACCTGGTGTACCTACACTGTAGAATTAAACTTGTCCATTGGGTATATTAATGAATACTTTTAGTTTCTTTTTCCTTAGATCAGCTGAAACATGTTGACAACAGCAACTATACAAATAAGAGATTTGATCATCCAATGGTCAATAATTTGTTTTCAAGAGCTTGACAAGAAATAAAGTATTTCTTTTTAAGAATTCAAGACTGATTAGAAACCTTGAATTAATGCAGAAAGATGCATTTAATAAATGAATAAATGTATTTTTTCTTTAATTCAGCCAAGTTCACAAAAATAATTTTATTTTAACATGTGTTACCAACATGTGATAAAGCCTGAAGAAACCTTTTAATTAATATAATTTTTTATACAGTTTGTTAATAAATTACAGTGTCTAAATTTACTTTAGATTGTTTTGTGATTATTAGTGTAATTCTATAAATTTATCTTTCAAATATTCTTTCATTCCATTTGACAATGAGAGAATTGTGTTTCATCACAATAAGTAATTATGTTTATATACCTTACCAACAAGACCATTCTCTGATCTTATTAAATTATAAAAAGCAAATTAAATTTTAATTAACTATTAAGATCCTTTAATATTTTTTTCCTTCCAAAAATCAAAAAAATGTCCAAATTCTAATTGTAGGTTGTTTCCTGGATTATCACAATTTGGGTTTTTGGGTCTTTGATTATTTTCTTGCTTGCCAGAGTTCTTGGTGGTGAGGTAAGTTTATATTAATTTTTCTTATTCTGGCTGGTAAATTTTACAAGGTTTTGTTTTAAAACATAACGGCTCTCAGTCACTGTATTCCTTTTATTTTCCACATTTATATTCTTCACAATAATAAAAAATAAAGATTAAAAAAAATGAAAAATCATCAGAAGTTTAAAAGTTTTCTCTTGAAAACGACCAAGCACTTACTATTTAAATTTTAAAATATTTTTAATAGATTGACTTTTTATCATTTTATAGCAATACAATAATCAGCAGATAGAGAACAACATTTATCTAAATCATATGATAAATATTAGGTCCAAATAAATATTTGAGGCATTTTTAAATGAATTTCAAATTCATTCGACCATATATGTGCCATTTTGTTCCACTACCTTTTACCATCTTTGAGGCAGCTTCATGATTCTGTCCTCTCAGAACTTTGATCCTTTCTGAGTGATGAACTGATCTAAGCGGTTTTCGTAGGCATCCAGAGAATTGAATCTCTTTTTTATTAAAAGAATTTTGTAGGAATTGAAATAAGTTATAATCCGAAGGTACAAGGTCAGGTGATTATAGTAGAACATCCTAGCCAAGTTCTAATAATTTCTGTTTGACCTCCAAAGAAGCTTGAGGTCTGGCATTGTTCTGATGGGAGATGACTCCTTTCCACTTGGGTAATTCTGGATTCTTTTCGTCAATTACTGCCTTTTAGTCTTGTCCAGTTGGGTACAATACTTGTCTGAAGTCAATGTCTGATTTTGCAGAAGGACCTTGAAATGTACAATGCCTTTCCAATTCCCCAACATACACAGCATTCCCTTTAGATTAACAGTGGCTCATTTCATTTTCCCCCAAGACTTTTACCATTCCACATTGTTGTATACAACCCATTTTTCATTGCCTGTGATCATTCTATTTTTTAAAAATGGGTAGTTTTTTTTGTTTGAGCTGGAAATCATAGCCCAAAATACAATCCATTAAATTTTTATGTTAACATGTTGGCTCCCACAGGACCCACCGGAGGGTCATGGTGGCATGTCTGCAAAGCCCACACAACCCTCCAGTGGGTCATTTTCCAATTTCTTTTTTATGAGGATTATTAACATGCTATGATTGCTTGCTTATAAGACCATGGTCTTATAAGCAAGAAATCATAGCATCCCACTCTTAATAATCATCCATCAGAACCACATTTTTTTTCCAAAAATATATTTTTTCGTTTCCCTTTTGGAATTTCTACTGTTGTGTTTTTGGGTCATATTTTTTATTTTTACATACACAGAGCTGTACCATGCATTCATGTGGTACTCTGGGTTGTAAAGTGGACTCTGGTACCAAACAGCATACCAATGGGTTGTGGGTAATAAATACTATCCTTGCCTCATATATGAAAGCATGTTAAAACAAAGTCTCTTGTACGAAAATTAAGATATGGTGTTGGAACCCTGGGACAAGAAGAGGAATGAGGCTTGGGAGCCAACATGTTAAAACCCAAAGATCCTAGAGATTCCCATATCCAAGTGTTTTCAAATGCCTTATAATGCTTATACGAGATGTGAAGTATCTCGACAATGTCCCATGTCATGTATCCGGGATTATTTTTAATCAGCATTTTGATTTTTGTCATCCATGCTTGCAAGCCTGCCAGAACATTCTCAATTTCCCAGATCAAAATTTCTACTTGAGAACATAGCAAAGTAATTATGAACAGTACACTCAGCTATGGCACCATCTTCATAAATGGCACATATCTTTTTTTCTGTTTATACAGCGGGGTTTTTTTTTTTTTTTTCACTTCAAATGACAAAAATACATGACATTTTCATTGCAGTAGATATTTTTTAAAACCAAGTTTGTTTAATGAATTCCAGATTATGTTAGCCATTCTCTATTTTGTAAAATTTTTCAATGGAGAAATGAATATTGTCTATTTACAACTTTTAACTGATTTTTATACTTTTTTCCATTAGATGCTTAAATCTATATTTTTCCAACTCCAGGTAACATATTCTCAATGTCTTGGTGTAATTGGTTATTCCGTGCTGCCTTTGGTCATTATGGCTTCCATCATGCCTTTGGTGCAGTCCTTTTCAATTGTCAGTACACTCTTCAAGGTAAGAATTTGTTAAATCTTTTCTGTCTCCCATCCAGAAAAAAAAATCACTTTGGCTTTTTAAAACCTCCAAAGAAAGTAAAAATTCAGTCATTTTTTTATATTTACCCAGAAATTCAATGGTAACTTTTTATTTCATACATTATCCACAGTAAAGTTCTAGATAATAGAAAGTGAACATGACATCTTGGCCTCAGATTTCAAACTTTATCAATGATCTGCGACTAGTAACAATTTATATCACAGCTTCATCATGCTGTTATTACTTGAGCAAACAGATATTGAAGGAGTTGATTTTCTGTGAACTGTTCCTTTTATAATAAAACTACAAGTAATTGACAATAGATCAAGGCACAGAAAGTGAATCTATGTCTTTCCCAAAGGTATTAATACAAAATATCAATTTGTTTAACTAGAATTTGTGCTGATTCCATTTGTCAAACTACATATTACATTTAGATAATCCTATGCAAATTATTGTTGCTACAAGAACTTCTTTTGATAAGTTTTGCCAGTATTTAATGAATACCTCTGTATGGCGACTAGTTACAACTCCACAAAGAATTTGTGGTCTTATAGAAACTGTAATGTTATGGCAACTTGTAAGTAAAAATGTAATGTTTTGGTGGAAGGAATATTATCAAATGATTGAGTCAGTGATTGTGGCTAGCTACATTAAAGATAGGACGGATGACCTGCTCTCTCCTCCCTATTTTTAGGCCTTGTACTGTATTTAATATAATTAATAAATATTATTTGTAAATGCTTCATTACAACCAGACCAATTTCCTATCTACTCAACCCAAACCAAAGAACTACACCTGGAAATAATGTACCCACAACACCTAGGCATTTTTTTTTTTCCCTCCAAAAAAAGATTTTATTAAATTGATATAAACAAATTGCTTATATTTGGAAGTTTGTTCTTTGGATTGTTTGTATTTATTTTATTCATTCTAAACATTGTATGTTACCCTCTCTCTTGTCATCATAGTACTTTTGTATCTTCACTCTCTCTTATGTGTTTTGAAAAATGTCCAGATTTTTGTTTGACATAACACCTTTATTAAATTTATCAACCTAAAAAAAAGTTTCTCCTTTCTTAGAGGGCACATTTTGTTTTCGCATTTTTTTTTTTTTTTTAAATCATTTTACCCTGAGTAAGGCTACTAAGAGGCAAGAGATTACTGAGTGTTAGAGAATATGAAAAAAAAAACATTATTAAGAAGAGAAACAATAAAAGAACAAGAATTAAGAAGAGAGAAGATGATGATTGACATTGCATTTAAATTTTTGAAAATCAAAGTTGACTGGAAAGCACGAAGCTGAAAGAGAGTTCCACAAGTGAGGAGTGCGAGAAAAGAAACTGTTAGCATAGAACTTATGGCTACATCTAACCATTTCAATTGTAGAATGTTGAAACCTTGTCGCCAACCTAGTACTGTGTTTAAATTCATAAAACCTAGGTACCATAGAAGAAAGTTCATCAGAAGAATTATCATGAAAGTATTTATAGAAAAGACACAAGGAAGCCACGTTACAGTTCTAGGAAAGTGACTGAAGCTGAGATACCAAGTCAGGACCGATAACCTTACAGATTCCTCTTTGGGTTTTACCAAGCAGCTCTAAATATAATAGGAGCACCAGACCAAATGTTGCAGCAATATTCAAAGCTAGGACATATGGTAGATTTATAAATATATAAGATAAATTCTGATGAGAAAAATTGTCTGGTGTTGACACAGTGAACCAACTTTCCTAGTAGTAGACGTAGTAGTTGATAAAATATAATCTTTCCATTTCATGTCAGCAGAAAATGTTAATCCGAAAAGGAGCAATGTGTCATTCTCCTGGAAGTTATCATCAGCTATGCTGATGGAAGGTAAAACAGGTTCTCTCAGATGATGAAAATAAGCCATTCTTTGCCCTAGTTAATAGACTGTAGGTCATTTTTGAGATCAGCTGCCAATTTGACCTTATTGAACCAATCAGATTTATTATTAAGACAGGAGTAAATAGTTGTTATAGATACTGAGTTGAGAACTGATGACATCAGAAAAGTCATTTATAAAAATTAGAAGCAATGTAGGTCCAAGGATAGGTTCCTGGGGAACACCTGCATTAATGTGGAGTTAATTTCTTTTATTCAAATCTTAAGCTAAAAAGATGAACCAAAGAAACAGTCCTTCGACTCTGACACTACCTATAAATAATACTATACAATAATGGCCTTCTTAGATCTCTTTAATCACTACCTACACCTTAAAATCCTTTTCAGTTGATTAATCTTATGGGAACTACCTAAAGTATTGAATCATTGTAATATACAGGGGGTCCTCCAAGAATTAACATCATTCAAAATGTGAATATCTGAGTAACTACATGTCTTCGGAAAACAAAATTAATAGGCTTCATGTTGAACAATAAAAGATTAATTTATCAAAATTCAAACAAGGTATTCAAAGGGATGTAGATGTGACCTTAAGCCGACCTGGTCCCAGATATAGCCTTGAGCCTTGGTGATGTCACTGAATACCTTCTAGTTACTGGCATAAGACAGAACTGTCCCTTGATCCCTGGCCAAAAAGATCCTCTAAATGCCAAAGTCAGGTCTTCTGGATCACAAGGAATTAAGTACGTTGTGTATTGCAATTTGTTACTAAAAGTAACAAAATTGCACCATGGTAAATTTTAATGGATTATCTACGAATGTCTTCTCAGGTTTCCTCAGATGTCGAAATCAAGGAAGAACTGTTGCAACACCGGATTTGATGATAAAAGAAAATCTGAAGTTTTATTTTCCTTCATTTAGACGTTACACTAACAAATAAAAACAAAAATGCTTGGAGAAAGTTCAAACCAAAAAAAAATATTAACAGTTAAATTCTTTGGTATGAGTTTCCACAAGAAACACAAAAAAAAAAAAAAATAAAGTGATGTCAAACTTCCTGAAATATTTTAAGTTCATTCATAAGAGAAACAGCCTAAAATTAGCAATCAGCAGCAACAGTCGTCTGGTTCATTGGGTACCATGGTTCTGTTCTATACAAAACTGTCATCTTCACTTCTTTCCCAAAACTGTCTCTCTAACTAACCCGGGGCAACTGCTATTAGCTGTTTATATAAAAATTAACATTTTTCTGGAGAAGGTTCAGAGCACATTGGGGCGATTCACTCCTGTTGGAAAATATTTTCACAATATTAGGTTCTTTGTCCTTCACACATACACACCCTACCAACCAATAATACGCAGTAGGGATTCTGGTTTTACCTGGCTAAGAATTTCACAGTAAGATCAATTGGCTTTGCTCGACAGTTCTCAGCATAGTATTTCTTTATTTCTTCCTTTTCTGGTTTTGTTTTTTTCGAAAATAGGTGTCAGGAAGTTTTTTTTCAATTCTGTGTACTAACCATTTAACCTCAATTCTCAATAGGACCGTATTTGTTACCCAAAGATTTAGATAACCAAACAAACTCCAATGACTAATTGAATATACACACATTCTGTACCTGTTAACATATTTTCCTTCATTCAAATTTACAAATCGAGTTTTGAATGCTGAAGGAAACTTACATTTTCAAAATTATTGTTCTTTTTGCTTTTATCCACACTCCATACTGGTACATGGATTTTATAACTGATTTCACAAAGCTTCAATATATACACCACCTGTGACACAACACACATCAAGTCAGTAGTCCAGCTCCTGCCAACCATGCTGCAGCATGTCTTGCATAACATTCTCCAGCACCTCAGCATAGACTTGTCTCAATGAGAAACTACCAGGAAGATGGATTGGTCATGCCAGTGATATTGACAATGTGCTCTTTAAATGGCCACCACATTCACTTTGTGATTTTTTTCTTTCTATGTGGCTATGTGAAAGGCCACATATATATATCTTCCCTCTTCCTACAAGGCTAGCAGAAATTAAGCAGAGAATCACTGAAGAATAATACGCAAGGCATGCTACAGCGTGTTTGGCAGGAGCTGAAGTACCAACTTGATGTGTATCATGTCACAGGTGGTGCACATGTTGAACATTTGTGAAGCTTTGTGAAATCTGTTATAAAATCTACATCTCTTTGAATATCTTGTTTGAATTTTGCTAAATAAATCTTTTATTGTTCAACATGCAGCCTATTTAATTTAGTTTGCCAGGGACATGTAATTACTCAGATATTCACATTTTAAATGATGTCAATTTTGGGGGGGACACCCTGTATCTTGGGTTGGTGAAAAAGTTTGGGCCAAAAATTCATAGCATCATTATTGAGAGATCAAAGAATTTTCTCTGACCCTGTACACTTTTCAGCTAAATTATCCTTCTATCATAAAAGAATTCCATTTTTGATTCAATTAATTCTTCAGTGGATTTTCAATATATGGAAAATGTTGACAAAATGCTGACCAGAGAAAATATTGTAGAGAGCATGTAAGTGTAAGCGTTCTGAAAGCAAAGGAAGTATTTGTCACAGATTACTTTCACAACACAAAGAAAAATCACTGTAAGTACAGACTCGAATATCGGGGGCAGAAAGAAATGCTGAAAACTTGATTCGCCGGTACTATCTCGAATCACAATGCGTGTAACCAGTCAGGAAAATAACTCACTCTCTAACAAACGCCGAAGCCAAAAATGCCCGAATTTCCCTCCTCCAAATCGAGAACACCAACTGCTTTTATCAGCAGAACCTATTTTTTTCATTCATCGACAGCTGGGATAGGATGCTCCGTAATTTGCATATCAAAATACTCTTATAGCGACTCCTGCAACGGACTTGTTTCTTTTTTCGTCACAGAATACACGCGACGCCCTGTCGCTTGGTTTGACGAGGTAAGTTGCCATTTTCTTCGCTATAAGATTTTTGCTGACTACTTTTTGGTAATCCTTCTTCGGCAGATCGCACACAAAACACAAACTTTTTTCCGGGGTACCTGATTATCTCTTTCACTACAGAGCAAAACGGGTGATAATCAGAAGATGACAGATTTGGAAAATACCTTAGATATAGAACTTACCATCCCAGTGCAGTGTTCATTTGCTGCATTATCTTTGCAACATGAGAGTGCACATTATCATGTAGCAAAATATCAAGTCAACTTCTTTGCCTCTCATTATCATCAAACACACATTGTCTAGCTTCCAACATGTGTGATAGGTAATTCACATTGAATCCCCTAAGCCAAACTTCCTTCTTCCAGTAGATTCTATTTAGATGTTGAGGGGCTGTCCAAGATCTAGCCATGATTTTCTTCCTTTTTGATTCTCTATTTATCCATAATTGACTCTGTAGGTGTTTCACCACCCAAAGAAAGAAATGTCAACAGACATTGGTTTCCATAAGATTATTTGGAAGATATTCTTTCAGCTTCTAACTTTTTCCCAAGACCTACATGGATCATATTTACATCCAGAATCATACAGCATATCTTTTTTACACATGAACTTATTATGAATATAATGTGGGATAATTAAAACAATAAATATAAAAGTTATAAAAAAGTGAATGAAGCTAAATTTAACATGTGGACATACCAAAAGTCAAAAATCTACATTTAAATGTTGAGCCTCTCTTTATCTTTAACATTTTTATGTAAACTGAAAATTGGCATTTTTTTATATTTCTCTCTGCACCTTATTGCCCTTTTCTAAACAAGACTGATTCCATCAATAAAACTGTTATTTGTCTGAAGAAGTTCCTTCTCAGAATGAAATGTATCACTAATAAGTTTTCTGTCTTGTCATTCATTTGCCTTTTTAAATTATTATAAAATTTATGGGATTTTTTTAATATATTTTTAGTAATATTTTATTTTTTTCAGTTGATTGGTGTTGTGTGGGCTGCATACAGTGCTGGATCTTTGTTGTGTGTTCAGGAATTGCAGCAGAAAAGACCTTTACTTCTCTATCCAGTTTTCCTTCTTTACATTTATTTCTTCTCTCTCTACACTGGAGCATGAATATTCCTTTACATTCACCCAGCTAAATACACAGGCAACTTGGAATTCTATCAAACAAAACAAATCCGTCTTTACTCATGGGAAAAAACTTTAAAAGTAACATGGAATGAATACAAAACTATCTTGCAGCTAATACATACATGCATACATACATATATATATATATATATATATATATATATATATATATATATATATATATAATTTGGGGGATAATGCCATAACAGATATAATCCCGGGTAACATTTTCTAACACATTATATTCTGCAGTATTTGCAATGAGAATAAAACTATATCTATTTTTGTTCTTATATAGGATGTGGTAGAAATACCTCACATAATGGTAAGACATTAGTGGCAATGATGTCTTTATCAAGCAAATGCCTTACCATTATGTGGGAGGTATTTCTGCTTCACCCTGTATTGTGGCTACAACTTAATTTTGAGGTTGTCTTGTTAATGTTATATACTTAAACAGTATTATTGTCAAGTATATAAATTTTTTTTTGTTTACAAAAGATTATTTTTATTTTTTTTCTACCATTCATAAACTGGATGGAGGCTTATTGTCGGTTCAACTTGAAACAGGCATTTACAAAATGGGCAAGTAATTTTACACCCCCATCTAAACTCATTGTTATCAGTCTGTTTGTGTCAATACTAAATTGATAAGAATAGAAAAAACAAAATTTCTTGTAACCAGTGGATTTGAGTCAACATGTGATAAAATAATTCTCATAAAGTTCTCATTTTACATATAGCAGATAGTCCTGTACTTGTAAAATCTACAAAAAATAAATGGGGTTTCATATTTAAGACATAATAAAACAAAAAATAGCCTGAAAAATGTTTCTTACACATGTTGGAAAAATACTGTAATTGCTTTTCTCACTCTTGTGGTTTTCTTTGTTCAAAGTTTTTACAGCAATTATCAAAAGGATTAATTTTTATATTTTGTAAACTATAAAATGTGCCACTAAGTTTGTACAATTCTTAATTGGAACCACAATACTTATTTAAAGGAGTGTTGTTGATACAGGAATGATAAAACTTACATGTAGAAACATTTCACAAAAATTAATTTCTCACAGATAATTGGGTTAGCAATTACTATTACAATTTTTTGTTGAAAGTGAATTTTTCTTCAGTTATCACATTTAAATACACATTGGAAATTATTTTGTTATAGAGATTAGATTAAATCTATGGGGTAATATATGTATATATATATATATATATATATATATATATATATATATAATTGACTATCACAGATAATAAACATTTAATTCATTTTTTATTTAGTTTTTCTGTCATTCTTACATTTTACTAGTATTTAAAATAAAATACAAAAGAAACAGTCAAACATGAAGAGACATTAACAACACTGAAAACAAAAGTCCCTTGAAAATGGCTAAAGAAGTGGCCGAAAGCACTGGGGACAATGGACAATACAGACAAATTTTGCACTCCCTTACTCCCACCAAATTGAAAAATGTAAGAATGCTGGGAAAACTAATTGATTAAAAAATGAATTAAGTTTCCTTGTCTGTCATATTCAACAAAAAAATGTTTAAAAGAAAGGTTGCTGTCCATATATATATATATATATTTTCAAGCTATATCTAAATATGTTTCAGGATGAAAGTCTGTGAAGGGGGGTGTCTCTCTCTCTCTCTCTCTCATGGCTGGGGAGACTAATGATATTTAATAGGATTAGTTCTTTGCAAAAGTTGCTTCCTCTTAGAGGAAGCCATTATTTTGACAATGACAATAAATTTATTAATAAGGCTGGCATATGTCTATGTCACTAATCAGAATCCAGGTTATGTATTATATTTCACACTCTATCATGATAAATGATCTTGAAGATAAGTTTGAAAAATGTTGTTAAAACTCAGAGAAAGGAGCATGTAGCACTGCATTTCAATGCACAGTGTTAGCACCCATTACATGATCAACTTGAGGAGACAGTTCCAAAATCATATTTCATAATCAGTAAAGGAGGTTAAATTTGGTATCATTTGAAAGATAAAGTAATTTACTTTTATATAAAATCAACATTGAAAATGCTTGATTTTCATTGTTTTTTTTTTTGTTTTTTTTTTTTTCAATAACACTAATATCGCATTCAGATTTGTCAACCTTTCAGTCAGGATTCCAATCATTCAACAATTGAACTCTCTCTAGGGTTGATGGGGTTAAAGTCATCCATATGTGTGTGTTTTATTTAAGAAATTCAATTGGGAGAAGAAAAATAAATGTAACATTAGATGGTAAGCATGCTGACAGGTAATAATTGCTATCACCTCTCAAACTGTTTCTCTGAATAGAAAGTTGTCAGCCATTTTGATGAATCTATTATTTAAAAAAGTGACAGGTAAAGTGGAAATTATTGCTATCTCACCTGATCTAATACTGAATATTAAGCTATGAATTTGGTTTAACAAATAGCCAGCTTATAATTATAATAATTTTATTTATCTCTCAATAAACCCGGTTATGTTTTAGGTATTAATAAGAAAGCTTGTTCCCAGAACCCTTTTCTAATTTGATGCTAAATAATGGAATCTGTTAACAAGTCTTTTGTATTCATTAACTTCAGACTTTCCTCTTACCCATTTCATTTTTTTTTTTTTTTTTTCTTACTGTTTTTCACTGACCTTCATTTTAGGGTATTTACGGATATCCTACTCTTGGTCAAAATATTTGCCAGTTGGTGAGCCAACTGTTTGAATACGGTCCAACATCTTTAATCTGACATCCATGAGACCAGGCCACTGCCAAACCAGAGAAAATTCCAGATGACAGATCACCCCTAAAAAAAAAAATGTAAACCAGCTCATTTCACAACATCGATATTGTTGTGATGTCAAAGGTCGAACAAAGCTTACAACCAGAAATAAAACAATCATTAATGCTTCCAAACAAGGTTTTTATTTTTTCATGCAAAACAAAGACTAAAATAAAAACCCTAAAACCAAAAAATAATATATATATTCCCTATCCTGAATGGGTAAATATGCAGCTATATCTAAGAAATGAGCAAGACCATATTACTAAAACACTCTGCTACTGCGGAAAGTTGTAAACAATGTGTGGTGCTGCTCTTGCAGTTGCTCAACAAAATAATGACTTTTTTTTTATTTTTTTTTTTTATTTTTTTAAAAAAAACTATGGAACAATGGGTGTTGCTTGATTAAAGAGATCAGACTGTATTCAAATCCTGAGGAGAAAACCTTTTGTTTATTCAATGTTGTTTCTTTCATGTCATATACTTGTAAAATCTACTACTTAAACTTTACACTTTTTTTGTTCAGTAGTAAAAAGTGAAAAAGCAAAGATACTTAACCATTCTTATTTTCTGTTAAAAGTTTTCAATTTGAATTCTGTAAGTATGAATCCTTGACTTTGAAAATGTTATTTATTGATATTAGCCCTTAAATGTGACTTGCATTACCAATTCCAATAATTTAGCTCTGTGTTTCCCAGCAGACAGTATTTTAAAAGATGATTTTACATATAGAATAATGTGTATTAAGGAAAAAAACAATAGGAAAACTGTTGTTTTAGCCAACACATTTCATCCGATGTGAACTTTTTCATGGCAAAAAACTAAATGAATTTATTGAAACGGAGTATCTATAAACAACAAATAAAACATCATTAGCAACTAGAAGAATTTAGAAGCATAAAGTAATTGATGTAATTTTTTTTTATGAATATACAATAGCGTTTCTAAATTCTTCTAGTTGCTAATGACATTTTGTTGCTTATAGATACTCCGTTTCAATAAATTCATTTTGTTTTTTGCCTTGAAAAAGCCCATATTGGATGAAATGTGTCGGCTAAATCTACAGTTTTCCTATTGTCTTTTTCTACAGGTTAATTCTGAGAAATCTTTACATATAGAATAATTAATAAACTTCAATAAAAGAAATGCTTCCATCAGTGTTAGAAAAAGAATATTACTAACCCTCTTGAGAGCAGAAATTAGATGAGACAAAAATAATACATTTGTAGCTTTGATATCCCCCCCCTTAGATTTTTAAGTGTTTTTGTTGTGTTATGACTCTTGATCTTGTTCAATAAAGAACACATAAAACTACAGCTTCAAAATTAAATCTCAAACCAGAAAGTTACTGCAATACTTTTAGTTGTTTAATATTAACTATTCATTATAGAGTTTAATTTGAAAATCTTAAAACTTGTCATTGACTATATCATTTTTTGGCTTTTATTTGAAACATATTACAGTGAACTTTAAACTGTTTACTGCCAAATAGTTGCAATTTTAACATTACTAAACCAGTGTATCCAATAAGTAAAGATTGAAAAATAAAATTAACTTCTTAATAGATTTCCTCTGCAAAGAATTATAAAGGAAGATCAAAAGAATTTAAATTTGCTTCATCCTTTCGTGAAGACTTACCACTGCTTGATTAATGCATGAAAAGAATAATTGTGCATAAAAAAAAATTAATCCACAATTTCTTTCTCTGACACAAGATTAATTTCAAATACCTGATTCAACAGATTGAATTATATGAAACCATTTATCTACTTCTTTGAAAAGAGTTATTGACATATCCCACATTATTTGAATGCCCTCTCTCTCATGCATATAAAATATTTAGTTGCTGCTGTTAATGCTTAAGTCAATCTCTTCTTCAGGTGTAATCAGGAAGAAAATCAGAAATTGTTAACATTTTACGATAACATATTTCCACAGAACTTTAGCCTCCTGGATTAAAGCATCAATTTGGTGACATAATTGTGAGTTCAATCCCTGGGCTGGGTAGTGTGTATTTTGAAGTCAAGTGAGCAATAAATAAGCAGTGCTAAAAAAGAACTAAACATAGTAGAATAGCAAGAACAATCTACCTCCATAGATTAAATAAAGGGTTCACTTCAGAATTCCCTGTAGGTTACTTGGAGTGACATACACCTGTGAAGGCAATGGCCAAAATGTGATGAGCAATAGTCCACATGTAAATAGTGTAAATAATGATAACTCCTCATCCCAGAAATTCAGACAGAAACATATTTCCAGTTTTAGCTTTGATATTTATCATCATGAAGGCATGGCTATGAGGTTTCCACTCCACTTCTCCCAAATCTGAAGTTTGTTTTTTGTTTTTAAGATTTAACCCTACATTCCAGCCTGTTGTTGGCCTGGTTTAAGCACATGGATGATAATTTTATCCTCTGGTCTATACAGATCCTGTTGGATCATATAAACTCTGTTCTATACAATTCACAATGGTGAAAGAATAATGAGCTTCCCTTTCTCTTTTTTTTATATATGTACAAGTGGATATCATGGTATAGTGTACAAAAAACCAAACACATATCTCTACCTGGAGTCTAACAATCTCACCTGTGTTAAAAAAAAAAAAAAAAATCAGTGGTTTATTATCTTCAGCACCAATAGCAAGTAACCAACACTGATCAACAAAGTTAGAAAAAGATTTACAGAATGTTAACTTTTTACAATAGAAGGTATTCTATCTTCTTCCCACAAACCACTGCTCTCTAGGACCAACTCCCAAGAGGATGCTTCCCTGATCACTACAATCTTAACCTAGGGTTAGCCGTTACCTTCTCCTATCTGCACAAATTGCTTCAATGTAAACCTCTACCTCAAATGGCCTCTGGATCTTGTAAAAGGTGAACCTTACTGTGTATAAAAAAAATGTGCATCTTGCATTCTTTCTCTGGAAAAAAAAATTGTACAATTGTAACTATAGCAAACATTCTTCATATAAAAGGGATGAGGGAACACACCCAAAGTGTGGTTTTAATAGATCTACCTATCACAGCCTTATTCAAGTTGATTTCTTATCAGACAAAAAATCTGATTAAAAACTGCATTTATAACATACTTTACATGTGTGGCAAAGCATATAAAGAAAGGAAATAGCTGTCCTCTTAGACTTTAGGAACACTGATGGAAAATTCCGGTATGGTGGATCATAGCTGGAGGAAGAATTGTATACGCTAATTTCTTTAGGATAAAATTCAGATAATTGACAGCATCACCGGCAGTGAGGAAACTGAAGGAGGCAATATGTATGAACTTTTCACTCGGTGTGTGAATTGGGTTTGCATGGATATCAACACTTTCATTTTTGCTTAAAGTCGTAATTAGTTTATGTATTTTGGAATCACCTTAGTCCAGTTTAGTACATTAATGAATGCCTGTTACCAGTTTTGTTTTACTTGTGTAAAGAAGTTTCCTCCTTTTTTTTTTTTCCACATAGATTACACGTGAGGATTAGAAAATGGATTGATCAAAACAATAGTAACTATACAGAGATTTGAGTATCTTAATAGCATTGGATATACAAAATTAATTGTTAACTCTTTTGGGGATTATAATAATTTTAAAATCATAAATAATAACTATAATAAGAGAAATATCCATATTTATGTTTTTTTTTTCCCCATGCAAAATGAAATACCATAATAATTGTTATCATTATCTTCACAATGTTGACAATGTTGGATTTATTAGTTCAAAAATATTAAGTCTGTTTCTTTCTCTTCCCCCATGTGTTCTTCTTCACATTTTTGCCACCTTTTTCTTTGTAAATAAATGTATTATACGCATATATTGGCCACATGGCGATATTTTTTATCCAACTAAAGTTACAGTAAACTGACACTTCTTGTTTGTTATTTCTTCTATTGCTTGAATTTTACTGGACAACACTTCATCTATCCAAACTAATACCAAAATGATATAAATTATTTATCTTATCACACCATGTTTTCTGCTTTATATTAACAATCTGTCCAAGAACATACTTGGATCTTTAGTAAATATCTATGCAGATGATACAACAGTGTATGGGTGCACCTCCAAAAATCTAGAAAACCAAAGCCTGGCAGCTGATCTCTTCTCTGCTCAAACTCTAACAGCTCAACAGATACAAAATACAGATACAGTTTTCTTTTTGCCACCATAACACAACTAGAGAAGTTGCAAGAGAAATGCAGAAAGACTGGAGAAACCAGTCCAAACCAAAAAAGTCCAACTATAATCATCACTATCAACAACAGTTACAACTAATATGATTAGCCCAACACTGCATGCTCCCACAGTTGTTGCTTTACACTGGGAAAGAGAAAATGATGAGAGTTCAAATCATCATTTGCCAGTGTATATTGTCACAATGGCTATATATGACCTGGAGCAGCGTAGTTCTCACTCTCCAGTTTTATTAAGTTAAAAATACGTCTATATGGTTTTGTCAGTGAAGAATTATTTTCCACTCTACAACCTCTTTCCAACAAATGAAATGTTGCATGCTTTTCTATTGCTATTTTCATGGTAAATGTTCTGATGAGCTACATTCCTTTAGTTCCACATCCACAAGGATGAATCACCCCCATTTCCTTTGTATTCCATTAGTAAGAGGGAAGTTCCACTCAGATATCTTCTTCCCAATAACTACTACTTTATGAAACAGCCTCCTGAGGGGATGCTTTCCGAATCGTCACAATCTTAACCTCTTCAAATCTGGAGTTAACCATTATCCTTTCTACATATCCTCATAAACTGCATTTCTTACCTCCTCCGCTTAGGTTCATACAAAAAAATTCATTGAGGAACCCTCTACCTTGAGTGGCCTTGAATAGAGTGAACAAAAAAATAACAGGATTTTCAATCATTGCCACAACTTATGGCCAAATCATACTCTGTTGCAATTAGATCTGATTCATTCTGCATGCTGGCCAGATGTGAATGCCACGAAGGCAGAGAACAAAATAATAAAAGTCGTTTTCTGCACATTAGGCTCCATGCAGTGGGCAATTGCGAATACGCGTGCTGGAGAGAGAGATGCCTCTGGGGCATAGCAGACCCACTTAAAAACATATCTATGAGAACATCACCAGCAGTTGCAGCCCAGCACGCCACCAATTGTCACACAGTTTGCTGCTGTTGCCACCACTGTCACTCCCGTGACCATCACTGCCACCTCTCAACATGACCACACCTCTCAACAACTGTTACCACTCCAAGGCGGACTCCAGCTTCGACACCACCCAGCTACAAGTCTTCATCTTCAACAATGCTGTCATCTCAGCAAATACTGGCATGATAACATCTTAACTTCAACTCCTAACATTTGCATCCTATGTATCAGCAAAGTCAGACTTCTCCTGAATCCTAACACTCACACCTTACACATTAGCAAAATCAGATTCATGACTTCTCTTAACAAGTACAAGGCATTCCTTGCAGCCATCAGCCCCAATCAACAGAACAGGCCAACCAGCCATGCCAATCCGACATCAGCCCAGTTCCATAGAACAGGCCTACTAACCAATGAAAATAGCCTACCACCATGACCTTAATCAACTAACACGCACCGACCATACCCTACAACCTTACACCAAACCCACACAAGAATTAGATCAACTCCCAGCGCTACCCTTAAACCTGACCACCATCTTGTCGACCAGCCACTGAAACAGAAATTCCACTCATTCTTCAACATCTCTGTATGATATACCAACAATAAATGTTCAAATCTAATCCTTATTATTTTTTTTCTCTTGCGACCAAACAGTTAATACAACAATGCTGAAGACACCTGTTTTTGTTCACTCACTGAAGTAGTGTCAAACATGGTTAGTACTTAGGTAACATTTTCATCATTTTAAACCATTGGCAATTTTCACAAAGACCATACATGTAAATATCTTTTACTTTTGAAACAGAAAACATCCATAATAATTTTTTCTCTGGAGAAGAAATATATTTTTTATTTAAAATTTTTATTTTTTGTATTTTCAAGTGAATAAATTAGAAATTAGTCACACGAAACAGGGTGTGCTAATCACAGTATCATCTGTATTTATCATACCAAGACTTCAATTTTTTTATTCTAGAAAAATCTTTTCTCCAAAGAAAAAAAAATCAGTTTTTCCCCATTCAGGAAAATGCTTACACATATGTTCTTCTGTAATGAAAATGGCTAAGGTACCCTCAACAAAAATGACCTTGAATCTTTTTAGTGGTGTAGCCTGCCTTATGATGAGCCATATCTCATGTTGCTCATAAGTCAGAAAAGGTTGCCCATGCCTTCTCTACAGCATAGAAAAATCTGTCTGTAAAAATATGAATCTGTATCAGTCCAAAAATAAGTGCATCCTTACAAAAAAGAAGTTAATATGGCCATATCACATTGAAACACCAATTCTTGTATGATCACTGAAGTTAAGCCACATTGAGCTTGGTCAGTACATATATGGGTGACTACTTGGGAATATCAGGTACTGTATGCTTGTATGTACGAGGTGGTTTAATGGATAACAGCTCAGAATTGGTACTTAGCTTTCCAATTTCCAATTCTGGTCAGGCTTGTTATATTCCCTTATGCACTAATAATTAGTAAGACTTGTATTAGTAAAATCACTATTATTTCCAAAAACTTATTACAATCTAGAAATCATTAATTGCTGTTGTTCCAAGGTCCACCCTGACCCAGGGTGGTAGCACCTGTTAGGGTCCCAGCTATGGGCAAATAATGAACCCCCAAACAAAAATAAATAATACATTTTTATAATAAAGTGACCAGTAATAATACATTTTTATAGCAAAATGATAATCAATGCAACATTAAAATATAAAAATACAATTTTATAGTAAAATTACCAACAATACATTTTATGATCTACAAACCATATCCCTAAAAAATATACCTTTACCCTGAAAGTATAAAATTATGTACAAAATATCTGTAGTTGAAAGCATAAAAATTACATGAAAGATATTTAGATTTTGGCATTAAATAACCCATAGAGGTGTTGATATACCATCAAACAAAATCAACCAACAACAATCTAATAATATTTTCTGGCTTTTAATAACTTGCAAAAGGTTGGTAAGCCATAAAAAAAAACAAATCAATCAATCAATCCAGCATGATAATGATCCAAGAAAACAACTTAATTCTGAAGAAGCTAAGGTTAAAAGTGTATGATTGGTCAAGTATCTCACCAGATTTAAATCTGACTTGCAGAATTTACGCTAAATGGAAAGTAGAAAAACAAAAAACCAGCTGTCAGTGTGGAAAAATGTTCCAGTGATTGCAAATCAATTGAACTCAATGCCATGAAGATTACAAGCAATTGTAAGAAATCAAGTCAGCTACACATTGTCGAGATTGATGAAATTTGGGTAATAGTGTTCTTCAGTGAGGAAACTTAATTTGACTGGCTCTCCCATATCACGCATGATGTCAAATGACATAAAGGTGAGAGAATGCTTCCAAAATGAGTAAAGAAATCAGTTAAATTTGGAGGTGATAGTATATTGGTGTATATAGGGTGAGTGGGGGAGGGGTGAATTTTTCCCTGACACAGGTGTTGGCCAATTCATTCAGCTTCATGGCAAAGTATAAGAATATTATTCAAGAGCATGTTGTCCCAAGACCCATGTTGATGAAAGATAATGCTGATTGTCATACAGCAAAAATGGTGAAACAATGTTTAGAAGCTGAAAATATCGTAGTTGGAACACAACAGAGTACTGACTTGGTATCTTGGCTTCAATCACTTTACCACATCTGTATCTTCTCAGTGCCTTTTCTATAAATAATTTCATGGTAATTGTTCTGATGAACATTTCTCTATGGTACCTAGATTTTATGAATTTAAGCACAGTACTTTTTTTTTAATTGGTTTCTCTCCATGCAAGGCAGTAAAACCACTAAGACACAAGGTGATACAGAGTGTGGAAAAATTAGGAACAAAAACATTAATAATAAGCAGGAAGAGGAAAGAGAAATCAGGAAGACAGTAGATAGCAATTGACATTAAACTTTAGCAGACTAAAGTTGGCTGAAAAGCATGGAGCTGAAAGGGAGTTCCACAAACAAGAGTTACACAAGCAAGTGTGAGAAAATAAACTTTCAGCATAGAATTTACGGTTACATCTTTTCTTTTTATGTGCCATGTCCTTTCAGGATGTAGGCAATCATGGTTCTCCATTTTCCCCTATCCATTGTAGCTCTCAGTAAGTTTCATCACCCTTCCACCTCCCCCAGACCACATTCTGTTGGTTACATCTAACCAACTCAACTGTAAATTGATGAGATCTCAACACCAGTCTAATACTGTGCTTAAATTCAAATAATCTAGGTACTATAGTGAAGAGCACATCTGAACAATTACCATGAAAGTATTTATAGAAAAGACACAGAGAGGCAACCTTATGGTGGTAGAAAAGTGACTGATACCAAGCTGCCAGATCAGGACCAATAATATTGCTGATTCTTCTTTGGATTTTATCAAGGAGCTCAAGGTAAATAGCAGGAGCACCAGACCATATGTGGCAGCAATAGTCTAAGCATAGCCAAATGGTAGTTGAAATGACTAGATGTAACTGTTCTTTGTAAAAGTTCTTCTGTCATACTTCTTGTTTTATGGAACTCTCTTATGACTTCTTGTTTTCCAGTCAACTTTGATCTTCAAAACTTTGAATGCAATGTCAGTCGTTATTGTTTGCCTTCTTAATTCCTGTTCTTTTATTGTTCTCTTTTCTTAATAGTGATATTTTTTTCCAATATTTTTTCATACTCAGTAACCTCTTGCATCTTGGTGCCTTTATTGCTTTGCTTGGGGTGAAATGATTAAAACAAAGTCAGTCTAATTGAGAATCTTTTGAAGATTATCTGTGTTAATGTTAGTGCAAGGAAAGTAACAACAATGATTGATTTCTGGCAAAAAATGTAACAGGAATGGGACAAAAAATAAGTGACAAATTAGTGAGGTCCTGTTGTGTTCAGCTTAGGGACTACAATGACAATACAACATTATTCTGCTGTTCAGTCAGGTTTGAGGGGGCAATCTACATGTTGAACAAAGAGGCAACAAAGTCTTGAGTCAACTGGTCTAAAACCAAGCTGATGCATTGGCAGTGCCCCCATTGAGTTTGCCACATTTTTCATATACTTGGACTCAAAAGTTTCCAACACCAATGACCCCCTCACATAGATCAAGAGAAGATGTTGGCTGGCTGCAGGTGTCATGAGAGACCTCTGTAGAACACTATGGTGGCAATGCAAAATCTTCCAATGCACCAAGCTACAAGTGTACAATGCCACTGTCTTCTCTGTGCTACTAGAGATGTGGGATCTCATCAAGACCGTCACATCTCCGCATCCATAGCTTTGAGTCTCATGCCCTCAGAATCATCAAATGGTTGAACTGGTTTGGTCTTGTGTTGAATTAGGAGCTCTATCAGAGTATGGAATAATATATTTTCAAATATAAATATTTTCAAAATAATAAAATTTCAAATTGATAAATTTTTTAATTAATAAATTTTAATGAAAAATAAATTTTCAAAACTAATAATAAATTCTCAAAATGTTTTTTCAATCAATATATTTTCAAATATATTTCAAATATATTTTCAGATATATTTTGAAAATAATATATTTTCCAAATTAATACTAAATTTTCAAATTGATAGATTTAAATAAAAAATAAAATTTCATAATTAATAATAAATTTTCAAATTAATATTTTTCAAATATACATTATCAAATTAATATCAAATATATATTTAAGAAATATTTTCAAAATAATATATTTTTCAAAATATTAATAAAATATTCTCAAAATTAATAATAAATTTTAAAATTATTAGAATTAAACAAAAAAAAATTAATTATCAAATAAGGTATAACTCTTTTATTATTATCTCTTTCCTATCTCGGTCTTTCAGAAAAAATGGCTGAAAATCTTACCCATAAGTTCAGCTTTTTTGCTAATAATGATAATTATTAAAGATCATTGAATAATAATGATTCCTTATTTCAAAAAGGAATGAAATAATTATTAAAAAAACAAACATCAGTTCAATCACTGTTTTGAATTTTAATTAGTGTAAATTACAGTTTCACTTTGATCCAAAGAAGGTACAAGTAAGATGAAATGATAAATACATTAAAAATTTATAGAGACAGTAATAGTAAAAAAGAAAAAAGTTTCAAAATAAAGATAATTTGAAGTTTTTGTTTTCTTTCTCTATTGATATCAACTTTGAATATAATTTGAAAAAGGAATATATTTCGAAAACTCAGAAGTTAAAGTCATTATCATAAGGTTCTTCAAAGATGTTAATTTCTGTATTCTGAATAACATTGGGTGGAACATTTGGGCAATCATAACAGCTATCTCCCCAGCCATGTCCTATGTTTAAGGTAGCAGCTTCACCCATGAGAAAACCTGAAAATTAAGAAAAAGATTTATGATCAATCATTGTTAACTAAGGATATTATAGTAAGCTAAAAGATTTTGAAAATACATACTTGATTTTCTATACTAAAATATTTTCTGTTATTTAACTTTTTAAATATTCTGATGTATAATAAATATACAACACAACCTTTTGTTTTTGACTTCAGAGGAAAGTATACATAAAATTGTGTGTGTATATATAAAGCACTATCAAAAAGCTTTGGGAATTTGGCCATAAAAATTATTTCCTTTACCAACTTTGACGTTGTTATGTTTGTTTCTATATTAGGTAACAGAGAGTAGCAGTAAAATTGATATGACATTCAATTCAGGTACTAATTTTTCATTTATACAAGTTATATCATGAGAATGTAGTGAGTTCCAATAAAAATAAAATATATAAACAAAAATAGAAAAAATAAAATTAAAATAAGGCATTTGCACTTTCCTTTAAAACCCTTATCTATTTCTCTCTCTCTCTCTCTCTCTCTCTGGAAGTTTGCAGGTCAGAGTTTATTTAATTATGACTGAAAAATACCAAAAATCAGGGAGGCTCTATACATAACTTCTGCTATAAAAAAAAAAATCTGAAAGAAAGGAATGCCTGAAAATAAAATAATTTTGGCCAATCAAAAAATTTAACACAAAGAGACTTTTGATGTTAGCTGAAATCAAAGATCCTGTCAGAATCTCGGAACCTGGTCAAAAGAATATAAGCTGACGCCTCCAAGCTAGAAGAAGAAGGATGGCAAGAGAGGGACAAACAAAAGATGCTACTGCAGAGAAACCAGTCATGTATGATATGTGTAGAAATAGTTAAGAGGTCATCTGATAATAATATTTCTGCCCTGCTTATGGCCTAGAAAAACACACTAGATTGACACTGACATATTATTACTAATATTAATTACTACCCCTCACATGGTCTGACTTCAAAACTACCACAACTAAGCCGAAACAAATATTTCTCCAGACTACTACCAATATCCACCCTATAAACAAACATTGTGATACACCAAATACCAAAGGATTCACTTATCACTCTAAAATAAAAATATTTGATTATACATTATAGCCTTCATCCAATTTGTTTTATTCCAAAGTTTCCAGTAAAGAAAATCCTACTACTTAACAACACTGGTGACCTCCTTGGTCTTGCTTTATCTGTTACCACCTAACACATATATTGTTATTTCATTTCAATCCTATTGAATAACCTTCCTTTAAAATTTTATTATCTATCTTTTTATTTTCTATATTTTTTTTTCACTATTATGATTTTTCCAAATTTTTTCTCCTTTATCTTTTACCATCATCACTCTTCTTATTATTTTTTCATCTTGCTCTTTTAATTTTTATTATTATTATTATTATTCTTTTTATTTTCTTTGATTTCTGGCGTTTACACATTTCTTTCCGGGTCCCGCCCAGGGACCTAAGGTTAGAAATGGCGTCATGACACTTTCCACTGACAAAAAAAAAAAAAGATTACATAGATAAAGCCCTTCGTAAGGTGTGGGCTGTACTTGTCAGAACAATTTTCTGTATCTCCTTGAGGCATGGACTTCCAGGAATCCCTTCAATTAGTCTACTGGAATCTTTTCCAACCAGTCCTAGAGCTCCAACTACAACAGGGATTGTTGATGTTCCCATATGCCACATTTTCGCGATTTCTATTTCAAGGTCCTTGTACTTTGACAACTTTTTGAATATCTTCAAAGATACATTGCAGTCGGCAGGGACTGCCATATCAATAAGGAGGCACCAATTTTGTTTGTGGTCTTTAATAACAATATCTGGGCAGTTGGCCTTGATTGTTCTGTCGGTGTGTATTGTGTAGTCCCATAGAATTGTAACAGGTCCTATCTCCGTAACCGGGTCTGGGTGGTGTTCATACCAGTTTCTTTCAGTTTCCTTCCTGTAGAAGTTGCAGATTTTCCAGTGCAGATATTGGCCCACTCTGTCATTATTATTATTATTATTATTATTATTACTTATTTCTTTATTTTTTGTTCTTATTTCATTTATTACATGGTTTACTTAATAATTATTTTATTTTATATTTTATTTTAATATTTTATTTTATTTAATTTATATTTAATATTTTATTTAATTTATATTTAATAGTTATTTATTATTTATTTTTAATTAATATTAATTTATTTTAAATTTATATTTAATATTTATTTTTTAATTCATATTTAATACTTATTAATTTATAATTAATAAATTGTATTTTAATTTTATTTTATTTAATAATTTTATTTTATTTTATTCAATAATTATTCTATTCTATAATTATTTTATTTATTATATTTAAATGTATTATTATTTGAATATTACATATTGTTTTAATGTAATTTTTAACTTTAAATGTTACCTTTTTACTTACTCGTTTTAAAAAAAATCTCAAATTTTTAAATATTTTCCTTTATAAACTACATAGATGTTAATATTTTAATATAGGTCAAGGTTATTTTAACTGTTTTCTAGACTTAGACAAGACACTCATACCTCTACTATGATGATTTTGGGAGTTTATTTAGATTCTCTCTGTAACTCCCTTTTTATTCTTCTCCCTTTCTTTTCTCTTCTTTATTTTTTCTGTTCTTTTTTTCTCTCTCTTTTTTATTCTTTTATTCTTTAAATGCTTAAATATTTTATTTTATTTCTTCATATCTCTGAGTTCACACGACTTACAAGTAAAAATCTTCTAGGTCAAAATAGCTATTTTCAAATGAGGTTTTTAATCTATGTAATTTAAATGCTCTGTTATAAGAAATACATTGAGCTCTTTTTGCAAATCAGTTTTAATCATACTTATTATAAAACCCAGGTTGTGTGTGTGTGTGTCTGTTCGTTTATATATTGGATCGGATTTCCTACATTTTTCAACCGATTTTAACAAAACTTCACAGGACTATGTAAAATTACCTTGCGGTGGTTCTGACAGTGCCAAAAATTGGAAAAACACAATTGCACAAAATCAATTTGAAAACATGATTAAGAGGCATCGCTGTTGCGAGAATGAAAGGGGGACAACTCATATCGAGCCAGGTTGTTTATGTGTGTGTGTGTCTGTGTGTGTGTGTGTTTTTGTTTATATATGGGATCGAATTTCCTACATTTTACAACTGATTTCAGCAAAACTTCACATTTTTTGGGGTAGGTAGTGTTTCTTATTGTCTTGCACAATTTTTTCTCTATTTTTACATTCAGAATGCTTTAAAAATTCCATTTACAAGACAGTTGTTTATAATAAAATTCTATTTAATCGATAGACTCATAACAATTGAAAACAATGTTTTTGTTTGAGTTTGGGTTTGACCAATTCGTAAAAAAAAAAAAACAACTACTTAAGACATGCGTGTCCGTCAACCTTAAACAATAATCTTTGTCAATTTTATTTTTCAGTCTTTATGATGGTTGATACTTGATCTATCTCTTACTGTTACATCCCCGGGCAACGCCGGGCTCTACTGCTAGTATTTTATATTATTAGAATTCTCTTGAATTATTTACCAATGGATTATTTCTTGTTCCAATTGTAAAGAAAATTTGCTCTGTTTATTGAAAATAAACATGAAGCACTGTTTTGTGAGTCAGTTTTAACATATTTTGAATTCTATGTTGTGTAAAAAGGATTCGCCTGAATTATACCAACAGATTACTACTATATATATATATATATATATATATATATATATATATATATATACACACATATATTTTTGAATATACATAATATCTAACATCAATAGTATGACTCGAAGTTTCATACAAATCTGCAATATTCAGGTGCTGATTATGATCTGACCATTGAACACTTCAGATAGAAATATATATATATGTATGTGCAAGTATATATGAGTATATGTATATTTTTATCATACCTATATCTATCTATCTCTCTCTCTCTCTCTCTCTATATATATATATATATATATATATATATATATATATATATATATATATATATATATAACCAAATGGATAAATATAGGTAGATGCATGAGCAAGCGATCATATACAAATACATATATATATATTTATATATAGATATATACTTGATAGTGTAAGAAAAAACAGTCCTCAATGTTACATAACAAAGCTATTTAATATATATTAAAAGTATACATAATACCTTACATTGATTGCACAACTCTGAGTTTCATGCCAAAGGTGCTGGTATTTTTATTTTGGAATAACACTGGTTTTATAAAATTTCTGGCTATTGTAAGATACTATATTGTTAGGTTGAAATATTATTGTTGTTAAAATATTTAAATGAATTGTAGTTTAATTTTGAATTTGAATTTAGGCCCAGATTAGCATTTAAGATTGAACATAAGTTTAGAAATAAAAATTATAAATTTGAGTTTAAAGAGACATTGATGTTATAAAATTAATAAACAAGGAGAAATGTTACGAATTCAGTTGGGGGAGGGGGTAACTCTATTTTTTTCCATGAAAATCAATAAAGTAATTAATAATATTATTAATATTATTAAACTAACTAAAAGTAGTGATACCAATAATAATATGTGCTGTGATAAAATAAAGTTAAGTACTAACAAAAATAATACATATTAATGAAAAAAAAATAATATAAAATAAAATAAGATAAAGTAAAATAAAATGAGAGACATATATATAGGAACATATAAATATGTAAATAAATAAATAGGGCAAATAAATGAATAATTAAATAGAAATAATAAATGCAAATAGATAAGTAAATAAATAAACATGTTTCTAATAGTAAGACTAAAGATAAAAGAAAAAGACAAAAAAAAACAAAACACTAATAATAATTATATATTAAAAAAGTTAAGATAATGGAAATAATTGATTAGTAAAAATGTTAAATATGTTACAGTCTAATATTAACAATAGTTGTATAGTAAAGGTAGCAAAAAGTAAAAATATTAATAAAAATAAATAATATCAATACTAGTATATGTGGTCACCAGGTCCAGCTGGACTATATTAATCTGGGTCCATGTGTTTGAGTAGAAATTTAGTTCTATATAGGCAGGTGCTCATTAACACACTTCTTTTGTTTAAAGTTTAGGATTGCTTATAGTTTTCAGAATTATTAATTTTTTAGAAACACATAAGTTATTATGCATATTTCTTAATATATATATTAATAAATATACATATTTTTCCTCACTGGTACCACAACTCCAAGTTTGATGCACATAATTTCATTTTTGTTAAATGTATTTGGTTGTCGCAATAATGACGCTGTACATATTTTATATAGGATTGGTGATTTTTAATTTTATATTTAAAATAAACATTAAAAAAAAATTTTAATTTATATGTAACATAAAAAACACTAATTTATAATTTCATTTATTAGGCATGAGCTTGCCTGATTTTTCTGCTAACCTAATGAGTATTGATGAGCACTCCTATACCAGGGAGTTTTGAGGGAACCAATGACATTGTTGCTCTTGTATGTGAATACTTGTCACATAGTAGAATACTTATACTTGCCTTGATGGGGTCCCTCAGAGGATGGGGCACATTGGCTGGGATCAGTTTTCCTTTTGTCTTTATTCATATATATATATGTACATCTGTGCATACATATGGTTTTTTTCTTTATAAATATTTAGATGTGAATAATTATACTTATATTTTTATCTCTACCTTTATAACTTGAAGTAAATAATTTGTGCATGTGGGTATTATTTTGCTTTTTTTATCTTACATATAAATTTTATAATCTTTTTTGCTAGTTATATTTATTCTAAATACAAAATGAAAAAAACAACAATTCCTGTATAAAATATAGACTGCTTCATCATTACAACAAACAGATATATTTAACAAAATTTAAATTATGTAATAGTCAGTCTGAACTCAGCACCTGAAGATTATATTGTGCATGAAACTCTGAGTCATCCTACTGGTGAGGAAAATTAGTTATACTTATTGATATATAGTTTATAGCTCTATTATATTACATTGAACACTATTTTATTAACACTAGTACTCAATGTGTGATATTATATATATATATATATATATAAAGAGAAAGAGACAGTGATTAGTATCTATGCATTTGTCTAAGACATTCAGAAGTTTTCAATCCCTATAGTTTTTGTGAATCGGAAGAAAAAGTGAAGAAGATACTTACCAGCAGCAAAATTATCTCCTGACCTATCTTCTTCTCGAATAATGATCGTCTCTTTTTGGGGAACAGCTGATCCTGTTGGGTAAGGTACCATGTTATAATTTAATGTTGTTGACTGAACCTGTTGAGGATATGGTATTCCAGGGTAGTTCCCAAGAGTTGCTGGTTGCGTCAAATTATATCCTGGATAACTTGGATAGCCTAATTTTGTAGGGGTCGAAGAAATAAACAGGTAAATAGGGAAATATTTAGATAGTACAGAAGATTAAAAAAGCAACAAATTTCTTCTTAATAAATCCTCGTTATCAATTTCAGATGAGTTTATCATTTGTCACATTTTGCTGTTTATCATAATGTTAAAATTGCTTTTTTTATAAAACTAGTTTTAGTATTTTTATATTGTTTGTATATTTTGTAGAATAACTTATACTATAACTTGTGAATTGTCTCACATCAGTAAGATGAAGAGACGATATTATACAGATATTTTATATCGAAAGTAAAATCATCAAACCTCTGCATGTCACTGAAAAATAAGCATACTCTCTCTCTCTCCCCTCTTGTTTTCAGATGTAGTCAAATATAAATATATCAAATGAGGAAAAACAAGAGACAAATGGATAAGAGAGCAGGAATATTGTGAACGACATTCTTCCAAGTATGACAGGCTTATCTCCCTTGAAAATGAACATTTCATATCCTATCTTTAGCTTGGAATTCAAACACTGCTTACTGGTGCAAGTGGGAAACAGGCAACTTCCAAATAAACCATGGAAAATTTTGATTATCTCCCTTAGATTTTGCATTATCTCCCTTACATGCGTTACAATCATACATATTTTGAATTACCTCCCTTACCTGGTTGATTCAATGGCGGCGAATATGGCGGAGGTGGTGCTGAAGGCATACTTTGATTATCTTGTTGAAAAGGTCGGAGCTATAAAAAATGCAAAAAGTATAAGAATAATAACTTAAGAATTTTATTATTGGATTTAAATCTACTCCAAGTGTTACGAGCAAAAATAAATTGTGACAGACATGGGTATTTTAGTACAATGAAATTTTAAAGATTTTGAACTTTTCCACTTAAAATGAGGATGACACTGGTGTCATCAATGTGAAACATTAAATGAAAAATTAAAATTTCTTTTTTTCCTTCTCTTTTGTGATTTTTGTTGTTTCAAAATTTCAGCTGATTCATTCTACGTGTGTACTACCCACGTAAAAAGAGACAGTTTCTATTTATGTTGTACAAATCAATATAGGAATGAAGTTCTATATATATCTTTCAACCAATAAAATTTCATCAGAAGTTTTGTTTGATAAACAATAGTACAAAAGCAAATCCACCAAAACACTTGGACGTAGTTGTAGACCTACCACATGTTATTTTTTAACCATTTAGAAAATAACAATAATTCTTTTCACCACTCCCACAAATTTGAGAAAAAGATTTTCGTGAGCCAGTGTGAAATTATTTTCATACTAATGAAAATGTTGTATTCAAAAAGTTCACACCTCTGTGTGAAACTAAATTTTGAATTTCCTTAAAGATATAAAAATGGAATCATACTACTTTTCAAGGTTCAAAACAATTTTGGAGGTCAGTTTGATCCACACACACACACACACACACACACACACACACACACACACACACACACACACAATGAAAGTGAGACAGCCAGCTCTTGCTGACTAAGACCATGTCCATTTAAACAATAGAAGAGAGTAACCAGCAACCCTTTGTCTACGAACTTAATGGAATCCTCCATATCTGCTACTCACCCCTGCAGAAAAATGCACTCTTCCCCCAAATCAACTTTAACCAATCATCACTTCACTTTTTCAAACTTGACTTCTCATTTGTTAAAAGGATGCAAAAAATGTAGCAAGTTGAGACAAATCTGTTTTCCTGCTCACATATCTGGAGTCGGTTTGAAACCTAAAAAATCAATAAATAGGATCGTTTCACTTGATTCAGGCAGTCAGGAACTGAGTCTTTGAGAGATGCCAACAAACTCCAAGCACGCCAACACACTGACTCAACAACCACCACTCTCTCTCAGCAACTCAACACAACTCAAAAAGTCTTGCCCCACGAATTGACCCAACTTAACAATTTACTAGAAAAAGTGAAATTATCACTACCGAAGTAGTAATTGTATATTTAATCAACTTACATCATATCAGTCAAAGGCACATAACTCCTTATGACTTTAAACAATATATACAATTGTCGCACACATACACACTAATGTCTGAACCCACACAAGTGACATTTCACCTTGCAGAAATCAAACTGTTTTAATAGACAAACCTTAACTACAAGCTTTCATGCACCAAATCACTGCATAGTCACTCCTTACAATTTTATCACACTTATCACATTGAACAAGCAATCTTAAAATTCATTTTGTGTATATCACACATATATAAATGCATGTTATTTGTTGAAATCTATAACTATGTTGTTTCTCCTTGATTTCTTTCAATTGAATTGCCTTCAAATGTTTGTTTATTTTATTTGTTGTGGATGAATGTTTAGCAAACACACACATTTTTAAGTTTTCCCACAATCTCACCTTCTGACACATCCAATTAGCTCAAATTTCGCAACAGACTCACAAGCACATTAGGCTGACCATCATAATGTAAGTCTGTCCATACATTTCATGCATTTGCACTAAGAATACTTAATTACTTTATAAAACAAACTTCATGGCAAGGAAAATTGTACATTTTATTGTTATAAAAATGTTACTATTGTACTTTTTTTCAACTGATGTTCTGCTTCTACTTTTCCTTCATAGAATAACCTTTTTTATGTTTCATCTAAAAGCTGTGTTGTTGTTGTTGTTAAATGCTTGGAATCCCAACAATCAGCAATAAAACATGGGTAGATGGACTCCGATAACAAAAAGAAAATTTAAATATTGGTTACATTTAAATTTTCTTGTTTAGTTATTCTGTTTACAGCAATGATTGCATCACAGATTCTTTCATGCTTTTTAACATGGAGATGTTCTCAGTTTCTTTCTTTGTTAAGTAAAGCATACACGCATTATGCTGTGGGTTACCCACCTTGACTTTGTCAAAAAGGCCTATTAGGAGCCTATAAAAAGATAACAGTATCTAGAAATGGGGCAGAGAGAAATAAAAATTTAGTTTATGGTTATTTTGAATAAAGTGTTTATTTCATGTTTCATCTTTCTTTATATATTTAAAATGTCTTCCTTTCTCATTTTCAGTACTAGGTCTTATAGACCCTCTGCTGCTTGTATCTTAGAGGCATCATCAGATATCACCAAACCTCTGCACATCACTGAAAAATAAGTATATTCTCTCTCTCTCTCTCTTCTTGTTTTCAGATGTAGTTGAATGTAGATAAAAAACACTGAGGCATAATCACTGCCTTGGTCTTCTGTTGACTTTTGAACTCTCACACACATACATGCATGTGTATGTCACACATGCTTGTTTCACATACACACAACAAGCATATTCTTATGGTTAGATTTAATGTATTTTCTTTTCATTACAATTGTGTACACATGCAAATACTTTTGTTAATACATGCATATAATTGATTTTTTTTTTAATTCTTTGCTTTATGTCCTTTATTTTTACCTGGACTCACATGAGTCCAACAATAATTTTTGCAGAACAAATCTTCCAGGAGCCCATGAATATTTCCTATAAAATGTCTATATGCATCACAACCAAAGAGGTAAATTTCACAACAAGGGTCCCAGTTTGGAGTGGGGTTGATAGCTTTTGAATGGTGCAGTATTATTTAGTGATGTGTATTTATGCAAATTACAAAGGTACTATTTATCATGTAGCAGTTTTCCAGTTTGTTGAAGAGATACATTTTCTTGTGTTGTATGCAACATGTGCTTAGCTGGGGAATAAGATGTCTTGTAGAGCGGAAACAGAGGTAAATAATTCTTAGTTTTCTCTATCTTGTATTTTCATTTATTCCACTGGAAGATAATATTTTTATTAATTCTAAGAAAAGAACTTTCTACAGGGACACATCCTATATAATAGAGGTTCCCAACCTTTTCTGCATCATCATCCACTTTCTTATGGAAAAATTTTCCACTGTCCACCTGTATAGTAAATTTTCAAAACCATACCAAAATTGTTGGGTAAATGTTTGTTACTGGTTCGTAAACTGACTTTGTGACATAGTAAAAAATACCAAAGGGAGGTAAAAAAAATAATGCTGACTTAGTGTCATCTGCTTCTGTTGCTGTGTTAAAGAACAAATGAATGCAAACTTGGGCATTGAAAACTATATATATAATTTAGTTTTATGGCCAAGATTAGTTTAATTAGGGTTATCGATGCAAGTCTTGATAAAAAAAATGAACAATTTTTATTCTTAATTATAAAATTAAAATGAATATACACTACTAGCAACTAATAAAAATTCAGCAAATATTTCTTTGTTGTTCTTGGCCTTCCCTTATCTGGCTTATATTGGAAAAAATATTATTTTTTTTAGAACTATTTGAATGTCTATGACCCTTCACAAAAGTATAGAAACTACCAAAATATTTGTTGTTTGCAGGGATATTTCTATCTTATCTAGGAATGTAACCCAATTATTCCAATTTAGCTTGCTTTTTGTTTTTTGTTTTTTTATACAAGTTCCTAGCATACCTCCTTTGAATATTTTTGGTGAGTAGCATATGTTGAAATACCTATTTAATACTCAAAATCCTATATTGCTCACCAAAATTTCCAATCACCCTCCATTTTCTGTTCAGTTGCTCATCACCCACACAACAGTTGAAATCATCCACAGGTGGGTGATATTACCTAGGTTGGGAAACTCTTCAATATAAGAACATGCCTGCACATTCACTGTACATATCACATTTTTAAATAATCTGAATTGCTGCAAAAAAGAATTTGCCTAGTATCCATATTTTTCTATGCTATATTCTTGCTAAAAAACTTTGCTTGTTTGCAAAACAGCCACTAAATTTAAATGTTATTAATGAATTGATAATTTTTTGTATTGTCTCCTTTAAATACTTAATTTCTTTTAGTTACAGTCATTACAATCATAGCATATAACTTTTTATAGATAAAACTAATGTAATAATATTTTCATATTAAAATATTATTAAATAGTTCAGTTTAAATATTATCATATTGGTAATGTTTTTAATCTTTGTACCTGCAAAAAACAGTGTGTCAAAAAGACGGTTATTCCTTTCACACTTTTGACTCCATTAGCGATATTTATTGTTTTAAAAAGAATTGCATTAACATCAGGTAACATGTATGAAAGCATGGTTCTGTTTTATTTTGTGGTTTGAAATCAAAGTTAAAATTTTAAACATTAGTATCTTGGTGACATGGTCTACAAATAACACATCCTACAGCCCCCACATGCAGCCAAATCAGACAGTAAATGCTATGGGGACTGGTGACCACTGAATTTTCACACCTACAAGCATCAAAGCTCTTGATAGGTAGGATCATTGTGATTATTTTTTTTTAAATTTCTATGAGACCTAATACCAAGAAAGAGGTGCATATTTGTTGCATGTTGGGTTAGGGTTGCTAAGAGGCAGGCCTGTGGACCAAGGCAGTAACAGCCCAAAATGTTTGGGAACCACTAATATAGGTGTCACCACAGTTTCCCTGTCTCTAGCATTTGCAAAATGTGCATTGCCATAATTATTTTTGGAAAAGATAGTGCAGTGGTTCCAGCTGCCTTATCCATGTTTAGAATTGAATCAACAATAGACCAGTCAAAGCAAATATTTCTGTAAAATCTGGTATTTCTACAAAACAAACAGCAAAATATTGTGCAATTCCTGGGTGAATTTTCTGGGGATATTTTTATTGATATCATGTTTGCCCACTTCCAGGAATCTTAGTTTCAGAGCGAAGCTCGATGTGTGCACTTATTCCTGGTGAACCCCAATTTTTCATGCCTCTCTCATCCATAATGCTGCTGTATTGGATTCAGGGTAAATTTTTGTGCATTTTTAAAAAAATTCCAGTCCAATAGGCTGGCAAGTATGGTAATTAGCCTCTAAGCAAGGATAGTGGAATGAGAACATGCTGGCCAATTAATTCAATAAATGGTTTGGTTCAAATATTCTGGAACTATGAAAGAAGGCTGAAGAGTACAATAGCCCAAACATTATGATAACAACAAAAATGAGGACATTAATCTGAACAAATTATCATGAAAAATAAATTAGTAATTTTACTCTAATTTGTTCAATCAGACCACAAAATTTAATGTTTTTGTTTCACATATCTTTGTAGAAGATATTGTTTATCCTGTTTCTTATGAGGAAAAAAGATAATAAAAGAAAAGCATTCAGGAAGACAGAAGATGGCAATTGGTGTTGCATTTAAATTTTTGAAAACTATAAAATACCAAGGAAGCAAGAAATCAGAAGAGAGTTCCACAGGCGAGAAGTGCAAGAAAAGAAACCATTAGAATAGAACTTATGGTTACATCTTGGAAACCTATTTGCTAATCTTGTAGTACATTTAAATTCATGCAGTTTAGGTACCAAGGAGAAAAGCTTATCAGAACAGTTACCATGAAAATATTTTAGAAAAGACAGAGGGAAGTTATGTCACGGCAGTGGGAAAGTGATTAAAGTTAAGATGCCAGGCCAGGACTAATTACATTATAGACCCTTCTTTGGATTTTGTCAAGAAGCTTGAAATATATAGCAAGAGCACCAGACTAGATATGGTAGCAATAGTCAATGCACAGATGAATGGTAAATTTATAAATGTACAAGATGGCTTCTGATGAGAAAAATTGTCTGGCACAACACAGGGAACCAACTTTCCAAGCAGTAGACATAGCAATTGATTCAATATAATCACTCCATTTCATATCAGTGGAAAATGTGAGCCCAAGAAGGCACAAAGAATTGCTCTTCTGGAAGTTAGCATCAGCCATAGAAGGCAGAAAAGATTCTCTATGGTGATTAAATGATAGCAGTTTTGTTTTGGAGGTGTTAAAATTTACAAGCCATTCTTTGCCCCAGTAAACTACTGATTGGAGATCATTTTTGAAAGCAGCTGCCAGTTTTACTTTGTAGTACCTATTGGACTTACTACTAAGACAAAAGTAGATAGATGTGTCATCAGCATAAATACTTAGTTGGAAATTAATGACATCAGGAAGGTCATTGATGAAGATAAGAAACAACTTAGCTTGTTGAACACCTTTGAAAGCCACAACCCATGCCTCATCACTCTTATCTAAAGCCTGATAAACAAATTCATTTATAACCATTATCCCATTGGCAGTAGACATAGAGAAACAAAAGCCATGCTGTTTATCTGAAAAAAGGCCAAATGAAGTTAGATGCTTAGTCAATTTATTGTTGATTAGAGCCTCTAGTACATTGCCAAAAAGAGATTGTGGTATTAGGAGTTGTGGATATTCTTGGTGATATATTTTATCAGGACATAGGATATAAAACAACTTGAATGAAGGGTATATACAAACATAATATCTATATTTTAATTCATTTGCTTTAGAGTGAGTCCTTTGGTATTTGTAGAAAGTCCAGTAGTGTAGTTTTGAAGTCAGACCATGCAAGGGGTAGTAGTAATATTAGAAATAGGTCAGTAACAATTTACTGTGTTTTTCTTGGCCCTAAGCAGGGCAGAAATATCATTAGAAAATAACCTCAACTACTTTATCACACATCACACATGGCTGGTTTCTCCACACTCTTGACATTCCTTCTGCTTCTGGCTCAGAAGTGTCAGCTTATATCCTTCTGACTAGGCTCCAAGACTCTGGTGCAAACGTTAGTTTTGGCTAACATCAAAATTCTTTTTGTGGCAATTTTTTGATTGGCCAAAATTATTTTATTTTCCGGCATTCCTTCCTTTTTAATGTTTTTCTTTTATGACAGAAGTTATTAGTTTTCAGTCATTAGTTGACTCTGTTCCCACAAAATTCCTAACTTTTTTATGGCCAGGTTCAATCTTTTCTTCTTCTTCCTCTTTTTACTTAAGGGTTGCTTTCACAGTAATTGAGAGAAGTATTGAAAGAAAAGTACAAAGAGAGAGAGACAGAGAGAGAGAGAAAGAAAAAGGTAAGGGTTTTAAAGAAAAGTGAAAATGCCTTATTTTAATTTGAATCCTTTCAAATTTTTTTTATATATCTTATTTTTATATTTTATTTTATTTGGTTTTTATCTGAACTCACTACAAGGTAAGAGACTAATAGGTTGATAATTCAAGGAGTCAGAAGGTTCACCAGAGTTATTAAAAACAGGAACTACAAAGGAGTATTTCCAACAAGTTGGAAAGCAAGAAGTGGTGAGGCATTTATTGTAGAATTTGGAGACAACAGAAACCAATTCAGGAACACATTTCCTTAGGACAATTGCAAGGATTACTGTCTAGCTTTGTAAATGACTGTTTAAAGGCAACTTCTGTATATTTTACATTATGGTGTCAATAAATTTAATTCAAGTTTTAAGTGAAAATATAAAAAAAAGGAAGGTGAGAGTGATAGACTAAAATAAAGAAATAATGTAAATCTGATACTTACCACAAATTGAATGGCTTCAACCCAACTCCTGAAAGTATTTTCTTGAATTAGAATATTTTTGCTTTGTTTTATTGTTAGTTTGTTTTTAGAATTTACTTAGAAAATATCATTTCATATATAAAATCATTTCCTAAAATATTATTATTCATTTTTTACTAATATAGGGTGTTTCATTAAGACGGATTAAAGTCAGCAGTAAATAAATCAGTGTTATTGGTGAAAGTTTATTTATGTCTCTATTGGATCATGTTATTTAAGTCATGGCAATTTTGTGTGAAAAATAATATTGCCCAAATGTCTGCCAAGACTTTGGCGGCACACCACTTGATGGTCAAAATTTTTGATGACGTCTCTGCATAGTTGCTCTTCGATCTCACCAATATGCCTTATTATCTCATCCTTCAGTTGTTGAATTGTTGTTGGCTTGTTGGCATTGACTTTACTTTTGAGACCAAAAGGAAGAACTCTAAAGGCATCAAGTTGCATGATCATGGTGGTCAATTGACTTTGCTGTTTTGAGAGAGGATGCAAACTGGGAAATTCTCATTCAAATTTTGTTTGAACATCCATTTTCGTAATAGGCTTTGATAACTTTAACATGTTGTTTGATTGTTAATCTTTCCATGGTTGAAATTGCCAAAGACTTAAGTTGTTAAATGTGAAAGAAAATAATGCAATAAATAGTAACTAAAAAATTAAAATAAAAGTAAATATTTGTCAAAAATAAATCAAAATGGTTGACAGAGCTTCATGAAATAAAAATTGTTTAATTTGTTTAGAGATTCTAAGAGGGAATATTCTCATGCTTACATAATGGTATATAAGTTACACTTTTTGACTCTCAAATTTGTTGTTGAAATCTGCTTGTGTCCTATACACATTTTCTTGACCCCTGTAGCTCTTAATAAATTTTGTCTTTTTGCTATTTCTCACATACCCTATTCCACCATTCATGTATTCAAGCCCATCAAGTATGTTACATGCTATTTTCCTCTGTCCCTCTTTCCCTCAATCTGTCCAGTGAGTATCAGATTTTTCAAGCTTTCCTTCCACATTATATGACCCAGAAATTTCAACTGCCACTTCCTGATGTTAAGTTTCCTTTTTGCTTCCAATTTCTCTAAAACTTTGTCATTGCTCACATGTTTGGTCCATGACATCCTCAGAAATCTTTCTGTAGAACCATATTTCTGTTGCTTCAAGACTCTTCTTCATCTTTTAGGAGATTTTCCAGCATTCACTGCCATTAAAAAGGTCACATATAATATAACAGTTCAGATTCAGATTTCAGTGTTGCATTTTCTGTTCTCTGTTAAAAGATTTCCCAGATATTTAAATTTTTGTACTTGTTTGATTTTGGTATCCCTGATTCATAATTTGTATTTTCGACTGTTCTTTCTCCTGACAACCATGGATCAAATTAAATAAAAGTAAACCTTTCTTTTATTTTGTTATTTTTCTATTTTGAACTTTTTTTTGCATTTTGATACTAATTTTTAAAGTATCAGATTGAATTTTTATTCAATAAACATATGGCTATAGCTTTTTACAATGGTATATATTCTGAAAAATACAGTACAGGTTCAATCCTTGTCTGAAGTTCTCTATTCTGATTTTATGCTGTTTGCTTGAACAGTGTAAGAACTGAGTGACTGAAAGCTTGGTGATAAAAAGCAACTTTGTTTAGTTATACCAAAATTATCTCAAGTAATGATTGGCAGAGCCTAGAACAGAGGTGACCAAATTTGCTTAATGTAAGAGCTACATATGATAAAGTTCAAATGTCTAAGACATAAACAAAATTTACACATACACCATCACAATATAAGTATTTTTAGCATGAGCAATATTTCATGACATAACAAAACTGGTGTCAGTTGTTGTATTGGCTTCCTTAACAAACCTTGTCACCTGTGTCTGCTGGCTATTTTGTGATGATTTTTAACACAGTTAACTTGTTTTTCTTTCATTCTGATTTTGGTGGATAATCATGCAAAAAGTTTTTGTGATTTGTTCATAGTGGCGTTTCAAGTTACTGGCTCTGTAATGACCGAGCGACACATGGCAGATAAGGCACAAAGGTTTACCTCCTTTAACAGCGAATACAAAATCTTCCCCCCACTCTGGTTTAAAATTTCTCTTTTCTTCTACATATTTTTGTTTCTTACAATTTAAGGAGGCCATCTTCCTCTATAACATTTTCCCAGACACTTTTAAACAAAACTTATTTCCAAAATGTAGTAACTAAGTCTGAACAGTTCAACATCTTATGTTACACACTGCATTAATGTACATGACGTGAGTGTGGTCCCCTTAATCCCTTTACCCATGACCCCAATCTTCTGACATTCCACTGTAACACTTGCTGACTGGAAATTTCTTTAATCCCTCTACCTTCTACCTTTCCTTCCTTCAGCACTAAAGAACAATACGTCACACACATCTAGCATTAAAATTAGGATTTAGATTCTTAAATAGCTGTACTAACTTATGTTTTAATCAAATGGTGTTAATTCATACCCAGTAAATAATTATAAAGCTTCAAATTTTTTTCTTTACCTTTTATATTAACTGTGATGAAAAAAGGAGCCCAGGCAACATATTTCTATGAGCCACAGCATATTAAAGGTCACAAAGCTTTATGTGGCTCACGAGCTGTGATTTAGACATCCCTGGCCTAGAATATACTGGCTCCATTCCCTGAAGATGGGTAAATGCCCTCCTTCCTTCCAGCAAAAGGAACCACCTATCGAGTGGATGCTTGCAGACTCAATTACAAACATGACCAATGTTATAATTTCAAGTACAAATCTGACCGATGTTTACCTATAGATTCAAGTATCATAAAAAAAAACAGATTTCAACATTAAATAACGTAACAAGGATTGTTAACAACTGCTATTTACATTTAATGTTACAGTATTATGGAGTTAGGCTCTGTACAAGTACTGGCAATCAGTGGGGTCTGGATAAACATTGGTCTATCAGATCCCTCAGCATCACATATAACAGTAAAGCAAATAAATTTTGAAAAATATATTAAGTCAACTACAAGTATAGCATCAAAGTTCTTAAATTTTTGTAGTAGCAAAGTGTTATATAAAAAATACTAAATTAAATACTACAATTAAAAACCTTCTAAAAAACTTTTTTTAAATCTTTAAAAAATATCACATTAGTTACCTCCCTTGCAAAGAGGTAAAAATATTTTGAATTTACAGTGTTAATGCATAACACATACATAGATATGCAACCACTGAAAATGGTCTGAAATGAGATTGAAAGTACTTGGGAAAATAAAAATTATTTGAAAGAAAATTTTGTAATTTTTCTTAATCAATTTTCTACAGCCACCAAGAAAATTCATGGACTTGAAGGGATTAAAACTAAAATAAATCAAAGCAATACATCTAAATTATTTAACCAAACATGCTTGAATATATATATTGCAGAGTATTAGAAGGTCAGAAATTTCATTTCAAAGACGGATCCAAATTAAAAATAATTTCTCATGCAACTCAGAGAATTTAATATACGTTATAACATGCAAAGGTTGCCATGAACACTACATTGGTCTTTTTGAATTTGTAGGTTTGATGAATTGGATTGTATTTACGATTCCAATGGAATAAATTATGACCATGGAATATTAGTGTTTAAGCCTTTTATTATATCCTTACTCTGTCCTGGACATTGAGTTCGACCTGGATTCTATCCTCTTGAATTTTTTATTCAAAAAAATATACATGTATGTGTATGCACCTATGTATATATATTTATATATTTTTGCATATGTATGTGTATATTTACCACTAATATTATCTATCTATCTATCTATCTATCTCTCTCTCTCTCTCTCTCTATATATATATATATATATATATATATATATATATAATATTTTTTTTTAAATATGATTCCATCACTACATGGTAATTACCATGTTTCAAAAACAGAAGCTAAAAACTTACAATTCAATTAGAGAAATTAAATTAAATTAAAGTACCTAGTTCTGTTTCATCCTCAAGCAAATTTTAGATTCCAAATTTAAAAAGGAAACCCCAATGAATATTTACAATGAATACAAGAAAAAAGTTCACCAGAATAATTTTCATGAAAATATTTATAGAAAAGGCACAGGGAAGCTACATTACAGTGGTGGGAAAGTGAATGAAGCTGAGATGTCAGGTCAGGACTGATAACATTGCAGATTCTTTTTGGAATTTAATCAAGAATTTCTAAATATGTAGGAGAAGCAGTAGACAAGATGAATCAGCAATATTCAATTAACAGATGAATGATAGACTTATAAATATATAAGATAGATTCTGGTGAGAAAAATTGTCTAGCATGACACAGTGAATCTTTCAAACAATGTCTAAATAGACATATGTGAAATCTCAGATTGTGCTATTAAATAATGTAGTATATCTGCCAGAAAAACAGATGTTTAATGCAAGTGTTCTGAAAAATAAAAAATAAACTGCTAAAAATGAATGCAAGTTCAGTAAATTTTAATCTTCAAACCTGCAAAAAATAATGTGTTAAAAAGATGTTTTTTCCCTTGACGCCATTATTATTGTGGACTACCTTGACTCCCTTAGCAATGTTTACTGATTTAAGACATGATGATTAGAATTTTAACAAAACACAGAATACTTTTTCATTTTTCTTGAGAATTTACAACAAAAATATTAAACACTTTATTAATTAGATTATTTATTTACAAGAATAAAGATTTTAAAATATGTGAACCAGTTACAATGCAATATTTATAATTTATCAATAAATATGAAAACAGTTTTTTATTCATAAATTTATAAAATTTACTAAATTATAAAAATACATGGACCAACTATAATGAAATCTTTATTATTTATCGTTTTATAATGTTCAAAGTGACTGACAATTAACCGATCATATATCACAATTATAAAAAAAATGGAAAATTCAAATAAGAAATAATCTGAGATATAAAATAATCTGATAAGAAAATGCATAATGTCCAGAAATTTCATGGTTTATTTAAACTTTCTTGTTTTATAGTTCATAGATATTTTTATAAAATTGTGAATTAAAAACTTGTTTTGCATAAATATTGCTTTATAAAATGGTAAATAATAAATATTGCATTGCAGGTGGTTAACATAATTTGATAATTTTATAAAATTTTTTGAATAAAAAGATTTATTTTCAAATATACCTATATCTATAATTCTCAAAATGTGTGTGTGTGTGTGTGTGTGATCGGATGTTGTTTATGCATTTCCACAGTTTTCATCCAATTTCAATGAAATTTTTTTTGTTTGATAGATAATTCTTCATTACCGGTTTTGAGTCCAAATTGTCTAGAAAAAATTACAACCTTTAAGGTGAAAAATTGAAACAACTGATTTTTTACACTTTGCACAAAAATCAAAGGCAAAATTTAATTGACTTTTTTACACATAACCTTCCAATGCTAGCTCATGCCGTGTGGGTGTGATTCACACCTCCACACATTGCCCACCAGTTGCTTCTGATCTTGATAATTAGCACATGTTAGTTTCTTTATAAAATGGTAAATAAATATCGCATTGTGTTTGGTTCAGATATATTTTTATAATCTTAAACCTTGCTGGGGAAGTCATGGTAGTAGACAGTAATAGCAATGTCAACAGAAAAACTGTCCTTTTGAAATATCATTTTTTTTTTTTTTGCAGGCATAAAAATTAAACTTTGCCACAATTTCCTAGCAGACTTAAAAAAGCATCATTTTGAATATTGTTTTATTTTGTGCTTTGATTGCAATGAGTTATTTCATCCCTCATCAAAATTTAAGAACAAATTAAAATTAAAAATAACTTACTGGACATCATTTTCATCTGCAAACAAGAACCATTCAATATTACAGTCCTTGGTTGGCTTGTCTGGAACAGCCATCAACAAGCGATCTTCTGTAAGACCAGGTAACTTCGGTTTGCCAGGTATATTCTTAGTCCGTTCACCAATTGACAAAAGTGGAGCAACAAACTAAATGTATAATTATTATATAATTACTAGAAGCAGAAAGAAATACTGCTTTAAGTCAATCATTATTAGAAATAATTAATTACTTTTAGCAAAAGTTAAAATAAATTTACATTTGAGGTAATTCATGTCTTGCTGTTTCTCTATTTATATCATTTAAAGTTGAACTAATTTTTTTTTTGTTATCACAATATTTCAGTTTTTCTACTCTCTGACCTTTTTAGGTAACCTTCAAGGAATTTTAAACTTAACACTTTATTTATTCTACAGGCGTAGATTGTTCTCATTCTGTTGGCCCTGTCTATAAATATTTTGCTTTCTTTTTTAGTACTGCTCACTTATTGCCAGTCTTATTTTGACAGTTTCTGCTACTTGGCCCAGGGATTGAACATACATTTACTATGCCACGAAATTTATCAGTCAAAGCTTCAACCCTCCAGATCACTGTCTTTCAACCATTAATGCACCCTGAAAGGTAGCCAGGTGCACCACAAATTAACAGAAAGTAATTTATGAATTATTTTTATATTTAAAAAATCTTTATTTTTAAAAAGCTAGAGACTCCAAGAACATGGCTTCCATGTTTGAATCAAGTCTTTGTCATTTGATATTTTAAACTGGATGCTAAATTTGTTAATACTCCTTATTAAAATTTAAAGTGTGCCCTAGAGTTTTAATTATTCTATAAATGCACCCTGAAATAACAAAAAACAATACTTTAAGATATTGTCCTGTGAGGTAATGCTAGCTAGAACTTGGGTCCTTAAACTTAATAATATCATTGTCACCTTTGCTGCTGCAAAACTTGGACTTTTCTGTTGCTATTTCTCCTTCTACAGCTGCTGTAGCCATGATGAAGCATCTACTAGTGATTTTCCAAGCACAGCTTAGATGTGGCACAAGGCCGAAAGTATGGGGCACCCAGTGAAGATCGAACTCACTACTCCGTCGTAATTGTTCTAGCGAGACAAGCTTGCTAACCATTACACCACCTCGGGGTGCCCAACATCTACTATGCAGCTAATAAAAGGATCATGGAATTTCCAATGACTCAGATTCCAACAGCAGTCGTTTAATCAATCAATCAATAAATGTTATATTTAGTGGATACAGGGGTCGGAGTAGGCATCCTTATTTTTTGTTTTGTTTTTAAACTGTAATTGATGCCAACTGGCCTGTGTATCTAAGAGTCTTAATAAAGAAAATGTGAATATAGTAGGGGTTGAACCTGGATTCCTTTACATTGAGGAAATCTTCAAGCCAGATATGCTTTAAACCTCTCAACCATGATAGACTTTCTAATTTTGATTTTTCCACTGCCCATGTCTAGGGATATCATGTCTAGAACAAGAACAATCTAACCCCCTAGATTAAATAAAGAGTTCTGTTGAAATTGTCCATAGGTTACCTGAACTGAAATACATCTGATGAAGGCCATATATATATATATATATATATATATATATATATATATATATATATATATATCAAGAAGCAAAAAACTTAACACAACTTTGAAGAATTTGGGAATAAATTTATTTTGATATTTATTGATTGATTGATTAAACGACTGCTGTTGGAATCTGAGTCATTGGAAATTCCATGATCCTTTCATTAGCTGCATAGTAGATGCTTCATCATGGCTACATATAGTTTTGAATTCAGAACTGTTCTTCTCCTAGAATAGTTGTTAACCAAGGCTGAAGTGCCCTGTTTACCCTACTATTTAACACATAGCAGTGGGTTAAATACCTTTCCCCGTTATTTTGAATAGGGTTAGAGGTTTATCCCTTGTTTTCTGTTTAGGATTAGGTTTCTGGTTCCTTCTAAAGTCTGTTTTAACTCTATACTTCTAACATCTCTGCTTGAGCTTTGAAATTTTATTTACTAATTATTTTTTCTTCTCTCCTAACAGGAGTAGATAGGTTTGTCTATTATCTGGTTCACACTCCTTTCTAGTCTTTTGAACAGGAGTAGATGCTCATACCTTGTTTCCTGTTTAGGATTGGGCTTCCAGTTCCTTATAAAGTTTACTTCCACACCATATTTCTAACATCGCTGTTTAAAACCCTGAACTTTTATTTACTATTTATTTACATTTTTTTTCTTCAATAGGAGTAGACATATTGTCCAGTTCATACTCCTCCATAATCTTTTGAACAGGAGTAGAGCTTCATCCCTTGTTTCCTGCATAGGATAGGATTCCTAGTTCCTTCTAAAGTATACTTCTAGACTTCAAATGTCTCTGACTGAACTCTGAAATGTTATTCACTAATTCAATCTTGACCTCTTCATGTCTAGAATTAGCCATTGTCTTTCCTGTATAGCTCCAAGAACTCCACTTCTTAGCTTTTTATATGCTCATACAACAATACACAGTAACCCTCTATCTTGAGTGGCTCTTGGGTCTTGTATTGGGTGAACATTAGTGAAAAAAGAAAGAAACTATCTTTGCATGAAAGTGAATATAATGAAACTTGGCTGGAATTCAAACTCAGCCCTCTGATTTCTTGGTCCAAGCAGCAATACATTACATCATATTTATAGTAATAAAATATGACAAATGGTATATATATATATATATATATATATATATATATATATATATATATATATATATGTAGCAAATGAGTCGACTTAAACAGTGTAAGGGACGCAACTCTTTCCGTCTGAAAATGTCTGACACGCTGCAACGCAAAACGATGTACACCAAGCACGGGTGAAATGTTGGTCTGCAGATGTCTCCAAGCAATCTGCTTTTATGGAGCCCAGACACACCTCATTAGCATGTGTGTAACGCGACTTTGCGTGACTGCACAAGACCGTGAATATTAAAAGTCACGGACGCCATTTTGAATCTTTTCTTTCCTTTCTCAACCCACAGGCCAGGCAGATGCGAGAACGTTTGTGAGGTAGGCCGTTTCTATTTTCCCCACACTCCCCCCTGATCTCATGATCACAGAGTTGACAGGGAGGTGGTGATCGCTTGCGCCGGGTACTTCTTCGAAGAGGGACGCTGCGAGCCTCATCGTTGCTTGTGCTCCTGTCTGAGGTCTGAGGGTCGAAAGACACCGCGTCCCTTGGAAGGCTACTGATATCCGAGTCACTGCCTGATGGGGCTGGCGTGAACCAGAGCGATGCCTCACTGGTCTCAGATTCCGATTCGCTCTCATCGTCCAGCGGTGGTTGCAACTGCGTCGACGGACGCAGGTCCTTAACGTGACGGGGCACACCGTCGACCCGTACCGCCTGTGGGCTGATCACCTCAGTGACGCGTCCGATTCCGTATTTCGTGGTGCACTTGCTGTGCGGATTTTTAACTCAGACGACATCGCCTTTCTTCAGCCTCTCTCCGGTTACTTTCAGTTCCGTCAGTGGGTTGGTTTCTATGCCCTTCACTCTAACGTGGTACCTATGCAATGTGTCTGCTGGTGCCGTAGAGGGTGAGACATCATCCTTCGGGGTCACGTTGTATAAGTAGACCGCCTCAGACACCGCGCAGCCCGTCCTGGCTGCGATGGTCTTGACGGTCCTGTGGTTCCGCTCGATGATTCCATTTCCACTCGGTACGTGGGCGCACCGGAACCGTAAGTGCACTCCCCAGCCATCCGCAAACTTCCCGAACTGCTCGCTGGTGAATGCGGTGCCATTGTCGGTTAATATCTCCGTTGGGGGGCCACGTTCAAGAAAGATGCTGTTTAACTGACGGATGATAGTGGCTGCATCTTGCCGACGCAGCAGTCGCCATATCGCAAACCTGGATGGACCACAATCAATGAGTGTCAGGAAATGCTCGCCGTTGTGGTGAGTAACATCTATCGCCAGCCGGCTCCAGTGGTTCCTCACGCTCAGCTGCCTTTTTCTTCCAGCGAACGGGTGCTGGGTCTATAGACTGGCACGCCACGCAGCTTCTGACCACTCTCCTGACGTCTGTCTTTTGTACTCCTGGGTCAACCAACTTGGCGAAATACAGTGTCCGCTTGACTCCAGGGTGCCCACTTTGTTGGTGGACTTCTTTGATTTGATTAAATCGAACGGGACTCACGGACGCAGCGCAGGCTGGTTGCACGGGCTCAATGGCTTTCTTAGCGGCGTCAAGCCACCTTTGCGGCACCCTCGTTAAACAATCTGCTTTGTTGAGGCTAGATTTGACCAGGGACACCTCCATTGTCAGTGCGTACTCTTGCACTAAATTCACGATCGTGTCGAGCCGTCGTCGGATAAGCATCTCGCTGGTGGCTTTAGTCCGCACCCTGGCCCCCTCCCGGTCAAGGTATCAGAGATCCACTTATAAACGCAAGCGGAATCAGTGAACAGACGCAGGGTGGTCGACTTCCAGAGGATCGCCAAGTTGATCCCCTTGATGACAGCATCGAGCTCCGCTAGGTTTATGTGCTGGGAGTCCTTTCTGGACGTAACCAGCAAGCATCTTCTACCACGGCTCCATCGTGAACTATCGATACGCCGGTTGCAAGAGAGCTTGCGTCAACCCCACACACAGAGGTCTTGGCTGTCAACGCACCATCTGCCCCGCGCTGGGTCTTCCTTGCGTACTCTAGCGAGGACCTCCTTCATCATGGTGTTGAGAGGGGCGTTGTGAACTTCGTCATCCCATCCAGTGGTGACGTCAGATGCTCTCCGCTTGATAAACGACACCGCAACACGCAGCCAGCCACCTACAGGAAGGTGTCCAACTAACTTGCCGCACAAGGAAAATATGCTTCGCCGCGTGACAACGGAGGGCATGTCTGGGAGTTCGTTTCCCCGTTTCCAATACAGGACGTCATCTTCTCCCCAGACCTGCAAACCAAGCACCCGTGCACCATCCTGTAGTCTCTCCGGTTCCTTGCTGAGGAGGCCAAAGTTGTAGAGATGCTCCTTCACGCGCGCCGCAGATATGACTCCCTCGTTCACGTACACGTCATCAATATATGCAGATGTTGCCCGCTGTATGCGCTCATCCTTCGTTAGAATGGCGTCAACAGTCATCTGCATAATCGATGGCGCCACATTGAGTCCAAACCCCATGCGGGTCAGGCAATACCGTTGCCCCTTGATAAGCACGGTTTGATAGGGCCACAGTGATTGGTGCACACGCACTTGAAGGTATGCCTTGCGAAGATCCAGCACAGATACATTTGATCCTGCTTGTCGCCATTCCCTTAGCTTCTCGGTACACACGTCCGCGCGGGCAGTAAAAGGGTCCACGTGCTCGTTCAGTTCTCGATAGTCGAGCACCGGCCTCACTTTTTGTTTGTTGTGCTGGAGAACCGCCATTAGCGGGATCAGGCCCTTTGGGGGCCCCAATTCCTTCTCTGGATAAGGAACCAACCACCCGTTATTAATCCAGGCTCGCAATTCCTTGTCGTACTCCGCACGAGCTCGCGGGGGGATCCTATACTCCGGCACACTGTTGTACAGCTTCTCTGGCGGTTGATCGTCTGACCATTTCCAAGATACCGTCCAGGACTTTGTGCGCTGGTCGAACTCCGCACGAAAGTCAGGCCGTTCCAGCTCCATTGCTGCACCTAGAGCTAGACCTGTTTCAGTGAAACGCGCCCGACCCTCTTCGTCAACACGGACACCACCCAATTTTTTGATGACGTCCATTCCCAGGAGCAGATCATAGCTGAGCAGCCCTCCGTCCACGACCAGGGCTTGTACAGCTACTGCAGGCCCATCGCCGATGCTTGCGCGGATGACGCTCACTCCACAAGAGGTTAGCGAGCCCCCGCCAACAGTCAGAACTGGAATACTTTTCTTGTCCCACGTGTCACAACATGCCTTGCGCACAAGGGTCTGGGTGCACCCGGTGTCAACAAGCGCGAAGCGCTCACGCCCGTTAATCCGCACGCTCACTGCGGGTAGCGCCTTGTTCAGCGGCGATCTGGGGAGAAGACTGGCGCTGTAGCTTACTCCCCTTGCCAGTTTCCCGGACAGCTTCTTGCTACGTGGCCCAGCTTGTCGCACCTGTAGCAACGCATACGTCTCCGTGTTCCTCGGTTATGCGTATCCTTCGCACCGCTTCGGCAGTCTTTGGAGAAGTGGTTCAGTCCGCCACACTTATAGCACCTTATGTCCTCAGTTGGCGGTGCGGGTGCTTCCACAGCTGCTGAGGCCGGCTCCGCGTCATATTCCGGGCTCTGGCCAGTAATTCGTCTAGCCCCAGCTCATTGAGCCTTGACGATGCTCGTAGCAGTCGACTTGCGTTGTCTGGGAGTCCTGCCAGAAAGGCGCATCCTAGGATTTGGTCGCTTGCTCCACCGAACGGTGCGGCCAGCTTCCTCAAATCGGCCAGAAAGACATCTACTGTTTCATCCGGTCCAAGCCGTCGTTCGGTAAACTGCCTCCAGGCGACAAAGGGGTCCGCACCAAATGCTGCGTATAGAGCTTGTTTTATTTCCTCCAAGTCTGCGTCATCCCTTAGCTGCTGATACACAGCGTAAGCTCCTTTGGTGAGTCTAAGAGGGATAACCAGTGCGGGATCTTTAATTTTACTCAGCCGGCAGACCCGCTCGGCCTTTTCCCACCACTTGACCACAGACGGGCCAGCGGGGGGAGCCGTCGAACTCTGGTATTAACTTCAAGTCGAACCTGTCCATGCTGTAATAATTGCCGAAATAGCTTGTAGCAAATGAGTCGACTTAAACAGTGTAAGGGACGCAACTCTTTCCGTCTGAAAATGTCTGACACGCTGCAACGCAAAACGATGTACACCAAGCACGGGTGAAATGTTGGTCTGCCAATGTCTCCAAGCAACCTGCTTTTATGGAGCCCAGACACACCTCATTAGCATGTGTGTAACGCGACTTTGCGTGACTGCACGAGACCGTGAATATTAAAAGTCACGGACGCCATTTTGAATCTTTTCTTTCCTTTCTCAACCCACAGGCCAGGCAGATGCGAGAACGTTTGTGAGGTAGGCCGTTTCTATTTTCCCCACAATATATATATGAACTTTTACTGAAACTTTCCCTCTGAGTCTGGTGCCTCACAAAAACCGTTTCCGATTGGACCCTGCAACTATGTAATATAGCAGCTACTCTAAGTAACGGGAAGTTTATTTGATTAATTCAGCTTCAGTGCTGAAAACTTTTATTTTATTATAGTGGATGGTTATAAGTGACAGAGGAGATGGGATATGCTTATTTTATTACCACAAGCTTCTAAATCCAGCCCTCTTATCAACTGTATGGATTAATTCAAATAACTAGTAACAGTTTACACTATTTACATTGTTCAGACTGTTGTCCTCATCTTTCATGACACTTCGGCCGTTGTATGTTCCAGCATTCTTCAAGTGATATGTGTTGGGATTTCAAACCAAACCCTTTATTTAGTCCACTGGGGTAAATTGTTCTAGTTCCACGTGCCATGCCTTTTCTGGATATCTCAGTTTCAGTTAATTCCCTTTAGTATCTCAACTCTCCAAGATTTATTTCCCTCTGCTATGGCCAGATATTTGGGTCAAGTCACTTGATTACTTCAGCCAATGCTTTTATCCATGTGTCTTTGAGTTCGAAATTTCAACATATATCACCTGAAGAAGGCAGGAGTGTACAACCGCCAAATCATCATGAATATGACAATAAAGATGAGGACAACAATCTGAACAATATAGTGTAAATAGTTACAATACCTCATCTGAGAAATAGAAACATATGTCAACTAGTAACAGTTTCCAGATTTACCTTCAGGTTGACAGATCCTTCCAAGGATCCAGTTCTGTCATCCGAATACCATTCTAGGGTGCTGTCCTGAAGCAAAACTAAATATCTCTCCTTCCATGATTTTGATAAAAGAAAATCTGAAAAATTCAAAAAATCAAAGATAATCTGAATAGATTATTTAAAGAGGATACCAAAAAGTTTTCAGCCAAAAATCAGATCAAAGCAGTAAAGAAATTATTTTAAAAATTTAAAGAAATATGATTCAAAACAAAGTATGTATTAACTTGCACACACACCCATACTCACACAGAAACACTAGAAAAACACTGTTAATGTAAATAACTTATTCTCGAACTGCCCCTCCTTCAACTATTAAATTTTTCCTCCATGGGGCGTGTGCCCTATGTTCTCCACTGCCTTCACCAGGTATTGAACTCACACTCTTTGGGCAGTGGAGAACTTTCAGAGGGAAAATTAACAGGAGATAACTGATAACTGACATCCATTAAACATGGCATGTGGAACTAGAACAGTCTACCCCAGTGAGTGAAATAAAGGGTTCACTTCGACATTCCAACCACCTGAAGAAGGCTGGAGCGTACAACAGCTGAAATGTAATAAATATAGCGACAAAGATGAGGACAATAGTTCGAATAATGTAAATAATGTACATAATACCTCATCTCAGAAATATAAACAGATAATTAATTTTTATTTATTTATTTATTAACATGACAGCCGACACAACCAATCATTGCAAAAGGTGTGAAACTGACAATCACAAGATTAAACTACTTTTTATAAATTGTTTTTAATGAACTAATCAGGCTGTTACAAACATATTGTTTCTTCTTTATACATGTATGAAAATTCAATATTACACAGAAGTCTGTTTATATTAGATTGTAGCATCCCGCTACCACTTTCTTATCAATGCTGAATTTTGTACATTTTTGTACAAAAAAGTGGATCAGACAGCCTACTCAGCTTAGTAAATAATTTCAGGAAAAATCAGCTTCTAATTGGTCAATAAACATGCAAGTGGGCGTTGCAATACACCCATGTACAAATAATTTTACAGCATATGACCAAGTCAAGTTTTTCCGCCATTTTCTGTGAGCCTGTCACATGATTACATCAGTTGTAAATAGCAGACACGAGTTCACTCATTCTCTTTTACTCTTCTAAATTTTTTAAATTGTTGTTTTATTCCCCTCTCCGCCACAGACAGTAAATTGTACATATGGGGACTAGTTAGTATTTTCATGGAGACATTGAGGTATTATGGTGGATGTGGTGAGAAAGGTACGTAAGAATGTGTTGTTTTGGTGCAAGGAATATTGTTAGTATGATTGGGTCAGCGTTTGTGGCTAGCTAAGTTTCAAGTTAAGACAAAAGACCCCTTTTCAGCCTTGTGCCACATATTCTGTTATCACAGAATTAAATAAACTTTTACTCTTCCAAATTCCTGCGAAGATGTGATCGTAAGGATTCTTGTCTCGACCATGGGCGGTCAGACATTAAAAGCATACTCACGCATACACATATGTACAAACTTTTCCAACCTAAATTGCAAACATACAGAACATTTCCAAACATACAGAACATTTCCAAACATGCAACAAAAATTTTTCTCTTTTGAAATATTCTTCTAAAGCTACAGTTTATTCAGCATTTCTCAGCTTTATAATTAATTCAATTCTTGTGAGTTCAGATAAAAATATTCCCAGTCTAAGGGACATAACTCCATCAGATCTTTAACTTCTACGCATGTAAATCAACACACAAATAAATACAAATGTTATGTTTTAAAACCATTTTGTTCTTTCTTGTATTTCATTCATGTTATATGGTATTTTACTTGAATTGAACGATGCAAAGTTTCAATCAGGTACACACCAGAAATCAGCACCAAAACAAACGCCATTGTCAAGTTGCAGTCGTTTTATATTAACAATGAAAATCAGGCACAAACAAAAAAGCAAAACAAAATAGAAATATTTATTCTTTGAGGAAAATCTTTTGCGTAGAGATAATTTCAAGGAATGTTCTTAAGAGTTTCTGTAAATGATGAAGGAAAAGTTGAACTTACACTGCTGGTGAATTGGCGAGTGAATCAGGTGTAATTTCTACGCCATGTGCGTCTACTGCACAGAGTGCTAACTTTAGTGTCCTGTCATAACCTCGACCCGAAATGAAAGACTCTTTAGGTTCACAGTGCACAAGCTCCTCCTTTCTTTTTTTTTTACGTATACCCAAAAGTTGAAGAGGGGTTACTTTCACTGATATGGTTTAAGATAAATTACTGAAGTGAAATTATGATTGTAGCTTGGAAAACAAATATTTTATTAGAAAAACAAACTTTCAAAGAAATAAAATAATAAAAATGTAAGGGAATTTAAATTTAAATTAGACTTATTTAAATTATACTTGTATACTTACAAATTGTTATAAACACGCATATGGCAGCATGATAGAATAAATAAAACAAGTACCACAGGTGAGGCAAAAAGAAAAGAAAACAATAATTGTTAAGATAAAATTCTTTATATTGCCGATATAGAGGATCAAGTCTCTTTGTGGTTGAGGGAAGTGACTTGGAGAATGGGGAATGTCGGTGGGGTCTGGAGTTGATGCGTGTGTTGGATTGGTTGACCGAGGACAATGGTGGTGACGTTGATAAAGTGCCCACTAACCGTGACTTTTTTCATTGTCGTGAGCGCGTCTTTAAAGGCAGACAGGGTGGATCATGACTCAGTACTTTCGGTCATGCTTTTGCTTTAGTTTTAGCAAAAGTTTGTGCTTAGCTCCTTTTATTTTTTATTTTTTTATTTTTGAGAGGATTTGATTTGTGACCTGGGTGTGATGCTTGGAGACCCTGTGCAGAGGTAACTTTTTGATTTGTCTTTCTTAGCATTCACAATCAGCCAACAGATTTTGAGAGTGAATTAGAAAGAGATCAAATTTGAAACAGAATATCACAAAAGTAATGTCAATGAAATCTGATTTTGAATACAAAATGAAAAATTAATTTCACAATGATGTATTTTATAAAGATATGAAATGTGAAATAAACGTTTTTAAAATAAATGTTATAATTTTAAAAACTTTACATTATTATATTATTATACTACAACTGTACAGTTTGCTATTCTAATTTATTGTTGTTGACCAACAAGTTTTAAAGAAAAACCTTTTTACTTACGATGTAAGTGTGTAACAAGTCCAGCTTTTATTTGTGGTGATTTATCTGTTAAAAAAGAACAACAAATCATTTCTTGGATTTTTTTTCTGTTAATTCACCCCAAAATAAAAATTTATATTAAAATTCATACCAACTTCTCCCAGAGTGAGGCTGTGATGGGTGTTCTTAGTGCATATATCTATTGTACATTTAACGATTTAAAAAAACCCCAAAACAATGAAACTCCATATGTGGATCAACAAATAAATATATATTGAAATATAACATAAAAAACAATCATGCAATGAAGTGTAAGGATTAAGGAAAAAAAGTTGTTCCCCTTCAACTGTATTCTGATTAATGATTGAAAGTTCAAAAGAGTCTCTCTTGAATAAGAATGTTTAAGATTCTATGTTGAATAGAGTTTGCTGTTAGAATAAAATACAGTTAATTAAGAAATGTGTTGTTTAGAGAAATTAATAGAGTTCTGGCTGAGTCAGAGAGAGAGAGAGAGAGATATGTATAATGTGTTACAAAAATCTGTGTCTGTGTGTGCGTTTGAAATTTTGTGAGTAAAGTCGTAGATTTGTGTGGACCGTCGAAAATAGCTGGACTCTACTGGTGGCTTGTAGCAAAATTGCTTTTTTTTAAAGGTATTGGTAGGCTCCGAACAAAAACGCGGGAAAAGTTGATTTAGTATTAAAATGTTTGATTGGTTAAAATTTGACCAATTACTGATTTTGTATCAAAGAAACATGTAAGTTCACGACTGAAAAATTCAAAGTGATGACTGCGATTGCTAAATTGTCTTATAGAAAAGCAGTATTGATTTACTAGCCAATCACAGACAAACAAATTGTGGGCGTAGAAAGGCATAGCAGTCACTACAAGGCCCTTCCATTGCACTCCGGTTGGGTTGACCTTTACGATCATCCTAAATGTGGGCGACTTGGGTGTGCGGGTCAACGTTCGCACTCTCCCTAATAAACAAGCCAAAAACAGATTTTTCATTTTTTTTTAAATTATAAAATATTCCTTATAAGTACCCCGAACATTGTACACACTTATGAAAAGTGATTTTGATCATTTTTCATTCTGAGGGTCGAAGTTTTGCAAGGCAAACTAAACAAATTTAATTTTAAAAGAGTGCCTAAGTTTTAATAAAAAAACAAACTTTGATTTAAAATTTATAATTTCTTTGGATGAATTAATATTTGCAATAAAGCAATTTGTTACATTATTTGGGGTGAATTTAGCACAAAAGAAAAGATCTCATTTCTTCAATCTTTGATAAAATTCTAACATCATTTATTTTGTATGAAGTTTATTTAAAAGGTTTTTTATTAACTTAATTAATAATAGTTTCTTTGTTGAAAACAAAAGCAGTGATTAATGCAAGTTTTTGTTGATTAATCATGAGTTTATTTATAACTCAAGGTTTCATGAATGTGATCTTTGTTGACTAAAGATCACATTGTTTTAAAATCAAATAGAATATTATTATTACAGCTGACATAACACTCAACAGTTATCAAAACAGAAATGGGCACTACTTAAGTTAAAAACAGGGAAATATACTTTAACTTTTGTAAATCATTTTTCTATACTAGCATTAAATTTTTCTTAGCCTACAGCACTTGTCAGAATCAAAAAAATATTGATTATTTATCAATTTGGAAGTGGGGGTCCTGTTCATATAATACAGTATAAAATCGATCCCTGACTTTGAAGAGTTATCGGAAATGAGTAGTTTGTTTACAAAAGTCATGTTTTAAAACTGTGCCCACGTCATTGATATATGTATAGTTTTTTTTTTTATTTTAATTTTCAGAATCTTTTTTTTATTTGTTAAAGTTAAAAAAAATCTTTGTGGAAGTTTTAGGTGGGAAGCAAATACACAAATATTTGGATATACTAATTATTTATCTTAACTGAAGAATAAAGGAATATTTTATTTTATTAATTTATGTAAATTTCAAAATTCACCCCTGCCACCACCTTTAATATTAACTGTTCTTTGGAAATACTTAAAAAATTTACATCTGTGGAAGAGAAGCACATTTTTGCACTTTTTTAATATATATATATATATATATATATATATATATATATATATATATTATCAGTCTGTTCTTTAATGACAAATCTTTATAAAAAATAATGAATAAAATCTATTATAAATTATTATAAATTATTCTGTGTATTTTGACAGCAAATGTTGTTTAAGGCAATTTCATGTCAATACATTTTAATGATTGATTTTTCAAAATTATGAAATCTTTCCATCAGGAATTGTCCAAAATTCATTTCAGAAGAAAATACCAGAAATGTGATCCAAGCTTTTGAATTTCTTAAATCATCATCAGGGTAGTTAGAAACAATTAAATTATATAAACAGTGAGTTATATTATTATTATTTTAACCAAACATTTTTGTTATATTTTTTGGATTCAGTAGATATAAACAAAGTTCATTTTTCTAAAGCAAAAAAAAAAAAAAAAAAAAATAACTTAAAGTTATTTAAAAAATTGTATATATTAATTTAAAATTTTTTTGCAATGTTAAAATACCTTAATTCAAAAAGAATTAATTTTAATTTTTACATTTCCCAGAGTATCTACATTTCTAATAAACCTCTTGCCATCCCATATTATGTTTAGTTTGGTTATTTTTATTTAGTGGTATATCAACCCCTATGAGTTAATGTCAAAATCTAAATACTTTATGCTTTCAAATACAGATATTTTGTACATAATTTTATTTTTATACTTTCAGGGTAAACATGTTTTATGGTCTACTGTAGGTTTTGTAGGTCAAGGACACATGGCACAGTGGATAAATGCATTAGTTAGATCCAGTGACAGGACCCAAAGTGTATGTTCAATACCTGGTTAAGGCAGTGGAGAACTTGGAGAGGGGAATTAACAGGAGATAACTGACATCCATTAGACATGGCACATGGAATTAGAACAGTACACCAACGAGCGAAATAATAAAGGGTTCAGTTTGACATTCCAACCATCTGAAGAAGGCCGGAGCATACAACGGCTGAAACGTTGTCATAAATATAGCAACAAAGATGAGGACAATAGTCCGAATAATGTAAATAGTGTATATAATACCTCATCTCAGAAATATAGACAGATACTGTAGGTTTTAACTGTTATGTTTTGATATAAATAAAGTATAAACTTATTTCTTTAAGGTAGGATATTACATTGACAGTTTCAAATAGTTTTCTCATGTTATTTTCCTTGTACTACTTTATGTCTTTAGGTTAAAGTGAGAACACTTAGTTAAATGTGTTTTGCCATCAGTGCAGTTTAGCATATTGTAATGTTATGGCATGAAGTTTATCATGCAGACTTGGATATTTTCCTACCAATATACCAATATATATATATCTATATTGATATATATATCTATATATATATATATTTGATATTTATTTTCAAAACTTATTGTAATAATAAAAATTAACCACTGACATTGATGCCAAAAAAAAAAAAAAAAAACCTAAAATTTTTACTATATTTATTCTATATTTAATATTGTAATTTTCTAATATTAAATATTTTAGTTTAATTTTATATTTTAATTTTAATATTTTTACTATATTTTTTGTGTCAATGTGCTTATTTTACTATATATTTTGTGTTAATCTTGTTTATTTTACTATATTTTTGTTAATTCTGTGTTTATTTTACTATATTCTTGCATTAATTTTGTTTAATTTATTATATATTTGCATTAATTTTATGTTTATTTTATTATATTTTTGTGTTCATTTTACTATATTTTTATTAATTTTACTGTATTTTTGTGTTCATTTTGTGTTTATTTTACTATATTTTTTGTGTTTATTTTATTGTATTTTTTTGCTATTAATTTTGTGTTTTTTTGCTATATTTTTGTGGTAAAAGTCAGTGTCAAAAAATGACTCTCAGATTGAACTTAGTTTCTAATGTAGCCCTGGAGATTCTGTCAAGCAAACCACATTTCAATGGGAAGTTAATATTATCAAATATTTCTATCACTAGTAATATTGATAGAATTAATGTCATCAATAAGAAATCTGTAAGAAAAAGTATTTGTAAATTTAAAAGAAAATTATTCTTACCCAATCGATTCATATTTGACTTTTATGCCAGTAAAGGTTAGTCCAGTTAATGAAGCATTAGATGATAATGAGGGAAAAGTGTAATATGTCCTGTTATAAATTTCCCTCTTTATTTTATCCTTCAGAATTTCTCTCTCTCTCTTCTTTTTGGTATCAGCTGGGAGACTTTTGTGTCTTTTTAGATTGTTACTTCATTATTACTCACAATTATTACTCATCTAAACTATTGTAAACAATACTAATCAATATTGTTTGTTCCAATTAAAGGCTTTGTTGAAGGCCCAGGTAGACTTCCATGAAAACAACAAAAGATAAGGCTTGGAAATATATTGGACTATTGTTTAGGCCGAGAGTCTGTTTCCCAAGGTTAATAATCCTAATACAGCAACCTTATTATTTAAATTTGTATTTGGCTTACTCATACCAAGAAGGCAACGTCTACTAGCTTTCCCAAGAATAGTAATAAATTTTAAGGAAAAGAAAGCTGTGGAGAATTATGATTGCTTATGTCCTGAAGGGATATTGTATTTAAAAATTCTGGCTTTGTATGTAACCTTAATGTGTGCGTGAATAAATATAAGTGTCAAGCAGACAAAAAAACAAAAATTCAACAATGAAAATATAATTGTATAAAACAAAAAATATGTTGCATTGTTTTATAAGGTAGGCTTATTAAAGTGAGTCGTAATATCATTTTAATTAAAATTAATTTATAAACAGTAATGGAAACAGTGAATAGAAAACGTGAGTCAAGAATTTTGTCAGAAACATTGAATAGTGAGAAATACTTTTATATAGATTTTTTGGTGAGTGGGGTGAAAGTATTCTGTAAGCACAATTCTTATAGAGAATCTTTCAATCCATATACAGTTCTCAGCTTAATCATTAAGTAAAATTCCCTGAAAAATTTCACTGAAATTCTTTCATTTTGGAACATCACGTAACAGACAGTAGTAAATACATAGCTATGCTGGAGCACAGCTAAAAAGATGAATGGACAACGAAACACACATTGTAGAATATAAACATGCTCATCATATATAATGGAACATCTCTACTCCAAATATAAGATGTGGCCAAGTTTATTATTTTCTTGACTTTGACAGGGACATTGAAAAACTGACAATGTCACTTAGTTCATTTTCTGTTTTCTTTCAACTTCTAAGGTTTTAATTTGTTTAGCTGCTATTTTGCTGTTTTGGGCTTTTCAATTTTCAAAATTATAGTTTAGATAAATGGCAAAAAAGAAGGCATACATGTAAATTATTTTTGAAAAACTGTACCATATTATCCATTAAAATCTCAATGGCATGCATATATTTCACTAAAATATTTAATTTTACACAATAGAAATGAACCAGATGTTTAGCCATTGCATGTTTTGTCTAATTTCCATTTCAAAACTTATTTTTGCACTTTCAGGGAAAGGTACTGTGTTATAATATTAATGTTATCAAAACATGATGGATCTTGTGTATTCACTTTATTAATTTCTTTTTTTTTTTTAAATCAATTTCAGTGAATTTTTTGTCTTTCAGACAAAAGACATTCAATTAACAAATTTCCAAAGGACAAATATTGCCAACTTATCAAACACTTTTTGTTATCAACATCTGCCTTTGTTTTATCTATTCTGTTGAGTGTATTTGCAATCTTGCTGTTTCAAATAATGTTTTTTAAGCTAAGTAAAATATTTCTGAAAATGTCTATAATACGATTTCCCTTTTTTGTGTTTAATTTTCATTTAAAATTTCTCAAATTATACACAAGAAAATACAGTAAACTGATGCCAGAAGAATATTTAATAAAAGTTTTTCTTTGAAAATCTGAAAGTTCCTGGATATGGCCATCACATGGCAGATGAATAGCCAAGGTATCTGAAATATAAATTTCTATTAACTCTCAACAATGTTGTTGAAAGTGCATTTTACAGGAAAAAAATGAATAACAAAGGAAGGGATTAGTTTTTTTTCCTCTTATGTTAAAGAGTTCATCACTAACTTTGAAATTAATGTAAACAATGTATGATATGCATGATCTTGTACATTTCAGAACTGGGGGGCTGATTCAGTACCAAGTTAAACCATTACCTTTTTGCGAATTTGTGGTGAGAGAAAATGAAAAAAGTACCTGGAAAATGCAGATTCATACACGTATTTTGTTTTTCAAAATTTTATAATTACAGTTGCCCATTATATGATTATTTAAATTTTCTTGTTCTATAAGTTCAGACATTTTTATAAATTTTGGAATAAAAAAAATTGTTTTCATAGTTATTTCTTTATAACATTGCTCTGTAGCCTGTTCACATATTTTTATAATCTTGTAAATATAAAATTACTCTTGTAATTAAACAATCTAATAGTGTTTAACATCTTTGTTGTCAAATCTTGAGGAAAAAAAAAACAAAAAGGAATGTCTAAATCCAGTTTCATATGTTTGGGTTTTATTAAAATTCTAAAAATAGATTTTCCAGACAAAAATAGTGGGGTCAGGAAAATGGCAGTCCATTCAAGGCCTTTTAGCATGTGCAGAGGTTGCAGATGTTAAACTTTGATGCTTTTTTGTCTCCTTATCAATTGAATACAAATATATTCATTGCAAACAAAGTGTCCAGTTTGCACCAAGAAGCATTCATTACAACCACTTCCATCATATATATATATAACATTTGGTGACTCAAAGAACAAAAGAATACATTTGTAACATCTGAGATATATATATATATATATATATATATATATATATATATATATATATATATATATATCTCAGATATATATATATATATATATGTGTGTGCTTACACATATGGTGGGGAAAATCTAGAACAATACTTTTTTGTAAGCTACAATTGTATATAGCTAAAAATATAACAAAACAAAGATCATCTATAAAATACATTTTATTCAGGATTATTCACTGATCTTGTTAAATATATTAACAAAGTTACAGATTCACTGAATGCAAAATTGAAAAAAATAAATAAAATAAAATAAACAGAAAAAAAAAACATCCTTAATTTTACATTTTCCCATCATTAACTAAATTAGTTTATAAAATTAAAAATAGTCTTCATACAAATATTTTATCAAATTAAACAATCATAAATCCATTATTTAAATTATATAAATTTAACCCAACAAAAATTTAAACTGTTTTAAGGTTATTTATCTTATTGCAGTTCAAAACTCCAGATTAAAAGGCATGAAACCGTGTTTCATTTTTTAATTGTGTTTATTGGAGAAACTTTAACTATTTGAAACTGAGCCATTAGCATGAATTGCTTTCTTTTATTTTCTATATAAATATTTCAGATTTTTAAATGTTTGTTAAAAAATGAAAAATTTATAACATAAAACTTATTTTTCCCAATCTTTAACATAAACTGTACCTTTTTAAATGCCTTCAAAAACATCACAGAATACAAATGTAATAATCAGTACATTTTAACCGTTGGCAAATTGGAGAATAATTTTAATTTTTTTTTTATAATCAATACTTCAAAATTGTATGATTAAAAAATACAAAATGTACATGCCCAATAATCTGGTAAAAAATAATGTCTAGATTAAGGAAAAAAGTATCAGATTCTCAAAAAAAAAAAAAAAAAAAAAAAAAAAAAATGGATTGTGGTGAATAAAATTGGGAAGTGTCTAAAAGTGTTTGATTTTATTTTTATCTCATGACTGGCATGGCAACCGCAGCTTTGCCTCCAGTGGCATCATCCTCTCGCCACATCTGAGTAACAGTTTTGATTTGGGTATAAAATTGCATCCCCTGAAAAGGAAAGAAAAAATTAGGGATAGAAACATCCTAGTAAGTCATTTAATAATCACCATAAATAATATGGAAGTTTTAAAAAAAAAAAAAAAAAAAAATCTTTTTTTTTCTGTACTAAAATGAACAAAGAATCTGTCAGGCAAATGTTTCTCATCTCTGCCACATTTCAGAGTTGAACTACATTCATAACAATCAACTAAGCTTTGCTTAGTCTGATAAAAAGGTTACAAGCGTGAACAAACTATTTTAGTAACAAAGTGATTAGTTTACTAACCACAACATTGAACTTATTTTTTCTTTAAATTCTGAAAACTTAAGAAACACAAATTTCAAGTTTTTCTTTTATCTTTTACTAGTTTAAAACCCACGCTCCACACAGACTTTTATGCTAGCTCTTGTGGAGGGCTAATTGGGGCTTCTGGCTCAAAACTAAAGGGACCCCTGGTTCAGCTTATAAAACAGTAATGATAATTTTGAAGAAATAATTTTGAATTCCTCACTTCACTCTGATTCAGGTTATGAGTCCAATTCCTGTCAAAAGACCCAATTTGGGCTGAAAGTTTAATTCTGTTTGAAATTCCATTTCAGACTGAAAACCGAGTTCTTCAAATCATACTCCGTGGAACTTCAAAACCTCATGTCACAAAACCTCTCACTTTAACTCCGATTCCTTGGCAGTTTGAAGAAATAAAAATTGATTTCCTTAATTTATAAATTGTTGGAGATATTTTAAAATGAATTTAAAACAAATTTTTTTAAAATTCATATAGTTTTGTGTTAATTTAAATTCAATATAAATTAAAAACTTTTAAAAATCACTAATTTTTTTCAGTTATTTTAAAATTTGAATTTTTAACTGTTCCCTCTTCATCTGGACACAAATCCCAACCGTGGATGTTCAAGCACCAGATGAAGGCCAGATTTTCAATCCCAGAATCATCTTGATTCCAAATGGAACTGCATCATACAGAAAATTAAAAGTTAAGCAACCAAATTTACAAAACTTTCAAACCGTTTTTCAGTTAATATTTACATGAAAACAAGTATTTTGTTACAACTGATTTTAATATTGGGTCTAGTTCATGTGGCAGACATGAGAGAGAACCTGGGACGAGCACAACTGGTTGCGACTTGCCTTGTCCCCACCAAAAAAGAGCCCGTATTTGCTTAGCATGTAAAGCTACTGCAGTTGAAATGAGGGAGAAAAAAAGCACTTATCGCTCTGCCATAATCCGTCCTCAGCCAGATAACGTAAAAGAATGAGGGGGGACTTGCATTGCATTTTTATGCAATAAAGATGCAATGCATTATGGGACAGGGACGCAATGAATTATGGGATCACATGAAGACACAAGGGATTATGGGTAATATGGACAAATATAAAAGCAATGACTTTTTCCCAGTGCAGGGAGTTCTTCGAGTGACGTTCACGGTTGGCGGCTAAAACAGTCTGTTGGTGTGATTTTGAGACAGAACTCAAGAAGGAACGACTCGAGGTTGAAATACCAGCTGGGAGAGCTTGAATTTACTCGCTGGTTGCTGTTTTCTTTATTCACCACAGTTCATAACAGTGAATGTCATTTAGCCGAAAACTGGTTTCACTGAACTCTTCACTTCATCAAATGATTTACTTAGTTGAAAAATAACAAAGAAAAATTTAAGGGCGATAACCGTTATATTTGAATGTTTCTTTTTCTTAAATTATGTATCGTTTAAAAATTAATTGTTAATTTGAATGTTGCTTATTCATAATAACGAACGATTGGCAACAAATAAATGGTTCGTTTAAGTGGATTATTTAATGTTGAAATCAGTTAAAGCCAGGAAATTGATTTGCTGATAACAATTAAATATAAATAAAAAGCAATTAAAATATAAATGTTAAATAAATAAAATAAATTAATACAGACGACTTTGTTAAATATTTAATTTATTTATACATGTATTTTGAAATGGACAAATATTTAAATAGTTTTTGTCTTGGATCAAGTTTTTTACTCGTTTTTGAATATTTCTAGAATAAAGACAAAATATTAAACAACATTTTTATGTGAACGAAGACCTTAGTGACGAACTTATGGAGAAAAATGTATTCATTATTGTAAATAAACAAAATTTTTAAATGATACATAATTTAAAAAGCAATATTCATATATTAAAGTTATCTCCCTTTAATTTTCTAACTTTAGATTTTTTTGGTGAAATTGACTATTCAACAAAACAAAGATTCAATTTAACGGTCACGTTGAAGCCAGTTACTGAAATAATTGGCATTTGCTGTTATAATGCCTCGACTTATCAGGAATTCTTAAAAGACTGAACCTTGAAGTTTTGTACTTAACTGGTATATAACTCTTTAATATATATTTATCAGTGTAAAAGATGAAAATGCTAAGTGACATATTGTAAACTTACCTGCCGTCCATAGAAGTGTGTGTCACCTCGGAATGATCCTCGGGATCCAGTAAACGAAAACATTGGTAAAGGAACAGGAATGGGAACATTAACTCCAACCTGCAATAGAAACAAAATAATTTAAAGACTTACTTGTCAACCACTTTTCTTATAATTATCAGTGTAAAGCAATTTTTATAAAGTTAATTTTGTTGAACATTAAACAAAAAGATTATATATATATATATATTTTTTTAAAAATGTATTTAGAAAGTTTCCCACCTTTTGAGCAGACTAGTATTTTCTTCCAATGTTTTAACATTTTCACAGACATTTACTTCAACCTTCTTTAAACACATTAAGCATCTGAGGATCTTTACAAGTTACTTCATTCTAAAAACTCAACAGATGTAATAAATTTTGATGAAGGCCAAAACAGAAAAATACTAAATCCAGAAATGTGTGAAAATCTCAGAACTTAAAAATTTGGATTAGATTTAATACTATTTTTGATGGCACATTTTAAATTGATACAAAGAACATCAATAGATTTCTACAAAACTGACTCAATCACAACTGTTTATAAAGTTGTCTGTTAATTTCAGTGGTATTCAAAAACAAAAGAAAAAAAAAACAAGCAAGAAACTAAACACTGAACCATATTATAAAAAAGTAAAACATTTTGAGAATTATCTTGAGTTAAAACAAATTGCACATGATAAAATGACATTTTTTTATTTTTTTATTTGGTAACATAATAGAATTATTCAACTTATTAGTGATGGTAGTAAAAAAAAAAATTCAATACCACTGACGTTAATACTACTCTATGAATTTGAATATGTTTATTTTTAAAGCCTTTTAGTATCGCAATACCACTTTCTTATCAATGTTGAATTTTGTACAAATCTGTGCAAAAAGTGGATCAAAGAGCTTACAAAGTTTCATACATATTTTCAGGAAATCTCAACTTCTAATTGGTCAATAAACACGTAAGTGGGAGTTGCAATCCACCCACGTACAAATCTTTTTCCAGCATGTGACCAAGTTAAGTTTTCCTGCTCTTTTTCTAGGAGCCTGTCAAGTGGTTACATTAATTATACATATCAGATACGAGTTTGTTCTCTCTTTTTCTTGATTTCATTCACCTATGAAAATGTAACCTTAAAGGATTTGTGTCTTGACTATGTGCGGTCAGACGCTTCTGAAAACATTCACACATGCCTGTACGTACAAAATTTTCCAAACTACATTACAAACATACAAAACATTTCCAAACAAGCAACAAGAACTTTTCTCTTTAAAAATACTCTGATCAAGCTTTCGCACACATCTTTACAAAACAAAATTGTAATATTCTGTATATAAAAAATATACATGTTGTCCAAAGCTATACTTTTTGTTGTAATTGAATATTGTTATCATTTGATATTTTTATTTAAATATATGTTTGTGGATATTGCATGTTTTATTAGCAGTGCAACTTTAAATATTCATGTAGTCTTGACAAAAAAATTAAATAAAAAAAAAAAACACTTCAAATTTTTCTTTAAATTATTAAAAGTAAACAAAATTTGAAAATAGAAAAAAAATTATCCTTGTCGTCATAATCCAAAATAAACACATCAGTGCCCACCATCCTATCATAGTTCAAATTCTAGTTTAGTCAGTTGCACTCACTAATACACAAATGTCCTTAGTAAAGGTACAAATCCATCTCTACCCCTTTCAGTTATAGGTTTTATAGTTGAGTAGATAGTGCCTTAGGTGGCAACCAGTCCCAGAGAAGGAAAACTGAATTCCCAACTGTGAAGAAAACAATAGGAAACCACTCCACTATTACACCCAAGAATAAATGACAATTTACAATTAAAAAAAAAAAAAAAAAATGTTGTGGTGAGCGATGCTTGAAAGGACACAATATTTACAAATACCAGTTTTTTTTGTCTTTTTTTTAGAAACCTATAATTAATAGTAGATTATTTTAATTTTCATAATTAATGCAAGATTTTACAGTGGGAATTAATGGGTTAAGATTAAAATTAAAATGGAGAATTCACATAAAACTAGCAGAACTCATGTAAATTACAAGGATTTACTAAAAACTTTTTTAATGTTGTATTCTGTACTTTTCAACCCATGACCACTCCAAGATAGTTATAAGAAAAGTGACATAGTCCCTCTTAAAACTACTGAAATGATAACAGATCATAAAGTCATGAAACATGAATAGATTGGCAGCTGATCTCTCATCTGATATACAATAATTTTCAAGTTGGTGGGGAACTAGATGGTTACATTCAATGCCTCAAAAACCAAACTAGTTACATTCTATCATCACCTATCAGATCCCAAACTACTGCCAGTCACGATGAACAGATGTCCCCTTGGAGAAGCACTGTGCCTTGTGAGACTATCAGTCCTTAAACAGCTAGGACTCACCATGCCACTTATGTTGTAACAAACTGCCCATATTCCCTCCATGTTCCACCAGTGAGAAGTTCCACTTGAACAATTTCTTCCCACAAACCACTGTTCTACAGAACTGACTCTCAAGAGGATGTTCTCCCAAACACTAAAATCTTAACTTGCTCAAGGCTAGGGTTAGCTGTTATCTTCCCCTTCTATCTGTATAAACAACCCTTTAATGTAACCCTTTACCTTGAGTGACCCCAGGCCCTCATTAAAAAAAAATCTAAGATGACCTCCCTTCAACCTTTCTCCATGTTTGCACTCTCTTTCTGTCTCTCTACACACCCTCCCTCTCTTTGTTTTACTCTCTATGCTCCTCTTTCTGTTTCCCCTCTCAGTATCTGTGATACCAAGCATGACACACACCATACATAGGTATAAGCATATTAATATAGAAACATTAGATTACAGTGTTGCACTGTCAGAACTTAAATTAGCCTTTTTAGTATGATTTGTAAAATTTTAAGACTTATTTTTTCGAAATCCATCACTGGTTTTGTTTTTTTAATATTTATTTAAAAAATTATGTTCACCTTGTACAAGGTCTGAGAGTCACTCAAGGTAGAGGGTTATAGTGTTAGAGGTATAATTTATGTGGATATGTGGGGAAGATAATGGTTAACCCTACATTTGAACAGGTTAAGATTGTAGTGATTGAAGGAAGCATCCTCTTGGGAGTCAGTTCCACAGAGTAGTGGTTCGTGGGAAGAAACAGCTTGAATGGAACTTATTTCTCAGCAATGAAACACGAAAGGAATGAGGGTGGTTCGCTACAATGTGCGTGGCATGTCAGAACTTGGCAGTGAAGGTGGAACTAAGGAATTTAATTCGTATGAGCACTTCCCATGGAAATAGTGATAGAGCAGTAAAAGCCTTGCAACATTTTGTCTGTGATAGATGGGTTGCAAAATGTAAAATAATTTGTCACCCACGAGGATGCGGAGATGCTTTTGGACTATATTGTGACTGGAAAGTGAGGACCAGGCAGCTCCCACCCAAATATGACAGCAGTACTTCATTTGGCTCTTGTAAAAGTGAGGATAAATGGAGGAGTCAAGTACTTACTGGAGTGCGACAGAGAACTGACCATTTTTCCAACATCTTTAGTGATTGGTCATATGTACAAGTTCCACTTGAGGTCTGGATTGAGTTTAAGTCTCAGTAAATCCTCAAGGCTTCCCTGGGGGAACATCCATTCATTGCGATTGGTGATAGTTCTGAGTCTAATCAGCAATGATGGAATGTAACTAGTTTGGTTGTTAATGTTCAGATATTTTATAAATTTTTTTTTCCTTATTTGACATAGAATTAACAAAATTATAATCAATTTTTTTATGATGGAGAGAGAGAGAGAGAAAGAGAAAGGATATCCAAAAGAGAAATACTTTTAGAAACATATTGTACAATTATGACAATATTATTAAATATCATCAGACATGTTAAAAAAAAATAAAAAGAACCTGTAGCTTGAACCAATTACTGATAGAAGAAATAATGCAGCTGTTACCAACTTAAATGAAAAAGATGAAAAAACTGACCTGTCCAACATCAATGTCGTTGGTAAATTTCCGAGCTGTGGCTCCATTTGTTGTGAAAATTGCTGTACCATTTCCATATGGATTATTGTTAATTATGTCAATGGCTTCATCCAATGTATCAACAGAAAGAGAACAAAGAACAGGGCCAAAGATTTCTTCTTTGTAGCATTTCATGTGAGGCTGAAAAGAAAAACAAAGAAAAACTGAGTTGCAATTTTTATAAAAATAATTATTTTAAAGTTATGATTTTACTTTATACCGTATCTACAAAAAAATGCTAAGGTAGGTCCTACTTTTCCCAGGATCTGACCAGATCACCAAACACAATTTTTTTTTTTTTTAAGATCCCCTCATAAAGTTGAGAATTTTTGAGCACCCTTCATAGTTTCATCTTCAATATCTTGTCTCTGATCATGTTGCAACCGTATTATAATGTCACATACAATTTGTACCAGGAAATATCAAATGACCTGAATTTAATTTAATGTGAATGACAAACCTTTGTTCAAAGAGAAGTGGATTTGTAGTGACACCAGTATTATATTGAGTGTTACACTAGGGCTTCATATATGGTGTATCAGTGGGTTGATCTAGAAAGTAACCTCCTCCGAGACATTAGGTGTACCTAACACAGGACATCAATGACATGTAAACAGGGTCAACCCAGCTGCACTTAGTATGTGCATATGTGGCATTACTGAACAAAAGGAAGATATATGTGCCCCAACTGAGAGAGAGAAAAGAGAGAGAAAGTCTCTCAAACCCTAAGAAGAAACCACATTTAAAGAAAGTCCCCCTCCTCCAAAAGCCACACGTCATTCACTGATGTTAACTGACAATGTCCACAGATGAATAAATAATTTTTCAAATGAGAGATTTAATCTGTTCTTTTTAGTCTGTACAAAAATAATTGTTACAATACAACAAAGGTAAAAATTGCTTTGAGTTTCTTTCTCAAATAACAGAAAAATTTAATAAAGTTTTTTTATTCCTGAATCTAATGGGCAATGATCATGGCTTATATCTATTGACTTGGTGACATCCATCTTCAGAATAACAGAACCATATGCTGCTCAATTTACTATCAACTTCAAATGTCTGTCTCTTAATGATATCATCACAATTTCAGCATCACTGATGAAGAGGATTAATAACATTCTTTCCAATTCACTAATAGGCAGGTGGTGTGATGGATAGCAGTTCAGAACAAGAAATCAAAGAGCTGAGTTTAAATTCCAGTTGAGTTCATTATATTCACTTTCATGCAAAAACCCTTGGGAAAGGCATGAATCCCTCTCTTTTCTCCAGGGCAGACTCAGCTCTCTAGCCATGTTTGGCAATCAGTCTAGAAGAATGAAAACTTTCAATTTAAAACTGTATTTGTGGCCCTGGGGACCAAAGTACAAGTTGCCCTTTGTAAAAGCATCACACCCAAAAACCACCACTCCTGTCAGGGTGTAGACATCAGCAACAGGATGTTGGATGTAGTTAATGGCAGAATTTAACAGACCAGATTTGACAATGAACTGCACTGGTGACATGTAAGAGATCCTTCAATGGATGAAACCTAATTATTCCAATTCTTATGGCAACTGCAGGAACACATAGTGTAACAGCTTGTGTTTCAGATTATTATATGTGTAAACAAAACCCTTATGACAGCACATTGGGTATCCAGGTGAATAACTTAGTTATAACTAACTAGGTCATCCAATTCACCATCTGATCCCTTATAAAATGACTTTACAAGCACACTGCAAAAAAAAAAAAATCTCAAAGTACAAAGGAAATAAATTTTAAATTATATAATTTTAGAGAAATTAATTTTTATCATCTAGATTGTAAGGAGGTGAGAACTGAAGGTGAAAGTGACTTGACAAATTTATTACTCATGAATTTGTGTTCAAAATTATTCTGCAAGACGATGGAATAAGTAAATTGCAGGAATTGAGTAGGAGACTTGCATTTGTTAAATGTTAATTTTACATATTCATTGAAAGTTTGTTTTTCATCCAAACTCTGAAATTTTATTTAATATCTATTTCTCTTTCCTCAGTAGGAGTAGATAGGTTTTCCTATTTTCTGGTTCTCCTGTCTCTCCAGTCTTTTGAACAAGAGTAAAGGTTTATTCCTTGTTTAGGATTGTTTTTTTTTTTTGTTGGGTCTGTGGCCCTATGGGAAGATGAATGTAGGCATAATGTTACCATCACCAGTAATCACTCCAAACACCTTCGTAATCACATCCAATTCTTTCCTCTGCATTGTCCTCAGATTGACACACAAATACTCTGAAATATTTTTATTGGAGCTTCTGGTGTGAATGCCAAGCAGTATGTCATGCCATTTCCAAATTTCTGGTAGAGTGAATTGAGTCATGGTGCTTTTTTTCTCACAGATGGTGCCCAATTGACCCTACTATACTGTGCAGCTGACAAAATCAAAAACAATGCACTTGCGCAAAATTAAAAATATAAAATGGTGACAATCTACCCTTCACACCCTGCATAGAAATTTTCAAGATTAGGAATTATCATTATGTCTTTACATTGAGAGTAAAGTCTTTCTAAGCAGTTCTTCAGATGTTTGTTGTACCTGGCATGTTTCTCAGAATTTCTAATCAAACCTTTTATTTAATAGAAAAGAGATAGATTGTTTTCATCTTGCTTTCAATGCTCAGAGGACATCCTGGATCCCTTAATTCTCTCAAATCTATTTTGTCTTTTGCATCCCTTGCCAATTTTCTTCACTGTTATCAGAGTATGTGATTTTCATGAACTAGCCAACACACAGGGATTAAATATAAAACTACCAGGGAACCAGAGATGTTTTAATTAATACTTTAGTCCACTTGGAGAGTAAAGAAACATGAAAAAAGCTGTATTTCAGGGAGAGAGAGACAGAGAGAGGGCTGGATCAACCATTAAGTAAAATAAGCAACATGCTTTAGAAGGACCCACCACGTTAAAAAGGTCCAATGAAATGAAAAAAATTACCCACACACATATATACATAAGAAAATATATGGATATAGCATATTAAAAACCAAGGTCCATCGTCTTTTCATGAAATGTTAATTATGAAGAAATGTTTTTTACGTTGACAAACACACATATATGCATATTAGGATTTTTGTTTGTTTTTTCCGTATATTTTTCTTCATATATATATTCATGTGTGTGTGTGTGTTTGGTATGAATTTTTTTTAAAAGCAAACTTGGATACCAATTCATTCTTTGGTATCCAAGTGTTGCCATAGGAAAAAAATCCAACTGACATAACATTATTTTAACCCCACACTCCAAATATCGCCACAGGAACAAATTTCAACTAACATCGTATCAGCCGAACCTCGCACTCTTCTCTTTCATTTATATTTTTAGATATGAATTTTTTTCTATTGTGATATCTTCCCTATATGTAAACTTTTTTTTTTATATGTGAAATTGTTTTTTATATGTGGAATTTAAATATTTCTCTTCCTGTTTCATGTTTTCTATATGTGGAATTTTCTTCTATATTTAATTGTTTTTCTAATACTAATTTTTTTTATATATTGAATTTAAATTTAATCTTTCACAGAATTTTAAATAATTAGTATAAGTATGATATAATTTAAATTATAAACTTAGTATTTGAAAATTTATTAATATTTTGTGGATATAATGAGATTGGTTATATTTAAATGAAATTAGTATATTAATAATTTTCTTAATTTTTTTACTGTAACTTTTACTATATAGTTAAAGATGTACTATTGAATGGATTATTATTATTAACATCTTTTTATAAAAATTTTAAATGCTTACTCCCATTCTATATTTTAAACTCCTCTCTAAAAATTTCTTATATTTTTTTTTGTTGTTGTTGTTGTTCATTCTTCTTCCTTGCACAAGTGTTGATAGGTTACATTTATGTCAGTGTCTATTTTCAACAGTCATGTTTATTTGTACCTGACTCCACCACAACCACCTTAGATCCCTTACCCCTCTATATCTATATAACTCCCTCCTCTATTATAGGCCAATTCTTACTCCCTCTCGTTTTATTCTTTCATTTTTTTTTCCCTTCCTTTGTCTTTCAAATTTCCCATGAAGAAACATAGGATTTTAGTCATTTTAGTAAATGTATTTGCATTGCCAAGTCCAGGAAAAAAATTACTTTCCCATGGATGAAGTGATCATCTGTACGAGGTAAATTGTTTGGATCTCATTAATTGTAATTCACTTAGATGCTCTATAATAAAAATTATATTGAGTTCACTTTTGTTGATCAGTTTTAATATTTTATATTAATAGGATCTACTTGGATTACTTACCCACGGATTTTTTTTATCTGGTATATATTTTTATAATAGGATATAGAATCTCAAGGTTTTGCAGACATTTGACAAATGGAAAAACGTTTCATTGAAAAAAGATTTGATTACGCATTTCACCTTTCTAGGCTTCATCAGATCCAAAAACAGAAGAAAGAAATGTGTGTATGTGTATGTGTGTGTAAGCTTAAATAATAAATCGTTAGTACTTTTTCCCTAAGCTGGTGTTTCTCATGATGAAAGAAAAGAATGAAAATGAATGACTTAAATAAAACCATTAATATTTATACTGTACCTTTTCTTTATAATTCATAGTTCATGTCAAAAGTTACTAATATATTTTTTCCCAGTTTTTCTGTATCAAATTAAAGGTAAATCTTTATCTCTTTTTCAGAATGACTCAAAAACAAGAGATCTATATATCTATATATATATATATATATCTCTATCTATCTATCTATCTATATATATATATATATATATATATATATATATATATATATATATCTATAGCCTTTGCTGAAATGGATCCAAGGCAAATCCTCATCCAATCCTTCAGAATTGAAAGTAAAAGATTTATATGTTTTTAGGTCTGTCCATGTGTTTTTCATGTCAACAATGTGTTTAAAATAAGATATAGACTCTCAACAAAGTTTTGAAGAGATTTGACAAGTGGGGAAACGGTTCACTGAAAGTAGATTTGATTACGCCTTTCCAGGCTTCATTAGACCCAAAAATGAAAGAAAGAAATGTGCGTATGTGTATTTGCGTGTATGCTTAAATAATGAATCAGTACATTTTCCTTAAGCTGGTGTTTCTCATGATCGTAAGTAAGCTGATTACTGTTGTTTAATAGCTTTAAATTTTCAATGACACTGACAACAAATAATGTAATTAATGTTTCATAATTTTGTGTTTTTGAAATGATGTGAAAATTACAAAATTGGTCAAATGGGGTGTAGCACTGATTTTGGCAAAGTATGTATTTCCTGATTTTTATTGTTCATTTAATAGTCGAGTATGTATTTCCTTGTGCCAATCTACATGGTACTGAAAATGTCTGCATGTGCTTTTTTGTAAATGGTGCCATCATGGTGGTGATGAAGATAACACGAGTGCTGCGTTCTCATGTGGTGGTAGTGACAAAGTTTATTTCATCATGGGAAACAAGGTAGGTGGCTTGCATCCAGGCACCACTACGCAGGTTCGAATCTCAAGACAACTACTAATTTATACCACATTCCCAGAAACACCACTTTTCAGTTAAGAAATTCTGAAACAAAATCTGTTTATATTAAAGCATGAAAATACAAGATCCAGTTATAAGCCAAAAATTAAAATGTTTGTATGATTCTGATGTGCAACTATATTAATTATCACATAATACTCAAATAAAATGTTCTTTCTATTTCTGCATTTTACAGATCCTGAAAACCAAGATGGCACGTGTTCAATTAAGCAGTATACAAAAATGATAACTATCAAAAAAGAAACAAAAGAAGACTTTGGACTCAGAGTCCAAAGCTGACCGATTTGTTCACACAAGTTCCGCAACATGATATACTGATTTCGGATCAAAACCAATCTCAGTCATCAGAAGTGGAAACAAATCCCACATTGATCACTTAAAAATATAATGACATGGGAATCAGAGATATCACAAGCACGTTCATATAGTGCTCATCTTGCTACTGGTCTCACCTTGCCTGTAAATTCTCTTGATACATCTTTACAGCAAATATCGATGCAAATTGCTTTGCTGAAAATGAAATTTTTATGGCTCATGATAATGGTGGTGAAACTATTCAGTTTACAGAAGATGAAGTAAATATAGCAAATGATCAATTTTTCTGTCAATAACATGGTTTATTGGACTGCTTATTGACCATTTCACAAGTGGCAAACTAGTAAGATACGGTTTGCAGAAACTTTTTGTTGAGACAAAAGTCAACAGTGAGAGAGTGAGAGAGAGAGAGAGAGACAGAGAGACAGAGAGAGTCGTTATTTTATTCACCATCTACTCTATCTTGTTTTGTCTGAAATCGTTTGTGCTTAAGATTTTTCACATTTTGTCACCTCAATGAGTTCAGCATCTATTGAAATCGATAGGTATAATTAGTGGTGTCAAAAATTGGTTGAATATTAATTTCTCAGCCGAGTTTCACTAATTTCACTCATGTGCGCCACAAGGTCAGTGCAACAAAATGTGTAAAAAACAATATTCAATCATGCTGAGCTTTATAAAATAATTGTAAAAGACAATGCTGAATGTACCTTCCCAAATATAGACATTGTCTTTTGTATATTTTTAACATTAATGGTCACAAATTGCTCAACTGAGCATTTCACAGTTGAAGTATATAAAAAATGCCTTCAGAACAAGCCTACAAAAAGACAGGCTGGGTGCCATATCTCTACTAAGTATAGAAGCAGCTGTGTAAGGTTAATTTTGAGGTTCTTCAAAAAAACTTTGCAACTAAAAAAAAAAAAAGGTGGAGAAAACTTTTCAAATATAAATAAAGTCTATGTATAAAGAAAAAAAACAAAAAAACAACATTATTTTCCATTTTATTGTAAGTTTTGTTTCAATTTGAAAAGTAAAATTTTTATTTTATGGGTTATTATTGTTTATATTTGGTTTACATATATGTGGGGACAACAAAATCTTTTAAGTGCTTTGATTCCCCGTTGGGTTTTAATCTGGTCTTGGGGAGAGACATTGAAATCAGGAATAGCTGATCTTGTATAGATGGAAATAAAGTTAATATAGATAACAGTGGAGAATAAAATGACTAAAAGAATCCATGCATGTGTAAGGCACAAGCAACCACCTCTGGGAAACTGATTCAGTTAAAAAGACCCAAATAAAATTTCCGCTACCTGAGTATTGATATTAAGTTTAAGGCACCAAAACATCACCACTGGATTGTCCAAGAGAGCAAAAGAAAGGAACTTAACCTAGGCAACACTAGGTTTGATTGCTAGTTAGATTATAAAAATTATTAGTTACCTTAACATTGTGAATGATGGAAGGTCCAACAAAATTTCCTTTTTCATATCCAGTGACTTTAATGTTTCTTCCATCTAAGAGAACGTCAGCACCTTCATCAATGCCAGCCTGAATGAGATTGCAGACTCGATTCTTAGATTCAGGTGAGATAAGGGGGCCAAGATCAGCACCAGCTTCATGACCTGTAAGATTATATATATGTGTGTGAGAGAGAGAGAAAGAGAGAAAAAGAGAGAGAGAGAGAGAGAAAGAGAGAGAGAGAAAGAAATCATTCTTTGGGCAATTTTTTTTTTGTTTTCTTTAGCTATATTGTAATTGTAATATCACCTGTTACCTTATAAGGAAATATTTGGTATTCATTGACTGAGCAGGAAGCACTACAGTTGGTTGAAATTTATAAAATCTTTTTCTTAAAACAATTTTTCAGGAAAATAGGTTTCTTACATCCAGTACTTGTTCTTTTCAGTATTAGGGGGGGGTTCTTTCCTAAAATTTTGCTTAATGTGGGGGTGTCAATATCTTCATTATGTCATCATTTTATTTTTGAGTTAAATGTGCTATCCATTTTAGTTGTTGCTGATGTTGATAGTCTTCAAGTGACGTGGTTGCTGTTATTTGGTAAAATTCTTTCTTTGTGATTCTGTAGTTCCAGGCAGTGAGGTTTGAAGAAGGATGATCCTCACTAAGACTTACAGGCCTGATTCACTGGAAGCAATTTTAATCACTAATCTAAGAAAGTGGTCATATACAACTGACAGTTTAGATATTTCTAAACAAGTTTGGTACCATGCATAACATCTGATCATAAAGTCTTGATCTGACAATGAGTTTTTATGTTAATGTGTGGAATCACCACAGTCTATTCTATGATCAATTTCTTTATCCCTTATACTAAATTCATTACAACTGATCCATACAAGGTATTTGAAGTGTTTAGTATTTACTAATTCCACATTCTGTATTTTTATGACAGATTCAGGTTAGGTGCCGTCACTGCTTTCATATCCAATTCCAGATCATAGTTTCGGTTTTGGAAAGGTTTATCTTCAGCCCTAATTCTTGCTAAGAAACACAGTAAATAGTTTTAAAGTGATGGAAAGAAATGATAGCATTGAAAAGATTTAAAAATATTGAGAATTATACTTAAATCGGTAAGAATGATACAAATTATGACTTAAGAATTTTTAAATGACTGAAGAAAAATAGTTTCTACCATTTAAATGAAATGAAAATTAACGGTAACTTGAATTTATTATTTTTAAATGAAACCTTATTAATTCATGATTTTTTTTACTCAATTTTTTCATCTTAATTTCCACTGCTTTTCATCAAGCTTATTGAATCTACCGTAGACAGTTTGAATGATTGCAATAAAAAACAGGTGACATTAAGATGAAAGTAGAAGTGAAAAAATTAATAATTGAAAATGGATTTAATTTATTCTTAATTTTGACAATTTCTCACAGTACTTACCTGCATTTACTTTGAGTTGTTTGGTTTTCTCAATCAACTCTGGAATCCATTCCTTTGCTTCTCCCACAAAAACAGCAGTTGTCAGTGCCATACACCTTTGGCCTGCAGCACCAAAAGCTGCTCCAACCAACTAGCAAAAGAAAATTTAAAAAAAAGAGTTCAGTTATGAATTTAAATGACAAATTTCAAGGGAGCTGTCTAACAACTTGCTCATAATTGTCAATCTAAAGATAATATTATTATTATTATTCAATTATTGATTTTCTTCCTTTCATACTTACTGAGAATTCTCAGAAAAATAATTTATAAAGGAAGCGTCTGATGAACATCAACTGTTGTTCTGTTGAGAATATGTCAGCATACTGTATTACTATTTTGTATGCTAGCAGTTCAGCAATGGACAAGAGTGCCCTCCAAAGATTATAGATATTGCTTTATCTACTGGGTGTCATGTGTTCTTGGACACACAAGGCCCATTGGATAGAATTTTGATTGATCCAAAAAAAATGACTTGACACAGAGTTGAGATTTCAAACCCTGGCCTCAGTAGAGAGAACAAAAACTGAGTTATCAAGGTAAATTAACTAAATCTGAGATATCCAACAGTATAGTGTGTGGAATTAGAACGATCTACTTAGTGGACCAAATAAATGGTTCGGTTTGAAATTCCAACAAATATCACCTGAAAAAGGCTGAAACATTGTTAATGTGACAATAAAGATGAGGACAACAGTCCAAACAGTGTCAATAATTACAATACCTCATCTCAGAAATATAAGCAGATGTTAAAAGATATATTAATGAATATTGTAAGTATATTTTGCTGAATATTAAAACAGTAAATTCCCCTTCAAAAATGATTCTGTAATATATGTGCTTAACTCTTGGTAACTTATATTGCCGAGATCATGCAAATATCTTCATATTTTGAAGATGTGGTTAACTTTTTGGTGGAAAACTTACTTGATTTAAAGTCATTTCTTTGCTAGCATCAGGCATGATTACTCCATGGTTCTTGGCACCCTGCAAACCAAAATACAAAATAGATTAAGAAAAAAAAGGAACAGAAAATATGTTCCAGTTAAATTTGTTTTTAAAATCACAAGAACATTTTCAATCTATTCTTCATAATCTTTGCTAAGTGTTTGAATGCTGAAATTCAAGATGCTTCTTTCTCTCTCTCTCTTTTTTTTTTTTTTTTTTTTAAAATCGAATTTACTCCAAGCAAGGCAGCAAAGCCACTAAGACGCAATTACGAATTAGAAAACAAACATTATTAAAGAGTGAGAACAATAGAAGAGTATTCAGAAAGACAGTAGATAATGACCGATATTGCATCTAAATTTTTGAAGATCAAAGTTGGCGTTCCCCAAACAAGAAGTGCGAGAAAAGAAACTGTTAGCATAGAACTTAGTTACATCTAGCCAATTCAACTCTAAATTGATGAGACCTTGTTGCCAATTTAGTACTATGCTTAAATTCATAAAATCTAGGTACTATAGTGAAGAGCTCATATGAATAAATTACCATGAAAGTATTTATAAAGCAACTTTATGGTGGTGGGAAAGTGACTGAAGCTGAGACACATATCTTAGGATTTTATTAAGAATCTCTAAATATATAGTAGGAGCACCAGACTATAGGTGGCAGCAATATTCAAGCATGGATAAATAGGAGACTTATAAATATGTAAAATAGTTTCTGGAAAGAAAAACTGTCTAGCATGACACAGTGAACGAACTTTCTTAGCAGCTTAGCTGGCAATGGGTTCAATAGAGTCTTTCCATTTCATGTCAACTGGCTCCCGGTATTGCTACTGTAAGTACCCGAACTCCTCATGCTATCATCTGTATTTATAAGAGCCAGTTCAGGCCCAAAATGGAGTACTATGGTCATATTTGGCCAGACCTCACTTTCCAGTCTTGATAAAGCTCAAAAGTGTCTCAGAGTCCTTGTGGGAGAAGAATTATTTTCCACACTTCAATCTTTCTCTCACAGGCTGGATATAGTGAGCCTCTCACTGCTCTCTTGTTACTACCATGAGAAGTGCTCAGACAAACTGTTTCTCCTGGTTCCACCAGATTTGACCTTCACAGCTAGGACCCTTGCTATGCCACTTACATAGTAGCAAAACAGCCACATTGACTCCGTATTCCATCGGCAAGAATAAAGTTCCACTCAAACAGCTTTTTCCTATGGAACAGACTCTCTAGTGGATGTTTCCCTGATCACTACAATCTTAACCTGTTCAAGTCTAGAGTTAACTATTACCTTCCCCTCCTATCCATATAAACACAGTGAATCTTAAAAAAAAAAAAAAAAAAAAGTCAGAATGTTTTTACAAATGGGACATTATACCCCTTCACTCATAAGAGCAAAGTCATGTAGCAATTCTGAAACAATACAGATTTTTTTTGCTTTCATAGAATGATTTTTCAAGTTTTACTTCAAAAGATAAACTATATATATATATATATATATATATATATATATATATATATATATATATATATATAAAAAAATGATCTTACCATGTTTGACTGAACGCGCTTGCCATTTTTAGAACCTCTTTCATAAATGTATGTACCCTGAAAAACATTTCAAATATTTATAAAATTTGCCATAACAAGAAAATGTTTTATTCAAATGGAATAACTGTTTTCATTAAAATAAAATTATGAATAATTTTTTTAAAAGTTCAAAGTTATTTTGGTATTTATACAAATGGTTTACAATTTTTCTATATGCCAAGTCCCTTCAGAACATTGATAATCATGACTCTTCAATTTCCTGTCCTTTGTAGCTCTTAACAAATTTTGGCCTTTTGTTATCTCTTCTAAACTTTATTCCACCATCCATTTACTCAACTCACCAAGCAGTTTATGCTCTGCTTTCCCCCCATCCCCCTTGACTTCAACCTGTCCTGTGAGTATCACATTTTCCAAGCCCTCTTTCCTCATTATGTGCTATAGAAATTTCAACTCCTTCTGATGTATAAGGTTCCTTTTTGTTTTCATTTTCTCTAAAACTACATCATTGCTCACATGTTTGATACATAGAATTCTCAGCATCCTTCTGTAGAACCACATTTCTGCTTCTTCAAGTTTCTTCTCCATCTGTGAGGAGATGGTCCAGCATTCACTGCCACATAGGAGAACTGATATTACATAACTGTTTAGGACTATTTTCCTTGTTTTTAACAGAATCTTTCTGTAATGGTATTTTAAAAAACTTCATATAAAGTCATAATTAGGACAATAATAATAACAGTAATATTAAACAATTTTCAGTTTAACTATTAAGTAATAAAATAATAAAACTTCAGCTATATAGAAAAAAATCCAAGCTTAAAGTTTGTGTAAGTGTTCAAAACCTTGAAAATTAATTATAAATTGTGTGTGTGTGTGTATATATATATATATATATATATATATATATATATATATAAAAATTAATTAACAGATCGGAGACTTCAGAAAGCCATGGTAATATTTTATTTTGTGAGACCGATAAAATTTGATTTTGCTTTTATCAGACCTTGCGGTTTCAAAACAATGAATGGATTCAAAAATTCTTCCCAGAATCAACCGAAAAACGAAATGAAAAACAAGATTAGCGGAAGTTGTGTTTTAAGATAGTTACACAGAGAAGGAAGGGAAGGAGGGAGGTATATGTCTCTAGGAGATGCGATGGTTGTAGCGTTGCGATTTACATAATAAATACACCTAATAGCAGGTTTTTATTTATATCTACCAGCATGTCTTACATCACACCCAGCTTAGTTCTTGCTTAATGGCGATAACTAATTTATATATTCAGTTTGAAAAATTAATTTTTTTTTTTTAAATAACTTTTCTTATTCATTTCCAACCCAGTCTTTTGTGATCTTAACAAATAAGCAATAAATATTTATTTTGCTGATGGTTTTTTATAATTAAATTTTGCTTAGTTATTCAAATAAAGTGATTTTCTCCTCTGAAAGTGGGGATCACCTTAGAATTTAGATCACAGGTTGGGAGTAAATCAAAGCAAGCAATGTCAATATTAAATGTCAATTCAAAAAAAATTTACCATAAATTACAATATTGTAAAATGTTGTATATGAAACCGGTAAAGTTTTTTAATAAAATGAATTGTTTAAAATATGATCATTTCTCTAATACTATTTTAATGCAAATCATTCAAACAAATAAACATTTACAGTGAAGTAAAAAGAGATGCCAAGTATCACTGATATTATTATCTAAATGTATATTTTTATGAGAAAAGAATAAAAAATCTCACTGAAAAGATTAAAGTAAATAAAAAATAACAAACGAAACTTACGGCTTGATCAGATCCCACAAATGAAATAGCTTTAATGTCAGGATGATCACAAATAAAATTCACAGCTGAAAATAAAAATTAGTTTTACTGTTAGCACGCTGAATTGTCTTTTTATTTCAGGGTTGCCTTCTCATTAGTTGAGAGAGAGAGAGAGAGAAAAGTTTTAAAGGAAAGCACAAATGCCTTATTTTAATTCTTTTTATTTTTGTTTATATATTTTATTTTTATCAGGACTCACTACAATATAATTTAAAATAAAATAATGGGAAAAAAATTTCTTACAGTCATGTTTTCCATGGATGACATTAACAACTCCATCAGGAAAACCTGCTTCTTTGACCAATTCCATAAGGATCATGCAAGCACCCGGATCTCGTTCAGATGGCTTCACCAGCATTGTGTTACCACATGTTAAGGCAATAGGGAACATCTATAAATGAAAATCCAACAAATATTTAATGAAAACATGGCATATTTTGCGTTGTGTTATTGTATTGAATCAGAACAAAAAGGTTATAGTTTTTTTAAAGTGAATTTCAAAAGCAATATATAGATATTGGTATACAGATTTATTCAACCACATTTTTGTCATTTTGTTCCACTACCTTTCACAATCTTTGAGGCAGCTTCCTAATACCACCTACCTAAAATTAAGCATCTTTCTGGGGGATTAACCGATCTAAGTGGTTTTTACAGGTTTCTACACAATTGAAGTTCTTCCTTTCAAGAGAATTTTACAAGGATCAAAATTAGATGATAAACCAAAGGTGCATGGTCAGATTAGCGCAGCAGGTGTAATAGGGGGTGCCAACCAAGCTGCACCAATTTCTGTTGAGTGTGCAGAGACAGGAGATCTGGCATTGTACTGATGGAAGATTATACCTTCCTGACTGGCTAATTCTGGATGCTTTTCATCAACTGCTGCATTCAATAGGTCCAATTGGAAACAACATTTGTCAGAATTCAATGTCTAATTTTGTAGGAAGAGATAATACACAATGCCTTTCCATCTCATCATCACCTTCTTTAGATACAGACAAGCTTTTGGAGTGGTTAATTCATTGTTTTCCTCAAGATGTTTTTCACTCCACATTGCTGTAAACAATCCATTTTTCATAACTTATGATCATTCTTTTGAATTGATTGTTTTTGTTATGTTTGAGCAGAGAATAGAAAATGCAGTCCATTAAATTTTTTTCTGTTAAATCGTGAGGTACACAGACATTATAAAAAATTCACGTATCCAAATGCATTACAATGCTTGCATGACATATGTGGATTATATTTGCAATATTCCATGTCAAGTAACCCAGATTATTTCTCATCAGCATTTTGATTTGATCATCATCAATGATTGTGGGTCTGCCAAAATGTCCTTAGTTTTTCAGATCAAAACTCCACTTGTGACCCTAGACAGTCACTTTCAGACATTAATCTCAGCTAAGGCAACATCCCTATAAATGGCACATATATTTGCTGTTTGTACAGTTTTTCAGTTCCTACTTTGTTAATTCTGTTTGTTGGACAGTTCTGTCTTTTATTTAGCATTTGACCCTGGCTACTCACTCTACAAATACTATCTTGTCTAAGAGTTCTTTTGATTTCCTTCCTGAGTCTGCCATCAACTGTGTCATCCATGATATAAACGTTATTGTGTATCAAGCTGGTGTTTTATTTCTGACAGACCTTTCATGTACACATCAAAAGACTATAATCACTCCATGATATTATTATTTTCAGTTTTCTTCCATTTTTTTTTTTTTTTTTTTTAAAAACCGACCCTTACGCTAAAGTTTATTCATTTCATGTATAGGGTATCTCCTCCCAACAAAAAAAGACTCCCTCCTCCCTCAAGCAATTCAAATGTTTGATAGCAAGAGGGTCAGGCCAGGAACTTTTCAGCACCCATTTGTACACATCTAAAGAAGATCTAGGATTCCACTATAATAATAATAATAATGCTGCTGTTGTTGTTGTTATTGTCATAATCATCATCATTATTATTTATCAATGCCATCAAAAGGACTTATGGTTCCCACAGTTGAGTTTGAAATAGAATTCTATGATTTATTACTGCTATGTCCAACTCTTTCACAGAGACAATATTTTTATATCCCAGCTTTAGTAAACATCTTCAGTTTGCCACTGTCATAACTACACTGTCACCTGGAGTCACCAGTGAAATTGATATAACTGGTACAGCAAAGAGTTACAGATATTACAGATAAATAGACAAATACATTTGAAATATACATAATGTCCAAATACATTTGGCATATTATATATGGGAGAATAAGATATATAATATCAACTCTGTTTCAAACAAATGGTGGGTAATTGAATGACAAAATGGAAAAAAATTCTATGTAATATGTCTTGTCCTTCAAAAGAAATTCTTCAAACTTTTATCAGTATGGCATGACATCTTTATCAAGCAATTGCAACTTATTATATTAGGCTGTTAAGAAAATAATGTCTGATTTTAGAATCAACTTTTATTCCTGACACATATCTCTACTGTGGAATGTCAGAAACCAGTGCCATACTGTTCAGTCACAAGTGGATCCTTCATCCCAATGCTCTGTTAATGTTGGTAGCAGTTTAAGAAACATTATGACCAAGCTTGAACTCCTGCAAAAATGTAAACATCTCTTCTTTTTTTCAGATTCAAGATGAGGGGGTACATAAAATCAACAAAGAGGAGGACATTTTAATCATTAGGAAAGAGTAATATATTTTTTTAGACAACTATTCTAATAATATATTAGAACAAAATTAAAAGGTTGATTATTTTCCAAACAACCTAATACAAGGATCATAAAACGATACAATATATTGAAGTAGAAGAAGTGATGAAAAGTTGTTAGCTTGAAAAAACCATTCCCAAAATCTATTTATTTTAAACAAAAGAGGGATGCTGGTTCAATTCCTGCTGGAGAGCATATTTTCCTATTTAGAGGAGAAAATAGCTATAATTACCTTCACATACCAACACAAATTACTAAATAAATGATCAGAACTCATCTCAATATGCAGACATGAAAACAAATTTTTACTGTGTTACTTAAAAATCGAAAACTAACAAAAAAAAAAAAAAAAACAAAAAAAACAAGCAAACATGATAAATTAAGTAAATAATAAAAAAATCAAACTACAAATATACACAAGTAAATATAATAACAAACAACTAATAATAAAGTAATCAATAATAAAACTAACACCATAAAATAGCTGCAAAACTGCATTCAGATCCACAATTATTTCCACTCAAAAGCCCCTAGAATAATTTGAAACATAACCATTAAAATAATACAATAGACCTACCTGTAATACATCACTGACCAGCATATATAAATAGTTTAGTCAAAACACAACACACATGGCATGACGATTGGGTTTAAGCATGAAACAGTCATCTCTTGGTGTGATGACCTTAAAACTTTACATAGAACATTACTTTTTGATACATTTTTTAAAAACTTATTTCATGTGTATAGTGAGATTATAATTACCAGTAGAATTGTTCTTTCTAAATGTAAAGATTACATATATGAACTTACCCACAAGGGAATCATAGCTGGAAAGTTGAAAGGAGTGATACCAGCACAGACACCAAGTGGTTCTCGAATGGTCATTGTGTCCATATCTTTAGCTATTCCAGTGAGTGTTTCACCCAGACTAGTAGCTGTCATACTGCAACAATGTTCAACAACCTCTGAAAACAAAGAAGCAAAAATCTGGAAATTTAACAGATAAAATGAAAAAGTATACTTGTTTAAATATAAACAATACTGTTGTCAAAGTTGATGATATTCACTAACCGTCCCACGCAGTCGGTTGTGGCACAAGGCCGAGTTTATTGTGGGGTATCCATAGACTCGGGCAAAAATATCCCCATAGACCCTGTAAAAACAGGGTCGAGTAGCTGTCTACCACCCCAGACAAGAGATTGCCTTTTGGCATAGCCTTGTCCGAGTTCCTCTCTACACAGAGGAAGAGAGTTTGACAAGCACACTTCCGAAGTAATCTGTAAAGTGATGTTGTCAGAGTTGATAGAATCGACTGTGTTGTTACAATTCTAATCTATTTGATAATATACAGCCATACCCAATCATGAGAACAGCATTGGGAGTAAAGCCGGAGGACAAATCTGGAGCCAGTGTCCTTAAAACAGATGTCATGTTATAAAACCTGTGCCCTGTAGAGGACACTTCAGTGTTGCTTCAGCATGAGGGCAAAACACAGGAAGCAGCAGTCTACTGATGGGAGAATTCTGAAGGTCCTTTTGTACAGGGAAGTGACAACAGGGTGACCTTATCTTCACTTCAAGGATGTCTGCAAAATGGACATGAGGAAATGGAAAGATGTTACCAATGATCACTCAAGCTGGAAAAATGATTTACACCACTGAGGACTGAAGCAAAGAGAGAAGAAATGGAGGCTTGATACTGGGGAGAAGTATGCTTGAAGGAAAGAAAACAAACTGTGCCATCGGGGCGAGTGTCTTCACATGCATTCATTGTAATCAACACTGTCGATCCCGTAAAGTCATAACAGATGCTGCACCACCATCAACCACCGAGGCATAACTTCTTGGGTGCAGATCCATGGTCTCTTGAGATTGACAGATGCCACACACAACTAATAAAAAATGACAATAGTAGTTAAATAACTTTGCAATTACATTGTTTATTTTCTGTACTACTAATCTAGGATTTATGTCTGTGTAATTAATACTTCTACTTGCACATCTTTATCAAACTTTCATTGGCTGCTGTCATTATATATATCTTCAAGACATCATGAAATATTGGTCCCTAGTATGTGTTATAAACGAACTACTGCTTAGTGCTATTTTCAAACTAGCATAGACATATGGTAATGTATAATATGACCTGTTTTGTGATATATTTTTTTTTATGTACTAGCTTAAAAGCAGCACTCTATGTAGAGTTTTAAGCTAGCTCCTGCAGAGGGATAATTAGGCCTCCAGCCCAAAATTAAAGGGACCTTTGGTCCACCTTAGAAAGTAGCAATGATAATTTTTGAAGAAATAACTTTGAATTCCTCAATTCACTCCATAGAACTTCAAAACTTCACTTTAACTCTGATTCAGGCTATAAGTCCAATTCAGGCTGAAAATTGAGTTCTTCACATCACAAACTCGATGGAACTTCAATTGAGCAGAGTTCTTCAAATCACAAACTCTGCAGGACTTCAAAACCTCACATGAAGAAACATCTCACTTTAACGCCAATTCCTTAGCATTTTGAAAAAATAAAATTCATTTCTTCAATTCACCAAGTTTTGGAGTTATTTTAAACTCAATATAAATTAAAAACTTAAAATCACTAATTTTTTTTTTTTTTGAGTTATTTTAAAATTTGAAATTTTAACTTTTCCCTCCTCATCTGGGTACAAATACCAACGCTGGATGTTCAAGTACCAGATGAAGGGTAGATTTTCAACCTTGGGATCATCCTGATTCCAAAAAGGCATATGTCTATATAGAGCAAGTGTGGCCCAAATTAGAGGTATTTCAGACACACGGACAAACAGACAGAATTTGCCGTTTATTTATTTAGATTAGGAGCATTTTTTCACTCTACCTGTACTGCAGAGTATATGATTAAAACCAAAATAGCAGCATCTATGAGAAATCACTGTCAGTGTCTTTGTAGTCATTTTATTTCCAGTAAACAGCAATTTCCTATTTTTCCCTAAACGGACCAGCACAGCCAGTCAACAATACAGAAACAAAAGTGTTAAGTCAATTTTACAATTGAAAGATATAAAAAAAGTAAAAATATCCAATGATAGCAATCATATCCATGTTAGCAACCTGATCTCCCATATTTATGTGATATTCTGTTTTTAGAGTTACATAAAGCACAAATATATAAAATAGCATTGTGTTATTAAATAGATTAAATGATAGCTGTTTTATTGCTGTAAAGGTTTTTGAAATATAGACTTATCTACAACCAACACAAACTTACAAACCATGAAAACAGCTGCTTTCTTCAGCAGTTTGAATTAAAGTTTTGAAATATTAAATTCCTAATTTCCCTTTAACATTCTGATCAATCTTTCAGTATTATTTCATTATTAATATTGCTTTTTGTTTATTTAAAAGTTTTATAGCAGTATTTTTTTCTTGTCAGTCTTGTAGGCAATATATGAATATTTTTTATCAGGAGTCAGAATGAAAATTTGACAAGGTGAGTGGTAACTTACTCATGTGGGACAAATAGAGTCCCAAGGAGGCTTAACAGGAGGTAAATGTAAAAACGCCTGGTTGTATAGAACCCAGGAAGTATGTGAGAGAAGGCTTAATTGCAACCAATGAATATCGAAATAAATGATATAAAAAAAGAAGAAAAAAAAGAGAGTTGGGAGTGGGATTCTTAAAGAATCAAATTTAAATAAATTAAGCTGGGAAATAAATTAGTATAATTGGGTATGTCCTCTACCCACTTTCTATACATGCCAAGTTGAATGAAAATAACAAGTGATCAAATATCCTTCAGTTAAAAATTATCTCAAAGAAAAAAAAAAGAATTTCAGAGAACTAGCTTCTCTGAAACTCGGTTAACAAACATACCATATTGTTTGATTTGTTTATATAAAGCATATTTGCTGGTGGTCTTACAAGAAGAATGGCTTTATCAGAACTTTGTCAAATGGAAACCTGGCCATGTGTTTTCTGAACAAAGGAAACCTTTGAGAGCATAAAATAATGCTTGAATCTTACCAAGACATTATCAGGAACAGCCGACAAGCTGTGTACCATATCTACCAGTGTGTGATGCATGTTGGGTAGTTCTGCAGAAATACAAGAGGAGACTCACAGAGATGAGACATAGGCTGGCATGGGCAGATACTGGCAGAGAAATGTATTGTGGTGGCAAGCAGAAACCTCTCTCAGATGAATGACGGACTGACTCACATCAGGGTAGTGCCTGTGAATGAACAGACCACCAAACTACTATTCCATCCTTTCAAAAGGGGGAGAAATGAGCAAGCAGACACATACAACTGTTATAAGGGGGAAATTCAGGAGTTTAGACTTCAGCATATCATTTAAGTCTTAAATTGGGGAAGGATTTTGTTAATTTGAAAAACCTATTTAATCAATTGTTAAAATATACTCGGTCTTATTTAAGTATTCCAGTTCTTTTGATGTAGCTTGTTCATATATGCAACATTTCAATCCTGAACTTGGGACCTCTTCAAATCTTATTGAAACACAAGATGGATGGAGGAGTCTCCTGTCCAGGATGTCACCAGATCACTAACTTTGATAACAATCTCATCCTCTGACAAAGTACTACAATTTTACTTCAGAAAGTTATTTTCTACAAAAGTTGAAGCATTTTATAGATAGGTTTGTTTACACATGACTGCATTTCAAATATATTTTACCAGTTATTGTCATACTCTACTCTCTCAAAAAGTTGGTACTTTCACCTCCAATTTATGTTTGTTTAATGCAGATCAACTCTTTATGGGTCATTTAATGCTAAAATTTAATTTTCTTGGGAGCATTAGTAATTTCTTTTGCAAAAATTTATTGCTGGTAATTCTACTACAAAAATGTAGTTTTATACTTTCATAGTGTTTTGACTGCAATCTGAGAGTTAACTATTTACCCATAGTTGGGACCCTAACAGGTGTTACCAACCCAGGTCAGAATGGAACTAGGAACAACAGCAATTAAGGATGTAGTTCCATGCTCCTGAAAACCTCCCAGTCAGAGGCCTTACTGCCAGATGTAATCACTAAACCCAGGACTGAACTTCAATTTACATAAACATCTTGGAATATATGCAATTGTCCTAATAATAGACATTTCCAGGTAGTGTAACTCTAGCAAAGCAAAAATTACAGACAAAACAATTGGTACATTATAGGATTTCAACTTGGACAAAAATGTGTTTTTTTTAATTTTTTCTTTCCAAAGCTTTTAGTACAGAGTACTGCAAAGTTTTTAAAAAGCCACTTTTGAAACATAAGATTAACCAAAATCTTACTATCATCTGTAGCGCCCTTTACACCCTTTCAACATGTTATTTCACATGGGTTTCAGCAGATGGGTAGATATCTCTTTCATGATAACAGAGATTATCAACAGTAACAAAGAACAGTTGAAAATGCCCAGTTCTTTTCAAGGAGATTATCTCAGTATTTGTCTTATCAGCTTTGCATGCCTTATCTTGTCACAATCTCAAAAATAAGACATTTTATTTACACTCTTAGATTGACCTCTTTTCAAGTTCAACTGGAGGTCATAAGTTAGCAAACCTAATAATTTTCTTTCATGGAATAAATGGAAACAATTTCTTCCTCTATTTCATCTGAAAAACAAAGTGTTATTAAATTAAATAACAGTCTGAAGTATATTTCATGAAGTTAGAACATTTAACAATTAAACAAAAATTATTTTTTCATATATTTACATGTCATCTATTATTTTTGCCAAGAGTTGCATATTTAATTCCAGATTATTTTGGAAACTAAAATTTAGCATGCCTTCTCATTAGCTAATTTTAATGACTATTGTATAAGACATCAAATTTATCAGGTCAGCTATCTTCTCTTGTAGTATATCCAACAAAGCAAGAGGATTTCTGTAACATCAAGACAAATTTATATGATTCAGATCAGGGGATTTACTTTTATTAATCTGTTATTCACAAATCTTTTTTTGCTAGTAGAATAACAAACTTTTTAAAAAAAAAAAAGTTTTTTTTTTCGTCCAAATAACTATCAGTGAATAGTGGAAAAAGGTGCTCTTGTTTCATTCTGAATTGCATTCTCCAAATTGACAAATTTCAAATATTTTCCCAGATACCTAACCAAAAATCTACCATGTACTATACTTGACTGAGCCGTTCAAACAAAATTCTTGACCAGGAAATGTTTAGACCCAAATTTGTAAATGAAGTCACCTCTCAAAAGAAATATGCTAAAACTGCAAAGGAATCCATACAATCTCAATTGTATAGTACTTTTTCTGCTGAATGGTTTTAAAAAGTGGCTTTCTTCTGACTGCTCTGTCAAATATGTGCACTAACAATAAAGTACTGCCATTTTTTTTTTAAACTAAATTTCAATACAAAATTGAAGGACCCATCAAAATAGAGAATTACAAATGGAATGGTAAGGGTGAATGAAGTGGGAGATACAAGTGGAAAAGAATGTTGTAAGAAATGAAGATTATGAGGATAAGGAGGATATATAATGATTGACACAAGATTTGAAGAGTTTAAGAAACTTCTTACATTTGGAACATGGAGGAAATAAGGGTGATTTGGCTCTGTGGAAGTAGCAGGATATGTCCTAGTAGTAAAAGTCTGAACTGATGAAAGTAGAAACTGTTTTTTTTTGTTTTTTTTATAGCAAAATTCACTCAATATAAGGCTTGAAAGGCACTCAAGATAGCAGTTTACAGTCAGAATTGATCTCATCTGAACATCTCTTATAGAAATAACAATAAAGTTGTAATGTTGTGTCTGTGGGAAATAGATTTAGAGTGGGAAATATTCATCTATCACAAAACTGTAAACAATTTGGAACTCTACCAAAGCTGGAAAGTGAGGATTGAGCTGCTCCAGTCCAGATAGGGGGCAGCAATCTAATCTGACTCTTGTAAAGATAAAAACACGGCACGAATCAGATACTTCCTGCAGTGATATAGTGAGCAGACCATTTTTCCAGTTTCATTTCATTGTTGATTCATTCCACCACCAAAGTCTTTTCCTTTTTAAAATTGGGTTTCCAGTTCCTTCTAAAGTCCACTTCCACTCTATACTCCTAACATCTTCACCTAGTCACTGGAATTTTATTTACAATATATTTACCTCCCCACACTCAATACAAGTAAATTTGTTTGCCTATCATCTGGTTCACACTCCTCCCATTCTTTTGAACAGGAGTAGAGGTTTATCCCTTGTTTCTTGTTTAGGTTTGGGTTTCCAGTTCCTTCTAAAGTCTTTCCTCTTTATTTCCCTTCCAGTAACCACTTGCATCTTAGTGACATTATCACCTTGCTTGGGATGATTAAAAGAAAAGTATTGATAAATATTACTGAATTTTCATTATCCTTAAGTATGAGGTATTGTGAAGTGATTATGCAGTTATTGAGTTTTTATAGTAAATTGCCAGTAAATATTAAATCCAATAGGAAATTGTGTCTATTTTCTTGCATCCTATTTCTGTATATAATCATATTCTTTAGAACTTATGTTTTATTAAGTTTAATGTTTTTAATTAGTTAAATCTTAAAAACATATCAATTTTAGTTAAGATTTCAAAACGTGTTTTAAAATTTTAACAAAACAATTTCATGGTTACATAACAATACTCACCAAACTATTTTAACAATATAAATCAAAATGGTGAAATTAGACGTTTCCGTAGAGGTAACACCTGGCTTCCACTGATAAAACAGTTAATGTTGTCTGAAATTTATAAGAATCTTTTTCTTACAACAGTTTTCCAGGAAAATAGCTTCTTCAAGTCCAGTAACTGTTATCACTCTTTTTAGGATTGATGGGTAATTCTTTTCTAACCTGTAAAGCTATGTGGAAACTTAACATCTTGATGATATAATTATTTCCCCTTCTAGTTACTTGTGCTCTCCATTTTTCTTCAAGTTATGTAGTTTTTATTATTTTGTAGATCTCAAGTTACATAAAAAAAACTGTATTTTTCTTTAAAATCTTTTTACAGCTTAACATTTTTGCAGATTATTTAAAACCAGAAATTATTTTTAGATTATAAGAATTTTTAAAAGATAATGATTTACAGATACAGTTCCCACTATTTAACCCTTAACTGGGAGAGAAGTGGTGGATTCCCTTTTCTCAAGGGTACCTGAGTGTAAGTGAATGTAACAAACCTGACTGGAATTGGAACTTGGCTCTCCAATTTCAAGTCATTATCCATTACACCTCCTGCACATCCAAGCTTACAGTACCTAGTATTCACAAGTGGTCACCCATCTAAGTACCGAGCTGGCTTGACATTGCTTAACTCCAGTGATTGTATGAGAATTGGCGTTAAAATATTTTAAATGTTCTGACATGATGTGAAACGAACTTTAGATCATTTTGACTGATCTTAAAGTAGATCAATTTAAGATCTATCTTAAGAAAAGAAATTAACATAAAAACGCAGCCATTAAGGAACCTTCAACACCAGCATAAACAGATTGCAAAGATTTACAAAAATGTCTATCAACTTACGTAAACCTCTTAACACGTCACCTTCAGCATCAACCAGTGTCTTTCCTTGTTCTGTTGTAATATTTTGAGCAAGTCTTCCCTGAAAAAGAAAATAAAAATTAGGTAATCATATTAGAAACAATCACATTCAGTAAAGATTAAGTCTTAAATGAATAACAATGGTAACTGTACAAATTATACTAAAACTATGTTTAACCATTATCACTGTATGTGATTTCATTTGCTGTACAAAAAGTTTATCCTGCTACTGAAGGTGACTGATCCCTGAATTTAAATTTGTTTCAATTTCATAGTAGTGTTGTCATATCCTGCTACAGCAACAGAAAACAACTGAGTAAAATTAACAATAAGGATACCACAATTGAGAGGCCTTGAAAAAGAATGCAGTCGAAAGTAATATTAATAATGTAGAGGGCTAAAGGTTAATTACCTACTTTCAAGAAATTCTAGAGAAAGCATCTATAAATAATTTTATATACAAAAGTATTTTTTTAGTTAAAGTAAAAATTTTATTCCTTTAATTTACTTAAAATATAAATTATGCTCAATTTATAAGTTTTAAGAAACTGGATGGAAAATAATTAAAAAAATTTTTTAATCATTTCACTCCAAGCAAGGGGGTAATGCCACTAGTACACAGGGGGTTACACGGAATGAAAGTGAGGGAGAAAACTGAGAATAGGGAGGATTGAGTAAAGGACAAAAGATGAATGGGGTTCAAAAAGAAAGAAGATGGTAACTAACTGCATTTAAATTTTTGAAGATTGCAGTTATCAGGAAAGCAAGGAAACAGAAAGGAGCTCCACAAGTGGGAAGTGTGAGAAAAGAAACTGTTGGACTAAAAGTGGTTGTTGTAATTATCTATTTCAACAGTAAAAAGGTTGGACCCTGATGCCAATCAAGTAGCAATGCTTAAATTCGTGTATTTGGGGCACCATGTGAAAAAAGCTCATCAGAGTAGTTGCCATGAAAATATTTGTAGAAAGAAGAGAGAGAAGCCACATCACACTGGTGAGAAAGTGAAGTCAAGATGCCTGCTCAGGATCAATAACATTACAGATCCTTCTTTATTCTTGATCTAGATGTACAGCAGGAGCATCAGACTACATATGGCAACAGTATTTGATGAATGGTAGATTTGTAAATGTACAAGATGAATTCTGAAAAGAAAGATTTTCTGGAACGACATAATGACCCAACTTTCATTGCAGTAGAAGCAGCTAATGATTTGATATAGATGTTCCACTTCAAGCCATTTCTTGCCCCACTTAACCACTGATTGGAAGTCCTTTTCAAGAACAACTGCCAGGTTTACTTTGTCAGATCTCACACTATTGTGACAGGAGTAACTGGTAGTGTCATCAGCATAAATACCTACTTGGGCCAAGATGTGTCAATATATTTTAAATTTATCTTGATTTCATAATGATTTAATGCAGAATAAAAAATAATTCTCTCAATGTAACTTATTTTTTGTTTTCTTTAAGATCTGGAAACAAACAAAAGATGTGTGAATATGAAATTGAATAGATCTGAAGTTATATTTTCTCTTTAAGTCCTTCCCTAAAGGGTTCCCAGTTTAATTGAATAAAGATCCCTGAAAAATTCCATGATTTTGGAACACTACATAAAAGATTTGTGGATAGAAGTTAGTATATAGAAATATATATATATATTTTTTTTATATCCAACATCATTACTTGATAAGACACCAAGGGTGTTGAAACAAAATGGCTATTTTTGTAGTGATTTTATAACATATTTATGTTATAATTTTTTTTTTTAAAATTATATATATATATATATATATATATATATATATATATATATATATTCTTTTCTTTATCTTATATATATATATATATATATATATATATATATATATATATATATATATATATTAGAAATAATGGTAAGACATTAGCTAGATGAAGATACCATTACCACTAATGTCTTACCATTATGTAGGAGGTATTTCTGCTGTGCATCTAAAAAAGACGAATGGACAAAGAAACACACATTACAGAATATAAATATGATCATCATACATAATGTAACCTCTCTACTCCAAATACAAGGTCATTATTTTCTTGACGGTCAGTTTTTCAATGTCCCTGTCAATGTCACTTAGTTCTTTTCTAATGTTTTTCTTTCAATTTACTCAGCTGTCCTTTTTCTTACTTTTACCTTCTGTTCTTCAGCTGATAGGTCCCCCCCACCACCACCACATAAATTATGTTTAAAACATTCTTGATAACGAGAACGAGACTGGTCATCTTCACATATTACTCAATTGTCGTTTGATAAAAGCAGCACATGGTTTTTACTCAGATCATCTTTCACTAGCAAGACCCTTGAAGTAAATTCAAGATTAAGACTTTGGGCATTCCATTTTAAAATCCTATAAAACAAATATATATCACATAACAGCATTTATTTTCAAACATGTGTCTTCTCTTTATCTTTTCTACAAATATTTTAATGGCAATTGTTTTGAGTAGCTGCTCTCCTTAGTGTCTTGACTGCATGAATTTAAAATGCTACTCTATTGGCTACTAGGTCTCACTGTTTTAGTATTGAACTAGCATATTGCAACTGTCTATTCTAGTTTAATAGTTTCTTTTCTTGCACTTCTTATCTGTAGAACTCCCTTACGAGGTCTTGTTTCACTGCCATCTACAAGTGTCAAAAATGCAACATCAATCACTATCACTCTTCCTGTTCCTTTATTGTCTTTTTCCTCACTAAAGTTTTCTCATTCTCTTTCACTCCCTGTAACCACCCAGTGTCCTTGTGGCATTATCAATGTGCAAGGAGCAAAATGATTTAAAAAACAAAAACAAAACAAACAAAAACAAAAAAAAACCCCACAATTTTCAAATTAAGAAATGCCTATAATAAAAATGTCATTCAATGAATGTCAAGTTGCCTTAGAAAATGACCCAATTTCCCTGACATGAAACAAAAAATTCTGTTAATTCAGGTTGGCTGTGAACACTAGCTACTTACATTTGTTTATAAGTGAATCACCATAAAGTCAAGATCAAGAATTGCTACTGGATTTCTAAAAAGTTATTAAAAGAAAAATTGGCAGGTAAAGTAAAGAATACTTATTTCAATGAATTTATATAACCAGAGCCAGTGGAAAGGTCTTGTGCTCTTCACCCCCAAATTTACTATATCTAAATTTTCATAAGATAATATTCATATAAAATACAAATTTTATTGTAGCCTAATTATGTAAAATAATGGATCATACACAATGTAGATGAACAATTCAACAAGAAAAATTAAAAATAAATACAATGTTTCTAAATTACTGGCATGTCATAATAGATCAATCCATCTTAAAAAAAAAAAAAAAAAACAACAATGTTTTACATCAACTTGAAATTTTTCTTGTTAAAAAGTTGAATAATTTTAACACATTCAACATTTATGGCTAAAAAAATAGTGATTTTTATATTTGTGTTTTTTCAAATTTTAGCACGAGCAAAACAAATTCAGGAATTTGATAAAACGGTGAGTGTCACAAAGCACTGATTGGAAATTCCCCAATCTGGCTCCAGCTCGGGGTCATTTTGAGGACCATGCACTGACCCTGTATATATAACTTATATTTTACATCAAGAAGTGTTAATTCTGTTAATTTATTTTGCTATTCACATGAATTAACTGTTTTAGAATTATTTACTTACCATATTATCTTTGATCAATTGTTGGAACTTGAACATGCACTGCTGCCGGGTGAGAATGGTGGTGTTACGCCATGACTTGAAGGCTTTTTTGCAAGATGCAACAGCAGAATTCATTTCATCAAGTGTAGACTCTGGCACCCGAGTGATCACTTCATTTGTGGCCTAAGAATTAAAAGCAGGGAAAACAAAAAGATCTTTTTTTGGCTGAGAACAAAAAAACAGTGAAAAAAAGGATTTCTTCATATCAAGCTCTTGAGCATGAGTGATGGAAACTTTTTTGCAGTGACCAACATATTTTTCTCATCAGCATTAATTGCTTATAGGTTAGAAAATTGAATTCTTTATGCAAATCAATAAAAGGAGAGGATATAATTATGAGGGGGAGAGGTGTCCAGATCTCAAAATCACAACTCTGGGGTTGTAAATTCAAAAGGTCATAAATAAATCTCACAAATCCGATGACAAAAATGCCAGGGGCATAAATCAAAAGAGGTTAAAAATCTGTGCCAACAACTTGTAGTGCACAACTACCTTCTTTACCCAAAAAGAGCAGAGCAAGTCATCTGTCATCCAAAGTAGCGTTCTTTTATTGGTAGAGATTGGTTCACACACATTCAGCACAAATCCTGTAAGCCTTTAGGGTCATAGAGGTACCACATCTACTGCACTCATTGCAGCAGTGGTGTTTCCTGGTCAAGACAGCCTGATGGAGCCCATACTCTCTCCAGACTGGTTTGAATTCAGAATTTTCCTGCTCCTATATTGATTGCTAACAAAGGCCCAATCTGTTCTGTTACCCATAATGGGGGGAGGGAGAGATGGATTCATACCTTTCCCAAAAGCATTAGCTCATAAGTAAACATAATTGACTCAATTGGAATTCGAACTTGACTGATTCTTCAAAGCTGCTATCCATTACTCCATCTTGACTCCATGAGACTGGTAGGGAAGCACAAATAATTATAAGAATTAAATCCTATATATATTTTTCAACCAATAAAATCCAATCAGAAGTTTTGTTCGATAAACAATGATTACAAAGGCAAATACCATCAAAATACTTGGTGGGCATAGTTGTAGACCTACCACATGTTATTTTTTTAACTATTTAGAAAATAATGATAATAACTCCCTTCATCACTCCCACAAATTCAAGAAAAAGATTTTTGTGAGCCAATGTGAAATTATTTTTTAACTAATGAAAACATTGTATTCAAAAAGTTCATACCTCTATGTGAAATTTAGATTTCAGATGGATTCCACATACAGATATAAAAATAGAAGCCTACTGCTTTTCAGAGCTCAAAAATAATTTTGGAGGCCAGTTTGATCTACACACACACACACACAAAATGAAGAGATGGCAGCCAGCAATTGCCAACTAAGGCCTTGTCTACACACACATGAACACATTAGGCTGACTGTCAAAATATGTCCACACATTACACACCACCCTAAGAACACTTAATTATTTTATAAAACAAACTTCACTGCAAGGAAAATTGAACATTTTGTTGTTCTTGTATATTTCTGAAAATTATATATAAAAGTTATTTCAACTGATATTCTGCCTCTACTTTCCCTTCAGAAAATAACTATTTTATGTCTCATTTAAGGGATGTGTTGTTATTGTTGTTAAATGTTTGGAATCCAGACACTCAGATAAAAACTAAAACTTGGGTAGACAGATCACAACACAATTACCATATTTCAAGACCTTACTAAAGTTGAGCTAATATGGATTCAGGTTTTCATTTTTGGCAGAGTGTACAGCGAACATAAATTCTTTTTTTGGGATAAAACCTTGTTCTCTCCTTTGTTGCAAAAAACTAGCTGAAAGTCCTATTTTAAAGGTCAAGGGAAACAGATATGCCTAGAAAATAAGTCAGCACTTTTATTAGGGTAAGAATGGTTGTGATTGGTAGGGAAGTACAAGCCATTATCATATTTTGAGGCCTTACTAAAGTTTACTAGATCTTGATTTTCTTTTTTGATTGATAGCACAGAGAACAAATTACTCTTTGAAGGAAGAATTTCTCCTTCATTGACACAGAAACAAATTATATATAAATTCACATAAAAATATGAAATTTAATGAAATAAATAATAAGCTCTGCCCTTGCAATTAGAGCTGGGCTTTCAAAACTTGTGTTAAGATACTTTAATTCCCTTTTGCCCTCAAAATTATTTCATTTGCAATTAAATTAAAAGTAGCATCAGTACAAGTAAATATTTCTGTTCTTATTTTGCCAAAAATATACTTTTCAGACATTAAACTTTCAAAAAGGACATAAATTTATATTTTAATAAAATGAAGAAGTAACTGGAATTTTTATTAGATAAAGTATTTTCAGCCATTATTTTGAGTTTAATTTCAAGGCAAATGAGGTTGTTTAGTCTTGGTTGGCAATGAGCCTAATTGAAGGAAAAATGAATCCAAAACCATGGAGAGGGCAACAGAGAACAATTCCATTATCTTCATAAAGTGGGCATGGCTAAATATAACTGACAGAAATGCCTAACAAATAAAATTGACAAAATTTGTAATAAACAATAACAAAAGAAACAAAATGAACAGGGCAAAAAATAATATTAAGCAAGCAAACAATATATACATGTCAAAGCAATAGTAATATGGCAAAAAATTTACAAACTAAGAATGGTGTCAAGCGACAAAAGGGGATACACAGACAAGTGATTGCAGCATTCTGACTTTAAGACAAGGAAAAACAGAACTAAATCTGATTAGACTGTGAAGTGGCCTATCTTATTGACAAAGAAGAAATCCCAGTATGCATCTGTGTGTTTTGCCTATGAATTGGGGAGGGAAAAATATTTTATAGTCATTCCCACTATTAATTAAAAACAATCTTTCAATCATGGCAATGTGCAGTTTACAAACTTTAAAGAAAAAGGAAGCTGTAGAGAGCCATGATTACCTAAGGGAGAGGACATTTAATAAAGGGAGTGATTTCTTTCATCTTAAAAGCAATTTAAATTAAGTAGAAGAAATGTTGACTATAAATAAATCTTTATCAAAAAGTTCTTTAATATGTATCAACATTTTTTTTTTCAAGAAATATTTTAAAAGCTTTAGAATTCTCAAAAGCAAGATCTAAATCTGTAATCTTTTTATCCAGAGGTATTGTGAATATTATATATTTTGGTGACAATTCTGATCTCTTTATTGAAAACATGTTTTTATTTTGTCTGACATCTTCATGGATAACTTAACGGTCTCTTTCTTATCGGCAGGAAGTGGGGAAGGACAGGTAGTCTTGATTTTGCTCACTCTTACTGAATTCTTTAGAGTTAAATTCGATTTCAATTCTCCTTAGAATTATTTCAAAACATGATTTTTTAACACCAAGACTACCCATCCTTCACCACTTCCCACTGATAAGAAAGAGAATGTATCCTCAAAGATGTCAGACCTGGAAAATAGAAAGACATACGTTGTTGATAAAGAAACCCCAATGGACAGTAAAATAACATTTAAGATTGTTCTGGACAAAGAGCCAATAAAAACATCTGATTTGAATCGGCCATCCAGAAGAAAAATATTCCTACAAAAATGAAGATTAACGCCTGAGATTGGGGATATGTTCATTCATTTTATTTTCTGTGACTGTGGCAGACATGAGACAGAACCTGGGACGAGCACAACTGGTTACGACATGCCTTGTCCCCGCCAAAAAAGAGCCCGTATTTGCTTAGCATGTAAAGCTACTGCAGTTGAAATGATGGAGAAAAAAGTACTTACCACTCTGCCGTAATCCGTCCTTGGCCAGATAACATAAAAGAATGAGGGGGGAATTGCATTGCATTTTTATGCAATAAAGATACAATGCATAATGGGACAGGGACACAATGATTTATAGGATCACATGAAGATGCAAGAGATTATGGATATACGAACAAATATAAAAGCAACTGCTTTTTCCCAGTGTGTGTGTGTGTGTGGGGGGGTCTTTGAGTGACGTTCACGGTTGGCGGCTAGAAAAGTCTGTTAGTGCGATTTTGCGACAGAACTCAAGAAGGAACGACTTGAGGTTGGAATACCAGTTGGGAGAGCTTGAATTTACTCGCTGGTTGCCGTTTTCTTTATTCGCCATAGTGACATTCGTCAAAAATTTTATGGCTGACATAATTTCAGATTCCTTTGGATACAAGTGATAAAGAAAAAATTAATTACTAGCTCTGGAGTGACCATAGGCAGTAGGCTGTTTAGCCTGGTTGATCAAGAAATCACCTAAAAATAGCTAGTGTGAGACAAGCTGGTAAAAAATGATTAATGACAGGAAATCCCCCTTTTCACCTACACATTTTGAATTTGGATTTGTGACAGGGACAGTGTGCAGGCCCTTGGGGTTGGCTGAGGTTGGATGATGAGAAAGTGGAAGAAGGAAGATAGAGATTAGCACAGTCTATATGGAGTGATGGTGTGAGAGGAGACGTGAAGGGAGTTGAAGTTAATTCTTGATTCCTCTGATTGCTCTCAAAAGAGGGCTGGACAACCCCTAAATTTGGAAAATTACTTGAGTAAACATATTTTGAAAATAGGGAATTTTAGAAAAATGTTGATGCTAAAGGTGGAAGATAACAGAACTAAGACTCTGCTCAACCCCACCCCACTGACAGACACAGGACTCCATATAAGCTGAGGTTTGGACAACTTGGAGAGTCCCCACATTAGTTCTACTGGAATCCATATAGTTTGCTGAGACCTCCTGATCAAGATCTTGTGCCAACCTTGAAGACCAAAACTTAGACGTTTAAATTACTACTAACACAAACTGTAAACTTCAAAGGGGATCCCAGTGTCATTTGATTATAACATTAAGTGGGAAGGATTTAAACTGCTTTATACAACAAACCATATATAAACAAAATTGTTGTTACATTTTTAAGCTGAGTTAATTCTTTATTCCAAAGAATTCATTTTTTGTGTAGCTCCAACTGTCGGATCAATCCTCACTGCAGTCTGTTTCATCACTGATCTTCTCACCTTCTGAGATCAAAAACATGGCAGAGAAGTGAATGGACATGAAACAGCTAGATGGTAACCACAATGGCCTAAAGAAGCCTCAAGACCAACACAGGGTACATAAGGTTACACAATCTATTTTATTTTTTGTGTAGTAAGAGATTAACAGGTTTAACCCCATTTTCCAAAACAACAACCTATTAATAAAAAATAATTTATTTGTTTAGAAGCAAACATAAAATAAATACTTTAAACTATTTAGTCATTTTGCAATTTAAGAAATATGTATTTGCATTTTTATTTACAATTTTCAATCAATTTAAAAATGCATATGCAGTTCTATGTTTGCAATGTGTGATGATGGTTTGGGATTTCTCTTGACAAATATGCATTTTATTGCAATCAAACACCTTTATTATAATAATGTGAATACTTAATTCAGTAGAAAATATTTGTGTCAATAATTATCAAAGCAGGGGTCAAAAATCTATCATGGTAACAACTTACCATAAACCAAAGTTTTTAAGGTTCACATTTTATACTTGTAGTATAAGATGCACCACCTAATTATGGGGGGGGGGGGTTTACGGTTAAGAAGGTTGCCCTGTACGCTGACATAAACATAAAGTATGGAAGCTGTTTGTGGTTGTGCTAGCACAAAGCTACAAATCCTCAACTCATGGGCAGAGTGAAATCCTTTAGCCTTGATAAGCAATATATCTAGTGATGGTGTCTCAATAAAAAGAGATCCATTCTCCATGAGCCTGCCCACCCACTGTCATATCACAACAGAAATCCTTTAAACAAAATAAATGAGCAATTTTTGCAATCTGAAAATTATAATTCTTTGACATTCCAAATTTAAACAACTACTTATTTTTACTTTGCAAGTATCACAAACTGAACATTTTTTTTAAATTTAGAAAAAAGAAAGGGGGGGGTGCTGAATTTGTCATTATGTCATTTATATTCTATGAGCCTAAAAACAAGTGCAATTTACAGTTTACAGATGAAAAAAGTAGATGAAACTTACCGGATTATGTAAATCAATCCATTTTGTTGTTTTTGATTCTACAAATTGTCCATCAATGAACATTTTTGTATTTGGCTTTAATAATAAAAAAAAAAAAAAAAATAAATTTTAAAAAAATTTACAAAGTTTAAAGAGTTATGATAAATTACATAAAAATTCATTAGAAGAAAAAAATGAAATACAAAAGGTTTCCCAGTAAATAAAAATTTAATTTAGTTATTTTTTGTCATTTCAATAATTATTTAAATGCATCAGTGTTTTTGTTAAGTGTCTCTAGGCATCAAATATTCATTCAAACAAGTTTTATTCAATACAACAGGCAAGTTAAGTCTATCATATTTTTAAATGTGTTTTTATTGTTGGTGGATTAGTTTTGAGATTTTGGGATTGAATGTGTGAAGGAACTTTACTTTTGCCTTAATAGTAAGTCTGATTGGTTCAATAAGATTAAATTGGCAGTTGAGCTGATCTCAAAAAGGTTCTGAATCTGTGGTCAACTGGAATAAGAAATGACTCCAACACAAACTGCTCTCTTTTAATCACTTCAGAGAATTTTTTTTGCCCTCCATCATCATCATCATGACTAATGCTAACCTCCAGGAAAGTAACTCATGGCAACTTTTCAGGCTAACATTTTCCACTGACATGAAATGAAAAGATTATATTGAATCCATTGCTAAGTCTGCTGCTAGGAAAGTTGGTTCACTGTGTCATGTTAGACAATTTGCCACTCTAGAATCTATCTTACACATTTATAAGTCTTCCATTTGTCCAGGCATTGAATATTTCTACCACATCTGGTCTACATATTTAGAGATTCTTGATAAAATACAAAGAATCTGCAATATTATTAGTCCTGGTATCTCAGTTTCAGTTACTTTCCCACATTCATAACATAGCTTCCATGTGTCTTTTTTTATAAATATTTTCATTTTAACTGTTGTGATGAGTTTTCCCCTTTGATGCTGTGACTTTATGAATGTAAGTGCAGTACTAGATTGGCATCAAGGTTTCATCATTTTACAGTTGAAATGGCAAGAGATGTAACTGCAAGTTCCTTGCTAACAGTTTCTTCTCTCATACTTCTCACTTGTGGAACTCTTTTGGCTTCTTACTTCCCAGTCAACATTGATCTTCAAAAATTTAAATGAAATGTCAATTGTTATCTTTTATCTTCTTAATTCCTGTTCTTTTATTATTTTTATTTTTTTTTTATTCTTTCACACTCAGTAACTCCTTGCATCCTAGTGGCTTTATTGCCTTACTTAAAGTCTGTGATTATGCATATCTTTTTAAAAAGATTTTGAATTTTAAATGCTTGTATGGTAAATATGTTATTTTTTTGAGTTTTGAAACTGTGACATCATGTGACCGATATAGTATGCATTCTAAATATTTAGATACATTTTTAGAATGCCTATGATATCGGACTGGAAGGGTGGATTCCAGCGTGCGACACCCTTGGAAAGTGCCTAAAAAAACCATACTGCAAATTGACCCAAGCCTTGTGAGTGAAATTGGGTAGATGGAACCCTTGTGGTCTGTAATGAGTTGGTCGGTCAACTTGAAACCCCCAAAGTGAGTGGAGGTGGGCAGGTGCGGGAACTGTGATTGGTAGCTGACTTGTTGGTGTTTTGCATAGGTGAGTTACCAAGCTCTATGTAAAGGACTGGAATGAGAAGGAGGTCAGTTTTTAGTCTCAGAAGTGCAGACTGTGTCCGTCGCTACGACAGCAGGAGAGAAAGAGACGAAATCATTTATTTTTTCGTGACGCATTCCAACACAGGGTCGTCGATAACTGTGTTAGCATGAAGACACAAGTCATCATGGCTGAGGGCTTGAGCGTGCTGGCCTTGTTCAAATTGTTGATAATGCTAGATAACATAACATGCTCTTTCCCAGAAACTGTAACTAAGGTCTGCTCAAGTTGGCTCTGTGAGTGTTGAATAAAATCAGAGATCACAATAACTAAAATCTAAATGCAATCTTTTCAAAGATTTTTTTTCTTTGAAAATTTATTCTTATATTATTCACAAAATAACAGACAATACAGATAAGCTCCTACTATTTGAAATCTGTCATCTTCAGCAAGGTCTCATATAAATACATTCACTTTATCATTTCTCTAGTATGGATTGTGGGTAGATTTGCTTATTTAGCTTAAAACTGTAACACAATTTTTTTAGCCATATTTAGAGCAATTTAATTGGTTTAAGTGTTCAATTAAAAGAAAATCATCTAAAATGCTTTAATAATATATTAACATATCAAACTTAAAACAAAATGGCCATAATTTGAAAAGAAGGGCATATGAAAAGTGGATTTTTTAAGTTAACTTTTTAGCAAATATATGACAAAGAACAAAGAAATATTTTACTCACCACAGCAAGTAGCCGCGAATGGGTGTGAAACTGAGAGAAACATCCCCAGGCAGATCTCTAAATAAAAGAAATATTGTATTCAAAATAAAAGGTGAATTTTATTTATGTGTATTTTACTGAAAATTATAATTACAAAGGAAGCCACTAATTGTGATCACTTTGGGAAAACACAGTCTTTTAAATCAGTGATTCTCAATGTAGTCCAGGAGGACCACCAGTGGTCCACATAGCATTTTTAGTGGTCAACAGAGAATGCGTAGCCATGAAAAAAAAAAAAAAAAAAAAAAATGTAGCCATTTCACAAAACTGTATCTAAATTATTCATACTTTGAAGAATTAAAGAAAATATATTATTTTGTTTAATTACACACGTCCATATTTGAAATTTTCAAAATTACATAGGTATTATGTAGTGCTATATATATATATATATATGTAATTTTTTTTTATTCATATGAAAAATAATTCCTATATTAATAGATCACTACACAATATTGTTTGATAATAAATTTGATATTTATAATTTTCAAAACAGTTGTAAGAATGTCTGAACTGCTAAAAAGGAAAAACTGAGGAATTACAGAGAAGATTTTATCATGTTTGGCTCCGTATCTGTATACTCAAAACCTATTTGTCTTGAATGTGGTGCCATCTTGACAAATGATACTATGAAGAAAGTTAAGCTGGAACAACACCAAAACTCAAAGCATCCATCATCTGTTGGTAAAGATGGAGAATATTTTTGAGAATAAAAAGAAAAGATAGCCAGTCAAACTATCAAACTTTGAAAAGAAAATGAATACTGCAAAAGCAAAGACACTCAAACCAAGTTATTTGGTCTCTGAAATTATTGCCAAGGTTGCAGCACCTCAGGTTTATGGTGAGAACCTTGTCAAACCTGCTATTATAGATAGCTTGTGCAAATGGAGTTCTGAGAAAAGATGCTGCATCTACCCTGAGTACAATTCCACTTTCAAATGACACTATTACAAAAAGAAGACAGGATGAAATATCTAATTTTGTTGAGGAGAAGATGGTGGAAATTAAACAAAAGACAAAGTTTTCTACCCAGGTTGATGAGAACACAATTCATAACCAAGCTATCCTTTTGGTCTATGTCATCTATTCATCCATGAAGATGATACAAGGAAAGAAAAGTCATTCATTAAAAGTTTGTCTGAAAATACTAATGGGGAGGATATATTCAATGCATTGACTAATTTGATCAACATTGCATCAGATGGAGCTGCTGCCGTGACAGGAAAAGTGAAAAGCTTTGTTTCTAGAATGAAATCAGTTGCTCCTCACATTTTTTTATATCCATTGCATTATCCACAGACAGCATTTGGTTGCTAAGAATATTGGAGAAGACATGCAAGAAGCACTTAACACTGCCATACATGCAATTAATTTTGTCAAATCAAACTCAATGAATGATATTTTTGTGCAATTCTGTGAAGATGAAAATTTTAAGACCCTATTGCTTCACACAGAAGTAAGATGGTTGTCAAAAGACTTGAGCCTTAAAAGACAAGTGAATTTGTGGGAACCATTAATCAACTTTTTCATGTTCAAGTCCCAAATGATTCATTACAACTCCAAGAAGCACGTTGATACAGCTAAGGAAATTTTGGAAAGACTTCCTTATTTTAAATCAAAAATATTCTTCCTGAGTGATACTTTTAAAACAGTGAATCTGCTTAACTTGGAGATGCAAGGTCAAAGATCAGATTTAGTCACCCGTGCTTAGAAGATAAAAGGCTATATAAGGAAATAGAAATTTTGGTAAAAAAAACAGTTTGAGAAAAAAAACTTTGGTATCATTTCAAAATTTCAACACCACTGCTCTTACATCAGAATGCATTGCTGCATGCATTTCCCATCTTGAAGATCTTCATGTAGACTTTGAGAAAAGATACAATGATCTGTTAAATATTGATTATCCACTCTGGTTTGTAGACCTAGAAAATTATGAGCCAGGAAATGAAAATGTTGAGTTGGCTGAAATGTTGCTGGACTTGAAAGAGAATGCAAAACTGAGAAGAAGAGTTGACAAAGATGTCTTTGCCTACATATTGATAAACGACTCACACCCAAATGTTTTTCAATATCTAGAAGCAAGTATCATTTCTTTCCCTACCATGTGAATGGCAGAATCTGAATTTTTGGCTGTTGTGGATGTTTTCAGTAGAAAAAGAAATAAATTAGATCTCAACAGCGGAGGAACTATCAAACTAAGACTGAACGACACCATTAAAATTGATTATGATATCTTGTGTTAGAAACACCAAGATCAAGGTAGTCACTAGCTGAATGGACTAAGACTGAATGACATCATCAAAATTTATTTTGATATCCTGTGCTTATCCTTGTTTACTAAAGTAAATTTTAAATTTTAAAATGTAAATAAACTGTCTTTTCATTGAGTATTTTAGGGTGAAAATTGAACAGCCTAAAAGTAAAAGCAGGAGTGGTCAATTTGAATTTTTTGAAGAAAAAATGGCCCATGGGCTGAAAAAGGTTGAGAAGCACTGTTTTAAATAATAATTATCAGCTGATAGTAAAAGATAAAAAAAAAAATTGGATCAATTTAAATAACATCATTAATTTATTAGAACTTATCTTAAAAACTGATTGAATTTGATAACCATAATTGTTTGCATGGCTGGCACACACAACACCCACTACTGACCATTGCAAACCTGATTGAGACCTGGTCAATGCTTTGTTACTCTCACTATCTTAACATTTGCTTTTTTCTACCTAAATTTATATTCATTACAAATTAGAGATTTTGACATCATTCTGGGGCCTTTTTTTTTTTTTCATCCAAATCCATGAATTTGTTTTGCTCATGCTAAGTCTTGAAAAAAAAAATTATCTGTAATGTTGAATGTGTTAAATTAACTTTTGAACAAGAAAAATCTCAAGTTAATGTTAAAAATTGCTGCAAAACATTGATTTAAGATGGAATGATCTATTAATATATGTCTCTAATTTGTATTTAGATACAATGTATTTATTTTCAATTTTTTAGTTGAACTGCTCACCTATATTGCATATTATCCATTATTCTACATTATCAGGTTACAGTAAAATTTGCATTTTATATGAATATTAACTTATGAAAATTGAGATACAGTAGAATGGGGAGGATATCAAAGGGTGGAGGCATGAAAACGTTGCAGCAATTATAGTAAATGGCTCCTTCTGTACTTATATGGAAATGTAATTGTAGATTTTAAAAGTGCAAAAATATTGAATAAAGAGCAAGATAAATGGAATTAAAGCCCATTTTCCAGCCAATAAAATAGAAGAAAAAAAAAACAAAGACAAAGTATCTAAGGATACAATCAGATTTTCTCCCAAATTGTATTTAGAATGAAACATCAGCTGGTGGTATTGAACAGTTATTGCTCTGACCCACTTCTCAAAATTAGTATTCAGCTTACAGTCATATCATATTGAAACACCAGTTCTTATATTATCACCAAAGTTAAGCAACCCCACTAGATGGGTTACTGCTTAGAAATACCAGGTGCTGTAAACTTGGATGTGTGGATGGTGTAATGGATAATAGCTCAGAATTGGAGAAAAAAAGTTCAAGCTGAGTTTGTTACATTCTTACACACAAATACCCTTTGGAAAGGTATTAATCCACCTCCTCTCCCCAGCTATGGATTAATTAGTAGGAATTATCTCAGTAAATCATTATTATTCCCCCAAAATTCTTACCATCTAAAAATATTTTCTGGCTTTAAATAACCTGCAAAAGGTTGATAAGCCATATAAACAAAAAACAACAATAACAAATCAATCAATCAAAAACAATATTCAGATATTTGATCATTGAAATATAGATTCTGGGAAGTGGGTGAACCTTTCAGCACCCGATTTATAATCTTTTGATTCTACTTAATTCTCAAATAATTAAATGAAACAAAAATTAAAAACAATGTACAAAAACTGGTAAGGAATTTTTTTTACTGCTAACATACGAAAAAATAAAAAATAAATGCAAAGTATAATTTCATTTATCAATTCAGCTGGTCCAATTGTGTAAATTAATTCATACAGTTAGTTTATCACATGATGATTATTTTTTATATGTTCTTATATACCAGCAGAGAATGAGAATTGTATGTAACAAATAGAATTTTTATTTTGTATAGCAAACCAACTCAAAGGTCAAGGTTAAAAGAGTTTTAAGTAAATCTCTTACTCTTGAATTAAATTTTTAGGTGACCTTTGACGAGAGGAAATTTCAGAAGTACAAAAATGCAAAAATTAGAAATGAGTTTCATTGAATATGAACACAGGAACTTAAGGCAAACATTTTTCATCACCTTTCAATGACATGAGAAAAGACTCATTATAGCTGTTATTTTTCATCTGACATTGTACTCTTCTGTGTATTGGATCGGAACAAAAGTTTATAGGTTTTTTTTTTTAATAGGTGGCTTAAACACATAATTGCGTTTCCCACACAACTGAAATTTATGTCATATATTGAAAGGTGACTTTTCAACACCTCTTTCTAGGTTGTGAATTTTATATGTTTTTAACAAATGAAGACGAAAGAATGAAAATTTAAAATTTCTTCCAATCAAATTTAATGGGTAAAAAAAATTCTTTGAATTTTGTTGTTTCATAAAACAAAAAACAAACTCATATCTTGTTACTAATGTTTAAACGGATAAATTATAAATATTAAAAATAGAAAGAAACTGATAGACTTTTCAGAGTATTGTAAACATTCTATCTTGTATTTAAATTGTTGCTTTTCTCAACCTTTCAGTTGTATTTGTAGATAAAAAAAAAAAAGAGTTAATATTCAGACAAAACAGAATTTAATGAATTAACATTATCTATTAGTAATATATTAGTCAACTTTTGTAAGTTCTTGAAAAATAAAATGTCCCAAATAATCTGATAGACTTCTAAATTTAATTTAAATCATTTGTTTAGGTCTAAATTTTTAATTTTATATTTACCAGGTATTATTTATCAAAGCAAATAGTTTAGGATTTCAGTATATACTGCAATTTTGATAATGC